ATATGATGGTGATTAATATTTATTATGATAGTTAGAGTCCATTGCTATTTTTAATATTAGCAATGCACCAAGTAACTTATAAGAGTATGACGCACGTGAAAATCACATATGACTTTAGAGGTGTATCCTAAACCCCTAAACTCTAACCCTAAAATCAAGTTTGACTTCATAACTTCATAATATGTAATTTTTCATGAAAAGTTTAAATTAGTCAAAATTAAAGTCATGCTAAATTTTATTAATGCAATAATTAGAATTTATATTATTGTGATTGGAAATATCATGGTATTTTGGATGTTTCACATGAGGAGCAAAAGTAAAACTGACTAGCAGATTTGTTATTTTATGTAACATTATAATTTTCATTGACAAAAATTTAGAGTTTATGAATAAAATGTTTGAATTGCTGTAGACATGGATTTCTTAAAAAATTTTGTTTTTTTTCCTCTTGGTTATGATGATGTGAATTTTTGCTTGTGATAAATAATTTATATCAATAGATAGAAATGAATGAATGATTGAATATTTATTGATCTCATCACATAATTTGTCTTTTTATGATCTCCATATAATTATTTATATTTATGTAATATTTTTCATGTTTACATGTTTAGTATTCATTTTGATAACATCAATCATATGTGTTTCTTAAAATAAATTTGAATCATAATTATGGAGGATACACGCAACTTATGGAAACACGTAATCAATCATTTAATAATTTGTCAAAAATGTTTGGATATATTATCTGAAATTATATAAATACTAAATTTTTTGATAAAATTAAATTGATATTTTTAAAAAATAAAAATTGTTGACACTTATTAAAAATAAAAATAAAAAATGTCAGTTTGATTTATTCTGTAAGTGAAAGTTAAAAGGTAATTTTGAAGTTTTGTTTGCATGTTTTGTGATTCGTACTAAGTCTTTGTACAAAGTATGATATCAATGATCAAGATTTGTTCCTTATTGAATATGTGAACTCTTCTATTTAAGGATGCTATGATTTTGATGTTCTTCGAATCTTTGAAAAATCATTTGGTTAGCTTTGAAGTATATACTGTTTTACATCTAGACTTCAATTTTGAAACTTCCATTGATTGGTCTGGCGCCTTGCCGTGCAGAATGACTCATCAATCCAATAAGATATTTAAGAGACAGCCAACTTTTAGACTTACATTCATGAGTGAAGATGTAGATCCATTTCATTACTTCGGGAGTTTGGTAAATAGCTCAACAAAGTTGAAGTCATGCATCCTTATATCTTTTACTCAGTTCATGTATCATGCCACGTGGATAGAACACTATAGTTTCTACGAACCCATGGGAATATGTGATTGTCAAAGATTTGCTGAAATCAACCTTAAAATTTCACTTCAGGTGTAGTGGTTAATAATTTCCAAATCCGAATGTTACACCTTCTGTTTGCGGTAACTCACAATTATCTGATTTAGAATATCCAGAAATTACCTTAAAACTCCTCGTTGTATGCTGAGTCATTAGGAACATGTCATTTACAAATTTCGAATTCACTAAGGCGTCCTAACATTAGAATGAGAATCACAGTAGTATGGAGGGGTAAATCCTGAGTGCAGATAAAGCGACAAAAGGTTAGGGCGAAGGGGTTCCGCTGTAATACATTTACGTTTATGGTTCAACAATGTTGTTGTGTATGTAGTCATCTAAACTCACGATTGGAAATTAAGAGCATCTTGACTTCATCACTGGAGATGGTATAAGTTGAAAGTGTGATAACACTTGTTCATAAATTTGATGATTGCATAAGACTATAATGGTTACATACTTGCAGCTGGAGAAATAGAGACCGATGACGAATAGATATATCCTTAGTCCTGGGGCTGGATTGCATCTAGCATCTAGACGATGGTTTTCGAGCCTTGTTCCATGCGTCTCACTTCTTATCCGTTATATAGTTTCGTGCACTTGCCATGTTGCACATGAATTCAACTCATGACGTTAAAAAGATTCTACAAATTTTCTCCTGGATGGTAATGTTGGAGGCGATTTCTATTATGCCCTCGTCACAATCCCTTAACGAGTCTGGTGTGCGTGTGTTGGTAGGCTTGTTAAAAGTAAGATCTTTGGAATCCACAAAGCCATCTATTATGAGCGTAGAGAAAGGACGCGGTCATGGAGCAGGGACGGTGACGAATGCCAAGGAGGAGAAATATCATAAAAACACCAATCGTACTCATGAGTGCAGTTAGTAGTAGATAGTTATGGTTATACCAGTGACCAAATCTATGTAAGTTTTCTTTTCACACTCCGAGAAAAGCTTGAAGGTTGTTCGCGTTTACATTTCTCACGACATGTTCTTGAGGCGGACAATTGACAGCGACTCACCATGTTTTCACAAAGAGTCCAGACATTGGCATTCTTATCTCAATAAGTAACTTATACATGTGAATATCTTAGGCATCGTAGGCGGTCATAGTCTGTTACTCCTTGCTCGTATTTTTTCTTCCTTTGATGATACACAAAATGCCGTCATCTGTGTTATGGGTACTTTTTTTGGGGTTCCTCATTTGAAATAAATTCTGGCTCGTTTTCCAATCGTTTGTCCATTTATATCGCCCAATGTGAAGTTTCACACTCAATGCTTTCCCTCTTGGATGATATCTCAGAGCTTGCCCCTTCACTCTTATCAATGAACCATTCCTTTGTTCAGCTATTACAGGTATGAGGTAGCAGGCCATCCTACAGCCGGAGCCCCAGTCCACTCCATCCGAGTTGGAGGCAAGTCCGCAGCCTGGACACCTGGCCGAGCTGCTGCTCTCAACACCACCCGCCTATGTTTTCGTACCACAGTGCTCCACATCGTTCTTGTGCCGGCGGTCTCTGTTGAAGGTCGAGTGTTCCAGACCAGGTCCATGTAACGTAAGGCAATGTTGGGGTGGGGGTGAGACGCCGATTAGCTTCCGATAATGCTCGGGAGCACAGTAATCCACTCACTTGCCCAGTCATGCATCACACACGGCAAGACGTTGGCTTGCAGTACAGCAAGAACATAGTGGAGCCGAGTAATATTAGTGGGAGACGGACGACGACACCGTCAACGAAGTCGCAGGGAGTTGTTACTCCGTTGGTCAGTGGATAGTATAGTATAGTATAGACATGCTAGCGTAGGCCTCGAGTGGATATTTTGCGGAAGTTACTCGGTTGCGGCGAGGGATAATAGGGTGGTGACAGGACCCTAAAAAAGTCCCTGTTGACCCAAAAAAAGTGGGTTACATGGTTTGCAGACTACGAATCTCAAGTACAATCCGTTGGGAAAATGGATGAATCACATTCGATTCGCAAACGCGTGAGATTATATACTAGATGATTTGGAGCAGTGACCGCAACAAAAAGAAAGGCGAAACCAAGCCACCAATATTAGCACCGGGGCATTAAAGAATCTCGGCCTCCAAGGAAGCGGCCCTTGCGTAGGGAAAGTCCTTGCGCACACATGAAAGCAGGGCTGCAGGAGGGCGTCCCTGCAGCGCTCGTGGCATTTAACAGGGCCAGATTCTGCTATTTCTATTTATCCACGATCTATTTTATCCAGACCACCTAATAAACCAATCCGTCGACCGGCCAACAGGTGACCCATTCCGAATCAGCGCTAAATCTAGCCCTCGGAGATACGTTGCCATGAGGCTCCTTGCCGCTCTTAAGGGCTCGAGTCAGGGTTCCGGCGACGAGAATCCGTGGGCGGATATGCAACTGACGCGAGACGCGAAGACGGAAGACGTGAAGCTGCAAACGAAAAGCAAGTGGAGTGAGTGCGGCCATGCACGAGCGCGCTCCATAGCATGCACGACGCGCGCCATGCCAAGCAGCATGGCTCGCGTTATTGCATACATTGCATACATGGTGCGGGCGTGACGTGACGGGCTCTCCGTCCCATACACATGGCATGCATGTCATCCCGTCGCATCTCCCCGCATCGCATGTATGCATGTATGCGAAGACGCGGCTACGTTAGGCTTCGACGAAGGCGCCGACACTTCTCCTTTCTTCTTTCTTCCCTCGTCCTCGCCCTCCCTCTCCCTCTCTCTGTGTAATCTCGCGCGTCTAGCAAAATTGCGGGGGGATTGATTTATTGCGCAACAGTGGTGCTGGGCACCTCGTTCGTTCGTTCCATCTCTCTTGCTTTCTCGAACGGAGGGCAGGAGATGATGGCGGGTGGGTGTGGACGTCCCGTCGCAAAACATCCTGCTGCCTTTTCTTTCTTTCTTCTTCTTCTTCTTCTTCTGCTTCTGCTTCGTTCCTCCTCCTCCTACTCCTTGCCCTTGCGGCTTCGTGCTCTCGGCCATCATCATCACAGACGATCCCGTCGCTAGCATTGCTGTAGCCTAATCTAATAATAATACGTGCAGTAGTCATGCCCTATCTACCATTCCTTTCACACCTCTACTACTTTAATCGCCCTCCGGTGCTGTGCTGTGTTGCGATGCCCTGGATCCGCCCATGAGTCAGTCAGAAGCACAGTGCAGTCAGGCGAGTGAGTGAGCAGTCTATCTTTCTTCGTCGCCGGTTGTTCCCGATGTGGTGCACTGGAGTGAAATCCACGCAGCAGCTGGGCCATGAGAGTAAATGGAAATCCTCGCCTCCCTCCTCTCCTCTCCTCTTCTGGCCCGGGGAGGGGAGGTGCGCGGTAGAATGAATGACTTGGGTGCAGCAGCGTTGCTAGGTTGGATTTAGCTGCTGGGCTCGCCGGGGTTTGGCCCGGGCATGAAAAGCGGGCATCCATTGCCGCGCTGGGACAAAAGAAAAGCAGCCAAAGACTATTTCCGGGGAAAGAGCGGAGGAAGTAGTAGAATAGAAGAAGTCAGTCGTCGTCCAACCAGCGCAGGAGAGCAGGAGAGCAGAGGAGTGGGAGTGGGAAGGTGGACCAGGGGTAGGGGACCGGAGAGGAGGGAGGAGGGAACGGAAGGGAGGTGGGGTGGGGTTGGGAAAGGCGGGGGATGACAAGGGAAGGCAAGGCAAGGCCAGGCGAACCAAGTAAGGGACTAGAGACAAGCGGAGAGTGGGAGGAGGAGGAGGTGGAGGTGGCCTGCTGCTGCCAGGGCCTGGCTTCCTTTCCTTGCTCTTGCGTTCGTTGGTTGCCGCTTTGCCGCTTTCCGGTCGTCGGTCTGCTGCTGGTGCTGCGTTCTTACTGATGCCGCCTGAATTTCGGGCTTTGGTGTCACCTTCACTTCTGTCATGAATGCCACACCACAATGCCATCCGCCTCTTTCTTCTCTAGGGCGAATAGACAGTCAGACAAGCTCTCCTCTCCCCCTTGCTACCTCTGTCTTGTTAGCTGATAGCATACACCGATCCTCCTCCTTCTGTTCCTCCTTGAACTTCCTCTACTTCCCCTCGTCGTCTCCTCGCGGGATCTATTTCGTTTTTGGCATCTGTCTGACCTGGATTGAAGCACGCAATCGGTGGTCTAGCAAAGCGTACGGGGTAGACTCGGTGTGAGTGAGTTGATTGAGAGAGCTAGAGAGGGAGAGAGGAGAGTGTGTGTGAGAGGGACGGAGAGAGGAGGAGGGAGCATCGCTTGAGTGGAGAGGCGCAGGGAGGCAGGGCAGGTGTACAGAGATTGGTGGTGTGTACGCGCGCATGTGTTTTGAGAGAGAGAGAGAGAGAGAGAGAGAGAGAGAGAGAGAGAGAGAGAGAGAGAGAGAGAGAGAGAGAGAGAGAGAGAGAGAGAGAGAGAGAGATCGATATAGAGGAAGAACTTAGCATAGAGACTCGGAGGAGGCTTTTGTAGGTGCTTCTTTTATGGTCAGATGCGGCAAGGAAAGGTGGAAGTATGAGGCCAGGGCCGTTGGCCTTTAGGAAGCAGACTCAAGAGCCAGAGATGGGCTGTTTCTCTTGCTTCGGCACTCGAAAGCAAGATAATAGGAAGCCCTTAAAGAAGGATGATAGCGGTCGGGAAGGCCAGTCCACAGGAGGATCAGCTAACAACAATCTCACCAAAGTACCCTCCGGTGAGTATGAGGAAGTCTTCATGGAACAGGAGAGTAGCGGCAGGTTTTTGAAAAACTTCGAAGGAGGGTCGTAACCGAGGTGGAAAGCATTTCGAGCAGTGTTTATGCCGATTGTTGCTCTTGCGTCGGAAGCTTAGTCATCGGTGGATTAGCTGCCGACCACGGAATGCACTCTCCTTTCATCTGCCCCACAATGTTGTGGTTATCGCTTTAGGCTCCCGAGATTCTCTGCTGACCATCTTTTCCAAATCTTCTCTGTGTGGGGTCTGGATTTGTAGTGCTTCATGCACTTCAACGATAGCAGAAACTTGCAGATCATTTAGTCGTCCGGCCTCGATGGAGTTTGGGAGCCGGCAATGCTAGGGTGATCGGTCGTAGTTTGCATGCCTCAGCTCAGAGGAGCATAGCGCACTTCTATTGGATCAGGATTGGTCAATTTACTTGTCTTAAATGCTCGGATTTTTAATTCAGAGAATGCAGCATAGCTGGAGGAGCGGATCTGAGCTTGTAGGGCTGATCAATAGGGCTAGGTTTCCCTTTGGAATACCAGAGAATGGTTGTTTCGCTTCTCACCCATCTGTGACCCGTTTGTCGGTTTACGCAGAGAACAAGACCAAAGGGAAAGGTTCTTTCGACGCCAAGAAGGAGGTTCCCACTGCGGATGGAGCAACTCATATTGCTGCACAGACATTTACCTTCCGGGAGCTTGCAGCTGCGACCAAGAACTTCAGACCAGAGTGTCTCTTGGGAGAAGGAGGTTTCGGTCGGGTCTACAAAGGTCGTCTGGAGAATACCGGCCAGGCAAGTACCTATGAAGCTTCTTTCTAAGGCCTGTGGCGAAGGTGGCAATTCGTGTTTTCAAATAGATTTCCTCCTTGTAAAGATGACGAAGCAAGTTGGAGAAAGTTGATCCTGAGGCACCACATATCCCTAACTTGCATGATACATCGGGCCACAGGTTGTTGCGGTGAAACAGCTCGATCGGAATGGACTTCAGGGCAATAGGGAGTTTCTGGTTGAAGTATTGATGCTCAGCCTCCTCCACCACCCGAATCTTGTAAACTTAATTGGATATTGTGCCGACGGTGATCAGAGGCTTTTGGTGTACGAATATATGCCCCTCGGATGTCTAGAAGATCATTTGCACGGTGAGATCTGTACCAAGGGAATTTCTTTTGTTTGTTTGATGTTTCAGTTGAGGTGGGTGTAGTCTTTCTGGGAGTGAGTGTTGGACGGCGGTATAGTAGTGAGGGTTTCATAATTCACCACATTTTGTGTTTTCCCATTTGAAGGATTCATAAATCAAAGCCCGCAGCAAGTGTGAGTTGCTTCGGAGTTGAGAGTGGTCAAAAGTTGTGCGATGAGGTACTCTTTCGTCTTGAACGATTTTAACAAGTACATGTGTCATCTACTGCAGATCTGCCCCCTGATAAAGAAGCGTTGGATTGGAATACAAGGATGAAGATAGCAGCCGGTGCAGCAAGAGGACTGGAGTATTTGCACGACAAAGCAAATCCACCTGTGATTTATCGTGATTTTAAATCCAGTAACATTTTGCTGGATGAAGGTTTCCATCCAAAATTGTCAGACTTTGGGCTTGCAAAACTTGGTCCTGTGGGGGATAAAACTCATGTCTCTACGCGAGTGATGGGAACCTATGGCTATTGTGCACCTGAATATGCCATGACTGGGCAGTTGACTTTGAAGTCAGATGTTTACAGCTTTGGGGTGGTGTTGTTGGAGTTAATTACAGGGAGAAAAGCTATCGACAATGCTAGGGCTCCTGGTGAACACAATTTAGTGGCTTGGGTACGACTTCCGTCACTTTCTTTTCCACAGTGGTCTGGACTGATTTTGTTGTGTCCAATGGTTTATGACGTGGTCTTTAACATCACTAGAATCACTTGTTGGACAGCTCAATGCTATTAATCTTCCAGACGGGCAAGGTGCATGGTGTCAAGATATATAATACGAATATATGTAATATCTAACATGTAAACTTCACTGACTCTGGTATCACACTCTCGTTGTGTCTCTATATTTCGATAACAAGTTCATGTACTTTCTACACTACTGATTAGAAGTGCGTTGTAGCATTTCAATTCATCCATCGGTTTATGCGTTCTAAGTACCCAATTCTGAATCAGTTCATTCTTAGTCAATATCTGGTGTCATTTCTTGACCAAAACTACAAAATATCATGCGTGAGTTTCAAACATAGCAATTAAATGGAGATGGGGCCGAGTGGTTATGTGTTGATTCAATAAAGAATGGAATAGATCAGTATCAGGATTGTACTTCTTGTCCCTTGATTACAAGAGCTCAAATCAGACTTCAGTGAAAAATTATTCAAAAAAGTTTGCGATGAATATAGACTAAACAGATAGCTATCTTTTGTCTTGGTAGATCTCTTGTGCTGTTCTTTGAAGAGGATACAGTGACAATCACTTTTGTTGACTTGGGGAAGCTAGAGAAATGAACACAATATTGTGGTTTTGGTCATTTTTTTCTGACTTATTTCAAAATAGCTTCTGGGGTTTGTCGTCAAGGAGTTCGTCGTTATTCGAAGAAATTATTTCTGTAATTTCTCTAGCATAGAAAGTAGGATGGAAATAAGCTTACTATAGTTTTGGACCTATTAGAGTCCCGCATACGATTAGCAATGACCAATTCTTTTATGCAGGAGAATATCCGGTTATTCTCAGTTAATGTTCTATCAATATTTCACATCTTTACCATGTCTTCACTATATGAACACAGGAGATGCTGTGGGGATCATTAGAAATTTTGTCTCGTTCCTTTACAATGTCTTGTCTGGATTAACTTAGTAGCTGCATTGGGGTATACGTTCATGTTATTTTTGTCGGAGTAATGTTGTTCATGATTGGTGGTCATTATTGTTCATGATTCGAGAATATGCGATGTGTTGGTTTTGTTTCATGATGTTGATGCAATAATGTCGTCCTCAATTGCAGGCACGGCCTTTGTTTAAGGATAGGCGAAAGTTTCCGTCCATGGCAGACCCAATGCTCCAGGGACGTTATCCCATGAGAGGATTATATCAAGCTCTAGCAGTGGCTGCAATGTGCCTTCAAGAGCAAGCCGCTACAAGACCTCTTATCGGTGATGTTGTGACTGCGCTTAGCTACTTAGCATCACAAACCTATGATCCAGGTCTTCATCCAGTTGGAAGTAGTAGATTTGCTCCACCCACACCTTCTCGAGAAAAAAAGGAAAAGGATAAGAAGTTAGGGAGTGGTGGATCAGAGCGCCACGGAAACAGTCCCATGCTTCCTTCAACAGATGAACGAGTTCAAAAGGAAAGAGGTGGCAGGCAGGCTGGATCACGGTCGCCATCCAATCTTCCATCAACAGCATCACCTGATTTGCGCAAAGATAGTGGACGTGGTAGAAACAATGGAACATTTGATGGGCGTGGACAGGACACAGGTGCTGCCAGGAAGAGGGATTCTGATGAGTGGGATAGATATGATTCACATAGAGAGAGCCCTGGTCACACAGGCAGGACTCCTAAAGACGCTAGGTCTTTAGCTCCTTCTCGAGAACGTGAACGGGCGGTTGCTGAAGCGAGAGTCTGGGGAGAGAACTGGAGGGAGAGGAAGAGGAGTAACAACCAAGGTGGAGGTGATGGATTCGATGGGGGTTTCGGCTGAACTGCTGGTGAAGAACGCTGGCCTTGACAAAGCATGATCACGAACATGCGTCTATCATGGCTCTAAATATTCATCTGTGAGTTCTTAGGAGGCCAAAGAAGTGAGTCCGATCTCCTCTGGTCAGGAGGTGAGAACGACCGCTGTGCTTCTTGATGTCAACAGTTGACCTGCACTGTGGATCTGAAACTTGCCTTAAGAATTCACTTGAGACGTGGCTTACTTACATTTGCAAGTACGCCATGGGTCAAGGATGGAACCAAAGCCTTGCTGACATCATTGCTAGCTACTATGTTTTGAGATTTTCTAGCTCTTGGATCCAGCTGAGGTATTAAAGCATGGGAAGCAGGATGAGGCGTCGATAAGCTAGGACTTACTGATCATGCTGCGAGATTGTGTGGTACAGTTATGAGTTTTTGGCACATGGTTAGGCTAATAAGGGTATCAAGTGGCTTCATCAGCCACAAGGAACGGGGAAAGAAGGGTTCCCATCTGTAGCCAAAGTAGGTGATTCCTTCTCTTGTATGGTAGACAGTTCTCCTCGTATGTGCACTATATGTGTGCAGTAGTAGTGCTTGGTGTATCTGGCTCGTGCCTGAATAGCCACTGTGAGAAGTGAGATTTGCAATTGTAAATGGTATGGGTTGACCATTGAAGGATAAGGTATGATTGTCTGCCACCTACGGTGGGTAGCTTTACCAATCAAACAATGATCTTGAGTTGTGTAGTTACTCGAGTCTGACTGGCAAAGCCAATGAATTGCAGCTAGGCTATCATCCAGGTAATTTTCCATCATTCAGAAAGAGGCTTTATGACGTTAGTAGTAGATGTAGTAGTTATACAGGCATTCTGGTTATGCAGAAACTGCTCCATGAATCTTGTAACCAGTCCAGTTGGATGGGTTGGACTGTGCTCAATCCGATGCCTCGGGATTGATAGTGGTGTAAGGAGTGAAAGTTTTTGAAGTCTCCGAGTGGATTCTCAAGGGGCAGCTGACCGGCCTCTAAATCTTTCGGAAGAGCCTCGTCACGACTGCCAGTTATTTAGTCTGCCAGTTATCTAATCTTTCAAAGGGCGTGTGAGGGTATATGGGTACACGAACTCTTGTTTTTCTAGGTGTAGTTCTTGCTGTACACGACCGTCTTAGAGGGTCTCAACTTTGAAGCCAAAAGGGTTGCGACAAGGATTTTCTTGTTCCTTCTTGCTGTAATCACTCTTGAGAGTGCACTCAGTATTGTTTTTCAAGACGTTAAGGTATTCCATCATGAGCTGATCACTGAAGTTCAACTTTCTCCACATTATCATTGCGTTACCAGCATGGGTGGACATGTTGCTGTAGTGTGGAGATGCCGCAGGTAATGAAGACTGTGGGAGCATCCTGTCAAAGTCCCCATTATGGTGAATGGTTTGATCCTTATGATTATGATGCTTGTCGTTTCTGCGTATGATCACAGTGACACGGTGACAAGATTCGCTGATGTGTATTGATCGGAGCATTTTGGTTGTTAGTTCCAGAGTGATAGTATTGTGGAACATGAACAAGCAGTACATAAAGTACTGGCTTGGGGTCAAGTCATATAAAGAATATGTGTGTAAGCGTGGGTTTGTTCTGTGTGAAAGCGTTGTTTGATTTATCACTGTAGGTAATGTGACCTATATGGAGGACTTCTTCTTATCCAATGTCTTTGTTTCTACGTGGCGACATGTACTTGATCTTCACATATGTCGGACGAAACTAGTGGATGACCGGGTCTTATTATACGACCCATTATCTGCCCAGTAGAGTATCGACCTTGAACCTTTTTTTTTACTGTCTCGAAGAGGAAAAGCTAGCGTTACATATTTTTGGTCGTTTACCTTGCTGGAGTCATGATCATTGCTTTTGTGCACGAGTCACTCATTGGTTTTTGTTTCCTTTTTTGTGTCGAACAGGCTTCCAAGGCTGTTCAGTGCAGGACATCCTTAAAAGGCATCTGTGACCAGGTTATAGCATGAGATGGCTATCGTCGCTCACATTTAGAACACACTATATATTACTCTTCGAGATAGTCAACTCAACTAACGTCAAAACATGTAAGATAAAAGACTCATGGACGGTCTTTTTGTACAAGATGGCTCGCTTTCCCTCAGTGGGATTAAGCCACATGTGTGCAGCTTTTTTGAACGCAGTGAAGATTGGTAAGATAGAGAAACTATTTTTAAATTATTTATCCCCAGACAAAAGTTCCCTTTACTGATTGAGTTTGTCTAGAGACAAATTTTGTTCTCAGTGGGCGAAAAAGACGAAGGGTCCCTCAGTAACCTAAACAGCAGTATGCTTGTTTGTCTGCTGGATTGTTTTATTAAAAAAGAAAAGAAAAGATGTCGATAAAGTTGCACAAATTGTATAGGAAGCAACTTGTCGAGTTAAAAGCCCTTATTCATTTCACCGAATCATACGCAATGATGCCTGTAACACATGAATTCGCTGTGAGGGTATTCCATGAGATGGATTAACCCACATCAGTCAGTAACTAAGTGAGACATACACCGGTGCGACGGTACTTTCAACAATGTGAAGCCCGGAATCCAGTCAACATGAACTCAATATCAACTTATGACGGCCGGCTAAAACTTTCCATTTGCCATATTGCATCACTACCATCGCCGTCAATGTCGAATCGTTTGCGAGTGTCCTATCTTCGAGCGCTGAGATTCGTGGTTGGTTGCGTTCCTCCGAAAAAATCCCAGTAGATAACAATATGAGTGCTGGTGTTTGCGTGGAACATGGTCTCCGAATCTTTATGGAGTCTTCTAAAGTGTGGAGACGTGGATGTCCACGAGCATGGCCTGATCCGTTGCGCGTCGACAAACTTGATTCGAGCCGGAGGACGGTAAGCCCAACGCTGGAAGATTCCGAGAATCAACGTGTAGGCGGTGAGAGCGGACTACGCACATAACGAAATATACGCCCTTAAAGGATCCAATCCAGCGACCGCTTTCGTCGAAATCGGGAGATTACGAAGGACGGCAAGCAAGGCAATGACGGCGAAGGAACTCCCGGTGTACATCGATCGGTGTACATCTTGCAGGCCAGCGAATCCATCTTGTCCTTGGCAACCTCGGAGTGCAGGCTAGAATCCTAGGCATATCTGTCTCTTCAACTCGCACTCGCATCTTGTCAGTCATGATGATGTTCCCTACTCGGTTTTCTGTCTCTCCCCGACGTTCTCTCCTCCGAGTGGTACACATTCACCAAAATAATAAGTAAGAATTATATAGCGACAAAGTATACCGAAACAACCTCCACATGGATCAAACCTAAGGAGTAATGTGCCGCTAGGCTCCAATGGATCAGAATGGATATATATCATACAATTATAAAACGATGTACACGCTGTTAGTCAATACACTTTCGTAAGTTTCTAGTTAGAACTGTAAATGTATAACAGAATATATAAAAAGTTATCTACAAGTGATAATTCTAATCAAATTTTTGGACAAAATCATTAATCTCTTTTATATTGTGTATAATCTATCATAAATTAAGGGAGCTCCTAGTTATACTTCCTCAGGTCTAATTAGCCATCACCCTACTATAAATTATTCCATGATTGATTTTGCCGAATTTTAGTTTTCTTGGGGTGAGTAGCAATTTGGCGGGTTTCATTTCTTCACACTCTTTGTCAAAGATGATTCCGTGGCAGACGCCACAACTGCCATATGTACATATGCTTGGTTCATTCTCTCTTGAGTCACTGGTGGCTTGTGGCGGAAATGACAAAGTCTTTGTGCTTACTGCAATCCATGAAAGGTGACAAAGTAATGCTACCATGTTCATGTTTTGCAAGATTGCTGGTCTTAACCATGTTCATGACCATCTCACACCACATAGTTTACCATATCACCGCTTTCAAGTCGCCCTGCAGAAGTTTGATCCAAGCTCCACGAATGCCGTTATACATCTATGCATGTCATACTTTTGCACGAAGTCTCTTCGTGCTTAGTACCTGTTGTACTTACTTTGACGCCGTGTGATCAATGTGGTCTATTTGGTTCAAGTTTAGATTTCATCACTTCAAGGAAGATAGAGTGTTTTATTGGGGAAAAGGATCCCCTCGGCACAGTTCCACGCGTTGTTGTACGTCGATGCTCAATTACGTTGTGAGCGAATATGATGAAACTTTGAAGAACCGTAAGAGTTTATGTCACATACACAAATCAGACTTAGGGTCCAAGAATCTTCTTTACTTATAAGACCATGCGTACGTTTCACATGATAATTCCATTGTGCACGCAGGTTAAAGAGATAACATTCACAATGGAGATCGAACGCTGAAGCGCGTCAAACATCGTGCGGAGGTCATAGGCGTGGCTTTGACGTGACGTCTCCCTCGAAATCATCTTTGACGTAAAGAGGAAAGAACAAAAATCCATCAAGTTGCTACTCACCTCACGAAAGCTATAAACTGGGAAGACCAATCAGTGAATAGCGTATAGTAGGGTGAGGGCTAAGTAATCCTAAGTGAGGAATAACTAATCATTATCCAAATTCATAGGTTTACATGTACATTCAAAAGCTTTGTGATACATATGTATCACAAAGCTTATGAAGAAGAATTATGACATGATCGTTGCAACTCTTATATGTAGTAAGTTTGTATTAATATGCCAAAAAATCTAAACATTTCATCTGAATTATGGTCTTAATGATGGAATTAAAAATGAGTATGAAATATGTCTATTATCTTTTTCATGACAAATTTGAGAATATTTTATCTTACACATATCCAGACTAGCTACAAACTCACTTACTATCCGTTTGATTCATGGAAGATTAGACAATGTAAGATGTCAACCACTCGAATTCAAAAAAGTCAAACCATTCAAAATCAAAAAAAGTCAAACTTGTTGTAGTTCTACCTTACTCTATGCACAACATTTTGCTTTTACTAAGATTATTTTTCTAAGTATTTAAGAGTGAAGTTCATCAACAACACATGTGAATGTTTTACATTCAAATTTACTTGATGTAACAACCTTATATGAGAAGAATAAAAAATACACAAGAAACACATACCAAAATGTCTACATTGGAGTAAGTGTTTTGCAAATGTGGACTCCGACCATGGAAACACAAGATATTTTTATCAATTAAAAAGTGAAGTTATGATCTAGAATTTTTGCTAGATCTTTTTTACAATGATAAAATAATCTAATCTCTAATAAATTTTTAAACTAACCTAAGTTTACATATAATGAATTTAAATATTAACAACAAACATAAATAAATATTTTTGATGATTTATCTTGTTTAACAGTTCTTGTGAAAATGATCTAAGCGATTATAAGTATGTATCATCAAAATTGAAGTAATTTTGAAATCTGAAATATAGATTACTCTACAGATGTCATTATTTTTTTATAATTTTTCTTCATCTAGAATTGTATCTTTAAGTTTTTTGAAGTGTTGTGTTGATTTTTATACAATTGTGTTTGTTTTAAATGAAATGATTCTTAATGATTTCTAGCAAGATAATGCCAACATCATTACAGACCTGGAAGTAATATGTTTTATCTTAGTGAGATTACGTGCTTATTAAGCTTTACTTAAAATTATTATTTTTTAAAATAAGAATTTTGATTAACTCTTAACAATCTTCACTCTTAATAAATTTAATATATTAAATAAGTGATATAATCAATGTATCAGTTGGATTGAGTTGAAAGTTTTCATTATTTCAATATTTTTTAAAATATTTATTTTAAATAAAATGATATATGATGTCAATGTGCATCACTTGATTTTTTACAAAATGTAATGCAATCTAGCTCTCACAATGTGATCAACAATATTATGTTAAAATTTTATTTCATTGATAAATCTATTCTACTGTATAGTACTTCATGCTATTTCGTTACCATTATATTTTCAAATTTTTTTGGATTAAATTATGAATATTTGCAAAGAAAATATCAAATGATGCATTCACAATTAATTCATGTATATGAGCTGACATTTGATCCTAAAATAAAAACTCAAGCAAATGTTCAACGAAAACAAATATTCATTCCAAAAATGAAATATAAGCAAACAGTCAACATCGACAAATTTGAAATTAATTCATGTGAACTATGTACAACAAAACATCTTTAAATTCTACAAATATATCACACTTACAAAGGTATTTGAATGCTTACTTAAAATTTCTCATGTAATGCAAGACTAACCAACTTAACTAATTAGGTTAAGGTAATTATTGTTAAAGCAAGATCTGAAGTAAATCCTAATAATCATCTCCTTCAACTTTGTCCAGTAAAATCTTATCTCCAAAACCAATATGATTACTCTATATAAATAAAAAGAATGATTTGAGTACATATTTTTATTTCAAATCAATTTAATTAGAACAAACGCATAGCCAAAAAAAATCAGAGTAGATATATATAGAGTTAATAAAAATTTTAAAATCTTGTAATCTTGCTCCTCATGGAAATTTTGTAAAAGCACAAAATATTTAAAAATTTTTCAAAGATGTAAATTTGGTCAATGCCGTAGCTTGATTGAGTTAATTATTGATCGTGATGAATTTAAATTTCTAATCAATAATGACTATGTAATAAAATGATACATGATATTAATATACGTGAAGTAACTGTTGACGTTGATAGTTATTTTCATGTTAAAAATTTCAGATTATAGGTTATTAATTTTTAAATTTGAAAAACCTAAAGAATTAATCTAATTCAATATAAGAAAGAAAAAGTGATTCAGAATCAATTTTTTTTAATAAAAATCACCTTTCTGATAGAAAATGTGATGTGATCCAAGCGTTAAAATTTCATATTTTGCACTCCGTACATTGTCATGAATATCATGATATTATTTTAAATCATTTTTTGAGAGTATGTTGAATATTTGACTGAATGTCTGAATATATATTTTCTCTATTAATGTAGAACTAAAAATATAATTTCAAAATAATATCTTCAAAAATTCTGCAATGATTACTAAGTGAATGCTTAGTATTATTACTATTTTCTCAAATATTTTGTAATTTTTTTCTTGTAAAAATATGTATATGCATTATCCAAAATTTATATCAAACCTTTGACTTGAAAAAGTCTATATGTAAATTTAAAAAATTATTAATGATTATTTACTTCATTGAGCTTTAGATTGGATAGGATAATATATTTCATATTATTCTATCTCATAGTATTACACATCCTAGAAAACTATTTGTAAAGCTTTTTCAATGACTTTAATTCATTTTAGAAAATTTCTATCAAAATATCTGAATAATCACCTTCATAAACATGCATTGAAATAACACCAAACGTTTGAACAATATTGGTTTTTTAATACCTGTTTCATCTTGATACAACAAAGCATTTATGTATTTTACATAAATCAAATGTGAACTTTAGCACTGAGAATTATTTTCCCAACAAGAACATCATTAAATATGTCAAATGACTGTTTGAAGTATATTGCAAAAGAGAAGCAACAACTCTTAGATTATGTGTGTTTTGTAATTCAATGCATTTCATAACTTTATTATGCAAGCTAAGAAGATATTATTTATGATTTCCTACTCGCTTAATCCCCTCTTTCATTGGATATTACAACGCGCATTGAGAAATGTATTGCTCTTTTTCTCCACGGCAGAAATGTAAATCACTCTTGTCTTCGTCACGAGTATTGTACATCTGTATCTTACCTTGGGTGCTTGCACTTGCGGCTCGGTCGCATCATTAGCAACAACGAAATGAGACGACTGCTCCTTCGACAGTCCATACAAACCCTGCACTGAGATAAGACTACTCCGTCAGATCAATAATTTGTGCACAAATATCCACCATTTCTCTCGATTACCTTCTAACAAATTGATCTCGGCCTAGTTCCATGTTCAGAAGATATCTGGTGGTGTAGAAAATCTGAGACATGGATGTAGGCCCCCATTGAGATGGCAAAATTGTGGGAACGAGTTTTGCAAACTAGCCGAACGAGCTTTAAGGTACTTTGCACCCTGAGATTCAACATCATAAGCACGCAGACCAGGTAAAAGGCGATGGCAATAATCCTCTCCTACTGCCAATTTGTACAGCGAACATCAAGACTCAGAGCAAACATCAAGACAATCACAGTAAGATTCTATCAGAAGATATCTGGAAAGATATCGAGTACAAGAAAATTAGACGGTTTCTCCTACCTTCAAAGTTTCTAAATTTGTAACAGTGACATCTGCCGCTGTTTCCATCAAGATCATCGATCCGGATCATGGAAGTCGTTTCAAAACTGAATGCTGAATACGTCACTAATATTCTATGTGGGGTATGTCTCCTTTTTCTTTGAAATTTGTGTTTTCCAGACGATTGGGAATTTGGACTCAGCAAAGAATGACACATTGTATCGCTTTTTGGAGATACAGAGACGCTCAGTCGAATACATACCTTTCTTCTTCGTCGTATGAAAACAACTCGAGAGATACCATTCTCGAGAATTTTGTGTGCATAACGGAAATTGGACTGAAGAACAGGAGAAAGAAGCATGGATTGTGTCAAAACCTTTAGCAAATGGATTTACTCGTTCAACAATCAGGTACTTGATAACTTCAGTCTCCCAACTGGATCTTTTCTCTGTGATCTACGTTTCAATAAATGCTTTGGAGATATTTTAGGAGATGTATTTCTGAACAGAGTCCGCTAAGATTGAGGTCAACTACGAGATCAGCTTGTGTGAAATTCTTGAAGCGTTTTGACAGAGTAAGCTACCGAAGTAAGTCATGAAGAGTATATCGATACTGCGTTACCGGTGGAGATCCTAGAGTCAACTTGGTGCAAAATGCAATCTTATGAATTGCTTGAAGTAAACACTGGACAAGTGAAGTCTGAGAATAGAAGCTTAGAATGAGAATCAATCTATTTTTGGATGGGAATTTCTTGCAGTTTTCTTGTTGGGTCTCCATATGTAGGAACCCCTGCGCATGTGCATCATTTAGCATAGACTGGTTGACTGTGAGCAGGCAGTGATGTGGGCAGAGCCCGATGTAGCAGGATTCCTGGACAAGCGAGGAGGCACATTTACATCCTGGAAATCACGATTTTTCATATTGCAGGGATCGACTCTTTTCTACTTCCCCAACCCTTACAATGTACCATTCTTCTCATTTTCCTGGCATTTGTAGAAATCATCGATTGTTTCCTTCTCTTGTCTTATGTGGAATCGCACTTCGCTTGCAATAGCTGTCCAACACGACATAGAGTCTAATGGACTAAGGTGTACTGAAATTTTTTTATGTTCAACAAAATGTAAGATCATCTCTCCGAGATTGCTGTCAATTTCAATGAGAGGTCACGAGGGGTTTCTAGTAGCCACTTGAGATATCTAAAACGCTGAGTGGTACGCACGTCCGAGATGTTCAGATTAAGATAGACACATTGAGGACTGAAAGCTGAAGTGGAACTTCGGAGAGAAGCTTTTGATTTGAGGATGTTTGTGGCAGATACAAAGTCCACTTGGTGTGCTTCCCATGGAGGGATCCGGCTTGGAAGCCGCCGGTATTGAAGAAGGAGGTCCACAGCGCAAGTGGTGCTTCAGGATAAAATTGGGAGCCCAGTTTGGTATGGCTAAAAGATCCACTTATGTCTTTGCAGCTCCATCCAAACAAGCTCAGGTGACTCCTCATATTTATCACTGGCATGTGAGAAGATTTTACGTTCTTTAGTTTCTTACTTCGTGATGTATTGTGCATCCAGCAGGATTAAGCTTCTGTAATTGACCCTCTGTTCGGAAATAAAACAGGAAGAGTGGTTGGACAATCTGAAGTATGCAGCCAGTACAAGAGCCGATCTCATTGGTAAGGTGCCGTCATCCGTTCCTCTTTGCAGCTAAAGTTACTTCCATGAGCTCGTGCAGAATGGATATCATCCAAGCACAAAAATCGAATTTTTCGTGTTTTTTCCAGCGCAAATTTTCACATTTAAGTGGCGACGACTGAACGGCTTTCTGCAAATGAGATTCCAAAAGTGTTTTGAAAGTTCCAAAGATCTGTTCATACACACAAGCAGCCCGAAGCACTTCACAGATCTGGAATGGATCTATGAATTAGTCGAGCTAATACATTGACTTATATTTACCAGCTTCCCTCCACAAATCAAGGAGGGTGGGTGCTGCTCTGCGCTTCCGGCTCTCTAGGTCTCCTGCAAACTTGAAAATTATTGCAGAGTCTAAAAGAGGCCATGAGGGATACGTTCTCCAGGTATTCTATCGGGCTACAGCCTTCAAAATATTGAGAATAGCTGTTTTCACTTACTATGGTACTAGGGAATATGTGATAGAAAGATGCCTGAATGGTGCAGCGTATGGAAACTTCACACATGATTCAGTTGTTATCAAATCTGTGTTGGTAAAAAGCTTTCTCTTACTATTGTATTGGATGATGAACCTTCGAGCTCATGGGCGGACAAAAGAGTCTTGATAAAGAATGTCTGGATAAAAAAATCTGTAAATTTTGGTGTTGTCTTTGCGGTCCGGAGCAAATGCAAGTGACTGGTTAAGAGAATATTCACGATGGTGTTTTTGACAGAAGAATGTAAGGGAGATCCTGATAGAGGCTCAATTTCAACCAGACAGAGATGGAGAAATTAAGAGCAAATTTGGTGACCTTTAGCAAGCAAGCGTCGGAGACAAGATCTGAAGTTGAGCTGGCCGAAGCAGAGGTCATGCGTGCTCTTGCTGCTTGGGATGTATTTGCGCATCATCTTCATGGTAAGTGACCTTCAAATTTCGTTTTCAAAGTCGTTAGTAATCCTTCATTTGTTTGAGATAGGTTTGAGAACAGTCCTCTACATCACCACTCTGAGAGTAGTTGAGCAAGGGATGGTTTGAGTTGATTGATGTAATTGACAGTTCTGAGCCGCATAGAGAGATTGTGAACCACCTAAGTTCTAAGGTGCCACCAGGTAGACTAGCAAGTTGTAATAGAAGCCTAAAAGTCGAAACATGTGAATGACACCGATTTCCTGATGCTGTAACTTTGCAATTTTTGTAATAGATAAAAGTATGTGGGATTATAGAGACAAACTTCAAAATGAGCTAAATCTGTCCAAAGAGCTAAATCAGCTGCTCGCATCCAAGGCTGATTTTATGGAAGGCCATAAACTTGACCTTGTCAGTTCTCTCTCCCTATTATACCTCTGTGTCTTGAAGAAGCATTAGGATAATCTCTAGAAATTGAAATCACATATTTTATCTCGAAATCAACTCTTTACTTTAATCTGTCCCGAGATCCCGTCGATACTTTCACTTGGTCACTTGGTAGATGACCGATTGTTTTTCTTCCTATACTGTTTCTCAGCATGTACGAGTAACGATAAGCTGTACATACATTTTGAAGGAATAAGCGGTTGCTCGTGTTTAAGCTCCTGCCGACCTCATGTATACGTTCCTTTTTCTGCTTCTTATACTAGTCTTTGACTTTCCTGTCTGTGCTTTTTACTCCAGCTCGACGAAGACGCAAGAACTGAACTCCGCAACATTTGTGAAAGGGCATTAACAAAGATTCAAGAACATCAAGCTAAGGTATTTCTCGGATTATTCTCCATGTTAAGTTATATGCACCAGCAACTTCTGACCGTATGGTTCAGCTCCAGTCGTGATCATAACCATCCCGCAAGAATTTGGTGACAAATAGTGCCTCTGCAATATATCTAGGAAATTGCACAAAAAATCTGCGCACTTTTTTTAAATACAAGGCACAGAATTCGGTCTCCGTCCTCCTTCGCCCACGACCTGATGGGTTCTTGAAAGACTGCAGATTCGTGTCAAGGCACCAAGGTATACGACAGAAGTAAACCCGCACATCTTTCCAGAGAACGATGAGCAGTTCAAGCATACATCAGATATCTTCATAATCTGTTCGAAGGTAACAGCAAACAAGAAGCTGTTGGCTTTGCAGAGAAGAGCAGCCAATGATAATCGAGTCGAGGCAAGGTCAGGATGGTTGGTATCAAAGGTGGGCACTGTGAAGTCTGTATCTAGAGACACAGCAAAGTCTGCTGTACAGAATGTAGCAGCAGAATTCAACAAAGACATGTCCACCCTAAGTAAATTTATCGATACGGAGGTGTCAACAGTCAATAAGTTTGTTGGCAAGGAAGTGCTAGCTGTCAGCAAGTTCATGGAGAAGAGCAAGGCCAAAGGTACAGCTGCAACGGCCATGGCAAAAGGCAAGGCCCTTACAATAGCAGCCGGTTTAAAAGAGGACATCAAAACTTTGAACAAGTCTTGGAGTAAAGAGATGTTGTCTTTCAACAATTTCATCGATAAGGGCAAGGAATCAGCCAAGGCGAAAGGCAAAGCGATCCATCGAGGTGGAGAGGCCATACTTAAAGGAGGAGTCTTCAAAGCAGGAATAAAAAGAGCTGTTGCATCATTAGGATGGACAGCGTTAAACAGGATGAAACTACAAGGATCGATGTTTAGCGGAAATCTTCTCACGTCGGGTAAATCACGCCCTGGAAGTGCTGATCCTTCACCTTCGAGGCGAAATTTCTGGAAAAAGCGACCAGGAAGTTCTAGCTCATTGACATCGGGTGGAAGATCACGTCCTAGATTAATAAGTAAACCTCAGAAATTTCAACGTGAGTACGGTACGAGTGGATTTGTCTCAGATGAGGGAGAACCAGGTGCGGTGTTTGCTGTTGGGGATGCAGACGCAGGTCAGGAGGCAGTTGGATTCGTCTCACATGATGGAAGAACGAGTGCGATGTTTTTCGATGAGGCGGAGGATAGAGGCCCCCAACTTCGAAGGCAACCTTCAGTGCTAGAAGGTGTACTTGCTAAGCATTCGAACATTTTGAGTACCGTTCCTGGATTCCGTCGAGGGTCTTTGAGTCAGCTTTCCCAGAATGACTTTGATAATTCTCCGTAAGAAACACGATGAAAGAAGTCTCCTGCAAACTCTGAGCCACAACAGAACGTTTGACGGAAGTAACGGATGATAAAAAGCTTTTGAACGCCACTAGAAACTGATATCCTGTCGTTTTTGTACAGACAGTTTACTTTTGGATAGATATTTAAAATACTTTATCGCAGTTTCGATGGCCCTCGACGAATCCGTATTGTTCTATAATAAGTCATCACCTCCTACGGCAACTCTTAGCCAGAACCGATTTTTCTCCCCCCCCCCCCACCCCCCCCCCAGCCATTCTGTGGCAAAGATGACAGCCTTTCTGTGCAGACATGACTCGTTTCTGTCCGCTAAACGTAACCACGGTAGTCATGCGTCACTGGATCTTAAGTTCCAATTGCCCTTCAATATAAAATCTTCCGCACTTACGAGACCGTGGGTTGCAGGTAGTCGCTGCCAGTGTATCTTAGTCATTCTAAAGTACGAAGTCTTGATGATCTCCGAGGTTAGATCGCTGACTGTGATCATGTTTTTAAGTCAGACAGATTGGACAGAGTCATACTGTCATTTGTTCTTCACATTTAAACCCGTTGTGGTTAGAAAAATTATCCATTTCAATCTCTGTTCTACCAGTATTCTGTGTGCTGACGACGTCCTGCTGATTGTACTCAGATCGATAAAGTGAATGTGCTATCGGAGATTAAAATTTATGACGTCAACTGTCGTTGTTCTTTCTGTCATTGTCGGCCGTTTTTAGAGCCTGATTGTGTTCAAGGAGCTCTGATATAATTTACAGCTTAATGGGCATGGACGTTGGCTTTAGTTTGAAAGATTGGATTCCGAGTGATTCACAAGTGATGTGTGAGCGGTAATGGATGAGCCAATGCAAATAACCATCACCATTACCATTTTATCTTACTTTGTACCCGCCTGTGGATCTTTACTCGTGAAAAAATCAGGCTATTGAGAGGGTACAGTTTTTGGAGCATTTCTAGATGCGAATGGCATATATCGAGGGATCTCTCGATGAAGAGCTCGGTATCCGATGACCGATAACCTGGGAGTTCCCGACGACTTGGTCCTCCGACTCCCCTGCAAATTACATACGTCTTCCGTGTCAAGAGATCGTTTGTAATGTCCAGCTACATACCATCACATTGGCCGCCAGTTAGTCAGCATGTCAGGTTTACACAAGACGACCTTTCTTAACAAGCGTTTTCTTAAGTACTGTCCTTGAAGTGAGTTTGTGAGAGAACGTCGTTGCTGAGGCGGCCAGGTGATGTAATGATGATCTCGGACTAAAGTATCCCGCTAGAGAGATGCAGTACATCTAAAACACAAGTGCTCTGAGTTGCAAGGACTGGATTATCCATATGAGGAAATGTGCAGCTCCTCGACTCAACTTCAGTTGTGCGACAATGGTGCTCTACTTCTGTCGATCTTTTTTGGTTTCAAGGATCACCAAGATCAAGACCACTACCTCTTATCTCAATGAAACACGGTATCACGAGGAGGTTCCATCCCGAGTTCATGTGTTCTTGATTCAGTTCCATCTTTCATTCTGGGCAGAGAATCTTGTGCCTCAGAGCCGATTAGAGACCGATGCATTCAGGGTCTCCATCTTAGCCTGACCGTGCTTAAATAAAATCCATCCCCACTGTCAGCGTCTAACAGGGATCAAGGGCCACGACAGGAAGAAAATGATGCACTCCCAGTGATACCTCGGCTTGGTTGAACACATCATACAGACCCCAAGTGATGGGGCTCGCTGTGTTGATGATCACACCAGCTTTAAGGGGCTTCATGAGATCCGGTGTCAAGAGTCATGAGCTCAGTACATATCTGTGTTGGCAGACTCGGCCTGATCATTTTTCTCGGGGGCAGCTCCCAAAATTATTTCATTTGGATTTCATGCTCAGATCCAGCTTTCCGTGGTCTTGCTTGATCTGAGCCACCAAGCGCTTCACACGCTTTTCTACGAAGAGGTCAAACCATATTGGAATCCCTTTGCGTCCTCATGAGGCGACCGAATCATCCGTTTGTTCTACGGAGTCGTCCAAGCGTCCAGGAGCGACGCACTCCTTGTCCCATCTGCTGCTCCTCTCGCTTTCGAACACTGTCGTCCATTCCCTCCGAGTCCGCACAAGAGTAACCCTCCTGCTCCCGACCTCAAGATGCTCGCATACCAGACAAGGCTTCCCCAACAGTGGCAGCTTCTTTGCCATGTCCTCCCTCCTCAGGTTTGAATCAGTCCCTTCTGCTCTTGATAAGAAATTGTTGCTTCAGCATATCTGATTCAAATTAAAGCAATCGCTGGGCTGCTCTATCACAGTGATGAATGATACTCACCCCCACCTGGAAAGGATAATGAGAATGCTAAGGAGTTGAAGAATGCAGTTCTGCTGAATTCGAATGCTCTGCAACCAGCTCCTGTAGCTTGACCTTCAGATCTGTATTATAGTGGACTTTATGGGAAGAAAGTCAAAATTCTGAGTCTTATCAACGAAGGCAGGCAATGGGTGCAAGTGGTGGATATAACTCGCTTGTGACAAAGAGAAACCAAATTTGGGTTCTTGGAATCCCAAGTCCTGGATGGTAAAGTGGATGTGACACTCCTCACTGCAGAATCTGCCAGCTCGTGAGGTTCGGCAAATATGTTTCCTTTCAGGCTTCGAGTGAATATCGAGTTAGCTACTGATTTCAGTACAGCTAATACAGATTGCGCGTTGACTTAAATCAGCGACCGCATGTAACAGTGTGTATTTTAAGGCTAAATTTAGCAGTATAATCACGCAAAGGTGAATTAGATCATGGAATGATCGACATTCCTTGTGACTTACAAGTCACAAGGATGCCGTAGAATGTTCGGCTATACAGCGTTATGCAAGTGCTCTCGAGGTAATTGTTCCACCCATGTCAAGGCTCCTTGCCTGTTTGCTTGGAACCAATGTAATGATCCAGTCCTCTGCTCTGTCGAAAGGTCTTTGCCAGTAAAAAGACGAAGTCGGTGCGTGTTTGGAGTGGAAAAAGGATTACGATAACTGGGGGATGACTTCGTCCGTCAAAAGTGAAAACAAACCGATTATCTCTTCAGTCCACAGAAAGAGGTGAATGATTGAGGAGTCACGTCCAACGAAGGCTAGAAGAGAATTCTCACGACCTACTGAAGTTCTTGCTCCTTTTCAGAATCTTGTGCACAGTCGCGTATGTGACATTAACCTCTTCTGCGTCTGAACGAAGTTAAGTACATACCGCTTGCCTATTCTCTCCCATGAACGAGGTGCGTTCTTACTGATGGAATCGTCGGGACGGATTGTTTCAAAGCCGGCTTTTTAAGCTGTGAAATGAAAGAGTTTGTGTCGATGAAGTGACCGTCTTATCATCTAGTCGGGAACAATGCTCAGTCTTAGAGGTCCTTCACAATCGTGTTACAGAAGGATCCTATCAACTCACAATTGAGTCATGGTTAATTCCTCATTTTAGTATAAGGAAATTGAATTTGGAAATAACCTTCAGTGAAGATTAATTTGAAGGATGTATCAGGATGCATTTGATGATCAATATTATAAGTACAAGTATGCTGACGCAAAATCGTGAGACTATCTCTAAACGCCATTGCCAAGACACATACCTATAGATTCTTACTTCGGTCTCATGTGTTTACATAGCTGCCATGATCCACTTTAGCCATTGTCCCGACACGTAGTTGTAGATTCTTTGTTGGCCTCGTTGGTTCACATAGCTGCCATGATCCATGACTACCAATTTCAGTTCATCGGTCAGACCTACAAGATCACCACGAATAAACTACTTATTTAAGTAGTTTATTCGTGGTGATCTTGTAATTACACTTCCTTCTACAAGTGATGATAAACTATGAAGTTCACCATTTGCTATCGATTAGTTTCTGACATTCATAGTTTAAAGAGAATTAAGCTTTTCAAGTAGCAAATGTACTAAATTTTTCTTACGGTGACTATCCCGAACACACTATGTTCAACACCTTTATTTCGTGTGACAGCTACGCTGGGAATTTAATTTTTTCTGATCAGGTTAACATATTTGCTGCTCAAGCTCTGCTCTCCCCGATATCTGCAGAGCATTATAAGAAAAGTTGCAGTATTACTGTGAGAGGTCTGTTGTGAAAATAGATAGATCTTTCCAGTACAAGGTTTTCATTTCAGGTCTGGTTATTTTGGTTCTTGTTCTTGACTAATATCCGAGTCGAAAGGCTATAAAATATATGCCTGTGTTCTTGAACGCTCACCTCAGAGGTCAAACCTACTCACGAGTACAGGTACCATTGTTCGTATACAGAATCACTTGATACTTGGTACAAGTCTGGGGATTGAGCTCATGGCTCCTTCAGGTCAGGTCAGGTCAGGTCAGGTCAGGCCATGTCTTGGAAATAATATCAAGGGCAGCGGAATCAGCATCTGACATTCTGGCTGGACGATAGATCCATGCCAGGATTGAAGATTTCAAGGAACACTACAGGAGTTGTCTGATCACTGGGAATCCTGCAAAGCAAGGAAAGGGCGTCAGTTAGTAGTACGGTCAGGTCAGCCGTAACCGGCTAAATAAGAGTGACACGATCCACTAATTTGGACAAGGATGGCGAGTGCTGATGTCATGCATGGAGAATAGTAGAAGCTCGAGTACCTTATGATGATCTCCGTTCAGTACTCAGGGAGATGTAGGTTGGAACATGTTTTAGCGTGAAGTGGATCTATGGTTGTTGACGTACAAAAGGTTGTGCCCAGCTTTAAGAGTTCGCAAGAAGGGGGTGCAATCTTCACTAAATTATTTGGACCTTCTGCTCAATTCTGGTTCGGCATGGATCTTCCCTTCTTGTGGGTCCAACACACTGATCGTCTCTCCCATGGCATCGACTATATTACCGACCGTTGTGAATGTACAGCTTTGTATATCAGTTATATCTGGTACGTCTTTGTAACGGCTGAATCTCTGAGCCTAGATGGGACGGGCTGTTGTGAAACTTAACGTAGCTGTAGGTGAGGGAATGATTTTTTAGCTTGCATCAATCCAAGGTTTGCCGATTATGGCATGAGGACAGGTTTGTGCGTCGGACACGACAGGGACTCTGTAACTGATGATCAAGTGAACCCTCAACAGAAGAAGGAATGAACTCTTCACTGTAACATCAGAATGTCTTCAGCGTAGCAGCAGATAAAAAGAGCGTTGACTGAACAGTGAGTTCATGAAGACAAACTTACTGCAACCTGGAGGGAGGGTCTCAGAATCTATCAAAACATATGGGCACAATGGTCTGTGAGGGTGATGCGCTAGAGGATACTCGCTTTGAGGCTGAGCGCTTGCTTGCAAGTAGTCGGAATTTCGTGGCTCCAGACTGGAACTGATCGTGTGTCTACATTCCAGACTCGAAGGCCGTGCAGTTTCAGGGGGTGGAGCATCTTCATCTACTTGAAGCTCGACAGAGAATCTCCAGATCTCTGTTTATACTGCCCTTCAAGTTGCTGAGTCCGCTGTCATAACTATCTCTCGGCTCCTCGTACCGACTTTCCACCAAGAGGGATTCTTAATTTCAGATAACTGCAGTGTTTTGGTCGATTGGACCATTTTCCCTTTAATTCCTCATTTTATCCTCCCCCTCTGTGCTTCTGTACACGTCTTGTTGTGCTCTTAAGACCAGTGTGGTGGACCAAATCAGTCATGAAGTAAGAAGTACTATTTGCAATCTATTTTCATGCCAAGATTAACAGAATGGAGGGGACAAGAGGGCTAGGGAGTTGGCACAGGAGATGGAAAGGGAGCGAGCATGATAGCTGGGAGATGCACATGAGAGAGAGGATATGCTATTGGACGGAGGTGGCTCAAGAAGGGGCATAACATGTACCATTGTAACAATCTTCGCAACAGTCAAGGGCAGGGAAGAAGCAGCTTGCACCTGAAATTCAGGCATGCAAGAAGATATGAATTAAATATATTCAAATAGAGTCGGAAGCGTGCTGCTGCCGAAACCGAGGAGAGAGTGGCGGGGGCTCAGATACCGGAACGGATTTCGAAGAAAAAACGTGACGAGAACAGTGATCAAAAGCTCGACCTTTGATTGACTTCCGAATCGTGTCAACGTGCTGCTTGACCACTGGAAGGGTGCGATTTATGCATTCTCCTGAGGCTTCCATCCATTTGCTGGGATCCATTCCTACTTAATGCTGCACGATTGGCTCTACCTGTAAGCCCATCGAGCTCTCGTTCTCCAGCCATCATTCGTACCAACCGCTGAGCGAGTTAGAATTCACGAGTTCAGATGGAAGTACCGATGGAGTGACGAACAAACAGACACGGCGTCTCATTTCGTCTGACCATTTTTTCATTCATGATGGCAGCAAGAGTCGTTGGTTGTTAAATTTTCAGTCTCGGACGCATCGAACGTGGTCTGGACTCGAATCTTCACAACTGCAACCATGCAAGGAAGGCCAACAGACTCACTGTCATTCAACTCCATAATGTCAATGACGTCGCTGGTAGCGATGGCGGCTCTGATGCTCCTGACAAGCTGCACGGTGTGTGACGGCTCTGCTCCTGGGAGTTCAAGACGGCTACTGCAGGTTGATGATTCGAGCTCTGCCCAAAGCTCTTTCAGAATGACAATGATGCATAGGGACCATGTGGACTCGCCCCTCCGTGATGCTTCTGGGAATTACAGCTTCACAGAGCGACTGAAAAGTGCTATCGCACGAGGCAAAGTTCGGTCGAAAAGTGTGAGACGAGTGATTGCAAAGCTGACTGAGTCCAATTCCTCCCACCCTCGAGAGGCTGAGCTTCTGGGGGTGAAGTCGAAGGTGGCTTCACAGCAAGGAGAGTACGTGGTCAATTTCCAACTGGGCACACCTCCTCAGAGCTTCGTGGCAATTCTGGACTCTGGAAGCGACCTGAACTGGGTGCAATGCAGCACACGGAAGAGCCGGATCAATACTCCGAACCCACCATTCAACCCTTCCACTACCAGCACTTACAAAAAAAGTCCCTGCGGTACCACTTTCTGCAATTCACTGCCTTTGCCCAGAATTTCATGCACCTCCACCTGCGAATACCAGTATGGCTATGGAGATGGAACTACCAGCATAGGAGACTTGTCCCTAGAGACTCTCCAGCTCGCTTCCACCACCGGTGGATACAGACGAGTCCCCAACTTCGCTTTCGGTTGCGGACAGGAAAATTATGGAGATCTGGCTGGAAGTGATGGGATCGTGGGAATTGGCCAGGGCCCCCTGTCCATGCCATCTCAGCTGGGCTCCGTGGTGGGCAAAAGGTTTGCCTTCTGCTTGGTGGGCATGTACGAAGCGACCACCACCACGAGCCCGCTGGTCATCGGGGGAGATGCTTTCTGGCCTTCGAATGGCAGCCTCTGGACGCCGATCGTGAAGAATGCCAGAAGCCCCACGTACTACTATCTGCAAGTCGAATGCATCAAGATCGCCGGAAAGTGTCTGAGCATTCCGGCTTCTGCTTTCAACATCGCCTCGAATGGCGCTGGAGGCACCATCCTCGACACTGGAACCACCATGACCGAGCTCCTCCCAGCTGCTTACAATGTTTTAATCGCGGGCTTGAAGACTGCTGTCAAGTTCCCGCAGATGGATGGGTCCTGGTATGGATTCGACCTGTGCTTCGACACGAGCTCCTCCGTCGCAGCACCGGTGTTTCCTAAGATCTCCTTCAGATTCAGTTGGAGTGATTTCACCCTGCCGGACGATAATGTGTTCCTGAACGTGGACGTGGACGTGTACTGTCTGGCTATCAATTCCGGCTATGGTATCAACATCATAGGCAACATCCAGCTGCAGAATTTCTACGTGTTTGTGAACAAGGACACGAACGTGATTGGCTGGAAACCAGCCCAATGTGATACGATCAAGTGATCGTTGTCGTTGCGACGCTGTAACCTTCTATTTGTTTAATAGCTTGTGCATTAGCAGGTAACTAACAGACAATCGATCGACACATGGATCTGATCCCAGGCCTCAATTTAGATGCTTCGAGGATTCCTAGGATTCTTAGTGTCGCAATCACTAGTTCTGCGATTTAATTGACTTTGAAGCTTCCGTAGGGGGAGCCCCTGCTGCTATCCGATCCCAGTCCTTAAATGGATTCGTGGATCTTTAGTGGGTTTTCATCCATTGCAGCATCCGTCTCTAGTTGAGCTGGTCCAATAACTGCTTCAAATGGCTTCTGAACCTAGGCCTCGAATAGAGTAGCTTACAGGATGTACGGTGAATGTTGATGCTTATTAAAACCCTTAGTCCTTCAATTACGCTGCTATCTGATTCCAGGCCTCACTTCTGAGTAGCTTCGAGAATCTTCAGTGAAATTCCATGAGCATGAACCGAGTCTTCACAATTCAGTAGATTCGATTGAGTTGCTTCACATGAAATTAGAGTTAGAGAGAGAGAGAGAGAGAGACTACTACCAGGAACCATTTCTCGTTGTATAATCCGCAAAATAAAATGGTTGTACACCGTTAATAAGAGGGTTATCTACTCTTAAATGCGTGGGAATCTAGTTTCGAGTCAGCAATATACTCTGTCTCTTGAGTGCTTCGTCTGCTTTCACGTCATAATCTTATGGGTGTGAAACTGGAGTCCTGAAGCCTTGGACTCAACAAAAATCCTGATAGACGCCTTCTGGAGGATCAGAATTTTTGATGCCTGCTTGAAAGGTGTTGACTTACCCAGTAGTTGAGACGTAAAATAGAATCAGAGTCATCGGAGTGATCAGACAAAAGAAAAAAGTTTCGCAAGTCGTTTTCGTTTTTCATCATGGCCCGGTTTTCGATCCTGGGCATACATCTCAAACAGGAGAGAGCTCGAACCATCTAGCCGAACGATTGACGCTCTGATGTTCAGACAAGAGGCAGCTCTATTGGATCGCACATGCGCACGCTGGCAAAGGGTGAGATACCAGTCCGATGATCCGTGGGTCACGCACTCCAGTCATTATGCCATACAACACAGGAGTGGCTGATCGATCCTCCACAAGTTCCTGTGGAGGATCGATCGAGCACATGTTGCTACTGCTGGTCCACAGTAGATCGCAGCTTAAGGAGCTCAAGTTGCAAGCTTCTGCCCTGTTCTCCGGATCTGACTTGCCCTGCAGTTCGTGAAGTCAAGTGGTCGCCTCTACAAGAAGTCTAGCTATGCGCACATGCCCTGCCTTCCTCCTTCTGCAGAACGAGGACTCACGAACATCCTGTGCGAACCACCTATGCCTGTAACTGGACGCATGCCAGTTCTCAAATCCGAATCCAAAATCGATTTGATGCGAAGAGTGTCAGGGACTACACCTCCAAGTCTGCTTTGATGAAGCAAAGAATTGTGGCCGATAATTTTGGTTTGGTCGTCAAGGAGTGGAGAGTAGCTGCTTTGCTCACACACTCGTGAAGGATTCTGTAGAGTTGAGCACGATCTCAACATATTGCTGTTCAGTGGAGTTTGGATCATGTATGTACACATGTCGACCTGTCACGTGCAACTAGCGCAGAAGATGTTGTTGTTGGAGATCTGACGAGAAACCTCGAACCCACTCTTGAAGGTTGAAGCTCGAGACGATGCACTACATTTTCGCTCACATCATGAGGAGGGGAACGACTTGGGAGTTGTCATCGTGCGTCGAGGTTTGAAGCTCTGCTGACGCTCGTCGGGCTCTTGCTTCGATTCCGGTTGCTTGAGCGCTGACCCACCTCCCGGGAGAACGATGGGACAACGCTGAGATTAGGCCTCTGCTGACGCATATCCTTTACTAAGAGATAGTATTCCTGAAAACGTATGTTCATATATATATATATAAAATAATATAAAAAGTTTCTGCATAATTAAAAAAAATGTAAAATTTTTTAATTTCATAAACATATCGTATTATGTAAAAAATATTTATATTATGTTCATTAATTTAAATATATTTGAGCAAAAGTATATAATTTACATTCATTATTATTATTTTTTGTAATAATATGAATAACAATTCATGAATAGATTACATTTTAACTATCAAATTTTTTGATTAATTTTTTTATATCATTGATTCATCTCAATCTTATAATAATTTAATCAAACACGAGAATAAAATTGATATGTTATTGAATTGAAATAAGTAGTTTAGTATTCCGAGATTTGTTCAGAGAAGCACCCTAGTTTTTACTTATTAAAAACTGATAATCTAACGTGGAGAATTTTCATGCTCTCTCTTATATCTAATATAGTGCTAGGGTTTAGAAATAACCTGAACCGTTATCTAACTAATTTGAGTTATCAAAGAAGTATTTACTTGATGGAAACCATCCTACCTAAATTGCTTATGGGTAGCATTGAAGCTTGGCTTCATTTTTATGGGACCCCACATGTCATTTATGTTCAAAAATCAACAAACAATGCAGATAATGGAAATTTATCAATAAACTGATAGTGTATTCGAACGAGAGCTAGAGTTACACACAATCCTCTGCAGAGTGCGCTCCACAACGGGATAAGTGAGGGAATTGAGGCTTGCTAGTTTGGTAACCTATCCTGCTGTGCCTTCTTCAACGTCAAGTTGAAATGGTGGTCTAGGGGACATCGTAAGTTGCGGAACATGGCTACTCTCGAGTACTTCTAAGCATTTGCTGGACAGAAATAAATCGACAACTTTGTTGCAGCCGTGTAGAAGAAATCAGAAGTTGAGAGGATTTTTCACAACTTTGCTTAATTTCTTGCCAGGGCGGAAGTGAAGAAAATAGATGGGATAGTCATGGTCACGGCTGGGATGTCCAGAGTCCAGGCCAAAGACTCAGCTCCTACGTTCCTTTGGCCTTGTCAACGTTGGAGATTGGATGACAAAAGTACCGAGCTACAAGGACTACAGAATCACCTGATTTCATGCAAGAATGTGAGAGAAAGAATTTCGGCCATAGAGATCAGCGAATGAGTGAAAAATGCATTTAATGGCATTAGACAATCCGGTATATATATGTAAAACCAGCTATTTCTTTGGCAGGCAAGCTGTTTACATAAAGAAGCCTACAGTATTGAACTGTATGGTTGCCATTGGTGAAGATCATTTGTTAGATGTTAAAGGTTGAAAGTATGTATGATTCTACAAAGATCCAGTTCAAATGAAGTTTCTAGAAAATAGATCATAAGGGGATAAGACATAACTAGTAGCTAAAGCTTGCATCATTGATCTTTGGGATCTTTTCACTTCTTTGTGATTTTTGCTTGTATTGTGTTTTAAGAATTTTGACCCTTTGCTCCCCGGCTTGGTCTATTACCATTTACCATTTATATGTCTACATGAACACGTTTTAGAACTTCTCGACGGCGTGCCGTTGGTCAGATCCCATCGGGGAAAGTGAAACTTGATGGGTACCATCAAGCAATTTAGAGACTGATGTGATCTCATCAAATAAATACCATGTTATCAAAAGATGTAACTTAACTCTTAACAATCGTCCCATTATGTTATGTCGAGTATCATTAATTTCATAATCTATATGATTGCTCTACAAGAAATTCTTAAAATAATATCTAACATATGACTCTCTTTTAACTAAAGCTAACTAAAACTAAACCATAGTCAAAATGAAATAAAACAAATATGTATAAAATGGGACCAAAAGTGCTAGTAAACTCTATTTGTGTTTTTCATGCCAAATTTTCAAAGTAACACAATATTTTAATTTTAATTTTTTTTCAATACATTCAATCAATACATTGTCCAAATTTACTTTACCGTTAATTTTGTCAAACTCAATTTTCTTATTACAAATTACAGTTTTGAAAATAAAAACTAATATCATACATTTTACTGTAAAATCTATCACTTAACATGCGACACTTGAAAATTAATAACCTAGTGTTTCAATATCATCTCATTGATGAGTCAACTCAATCAAATAGTTTATTCTTCTATTTTTGCTTTTTTGCACATATTGAGCTTTCATTGTAGGTTAAATTACAAAATTGACAAATTAGATCTTCAAGTAATGCTTTGTAGTGCGAATATATATCATCACACAATCTACATCGCTGACATGCTGCTCACACACACATAAAGAACGAGAGCGTATACACTCTGATGTATCACTACTTCAAGTGAAAACTATCGTGAAAATTCCACCAGCAAACACAAAACTTCACACAAAGTCAAGTCAAAACCACTCCACAACTTGGAGATTCCAGGCCGATGCAAACTTAGATGTATCACAACTTCAAATAAAAACTATCGTGAAAACCCCATTGGTAAATGGTAAATGGTAAAACACGAAACTTTACACAAAATCGTAAATTTGGTAAATTTGGTAAATTGGCAAACACGAAACTTTACACAAAATCAAACCAAGTACTCTTCACAACTCGAAGATTCCATGCCAATGCTAACTCAGATGTATCACAAATTCAAGTGAAAATCATCGTGAACATTCCATTGGCAAACACACAACTTCACTCAAAGTCAAGCCAAGCCCACTCCACTCGGAGATTCCAAGCCGATGCTAACTGGACACCATAACCAACCCATTGAAAGCTACTCCCAACGCTAAAAAGCTCAACTCAAAGAATTGAACATTCTTCAAGTGACCCCTGATTATATACTCTTCGACTCCTAACCCTAGGCCGATACTAAAAATAAAAAATAAGTGTGTACATGACACCTTACATCATCATCAAACTTCCATAAACATATATCCAATTGTATGTTTTTTCTTGTATGTAGAATCATATTAAGGAATTTGCATTGTCTAATAAGCCATTTAAAAATGCATGATACTTGAAATCCTTGAGATATCTCAAAATAAATTTCACAATTTTTCACTTATATCTACATGTTCACTGTGACGAACAAAAAATAACGTGGTTCACTTTCTACCAGAGGGCTACATCCACCCACAACTCTCAGCACTTTACTCCAAGTCTTGTTAGAAAGACATAATGTACATGAGGAACCCCGAGATATTTATTCCTAGTCTTGGTGACCATTCTAGTTATAAATAGCTAGTTTTGACCTTTCTCCTTGGCTGGAGTTAGCCTCAACATTCATCTTGCCCATAGTCAAAATTTTCATTTTGAATACAATTTCAATCGATTCTTGCATATGTTGGATTATTCTTCATTAAAATGAGCATGTAATTCATGTAAAATAATTGAAAAATGAGTTTAATTATTTCATTATACACCTTTTTTATATATACAAATGAATCATACACATTTTGTGAAAATTTTTATGACTTGATGTGTATCATAAAGTTTGTACACTCGCTTGTTATCAATCAAACTTTGATTATTTAGAAACTTTACAAACTTCCACGTCTTGTTATACATTAACAATTGCATCGCAAGTTATATAGTAGTAATTCACTCAAATTTATTGGAAAAGACTTTAACATATATGTAAGAACAAGGTTCTTGTTCTTTTAATATCAATGCAATGCCATCATTATCTTTAATTCCAATATTATGATCTTCAAGAACTGATGAATCAATCCATAATTCATACTTTATAAAATATCTACTTATTTGGTTTCATAAACTCCTTGTAAACAATTTCGGTTGAATTCAATTGTTTTATGTAATAACTTGAGGCTATTCAACAATGCTTTGTTTCTCCAATTTTTGCTCTTAAAAAAATTGCTTTATATATGTGTAGGAGTTTTTAATTGTATTACATTTTTAAATCCTTAATGATCAATCTTCCTATCAAGAACGTTTGCTCATGAAGATTTGTACTTGTTATTCTATGGAGATGTTACAAAATTTTTCTCTTTTTTAATATTCTAAGCTCATAAAAGTAATCATTTTTATAGACAAAAACTTTACAAGCTAATAAATCTTTAACACTTCACATTAATAGTTTATCGAAAAAAAAACATATTATTGGATGTACTATCCAATTTGCTTATATTCGTCTTAGGTATGAGACTATTAGTCATACAATAATTAAAATAATAATAATCTATAATAAAAAATCCGTTTGTGACTCAATTCAGATATTAAGAAATTTATTGCACTAGAAGTAAATTCAAAACAAAGGTCTCTTCATTTTTCTAGTAAGACAAGAATTTAGCAATGCAAAACCTTTTGAGTTTGTAGTTTTCTGTTTTGATTTACCTACAAAGTTACTAATTTGTTCTACATCAATTTTAATAGCTCCATCATCATTGTTATAATAGCTCCATGTTGTTTCACCGCAACAGATATAACCATTTGCAATAAAACGGTAAGTGGTTTGTTGAAAGATGATTTTCTTTGTTAAAATATCAGGTTATCTTCCGTATCACACAATTAAATTACTCCAAACCTAAGATCTCAACAGATAAAACCTCAAGTATTTGTAGAATTCTGCTATCAACAATGATATCTAATATGATTGGTACACTTTACTGAAACCACACGTAATCTTCAATGTGAAATCTTAGAATTGAAAGTTTGTAACCTCCTCTCTGAATATTAGCAAAACGAAAGATAAAGACGGAGTAAAATACATTCCAACTTTCTTGGTTCATATGTATGCGCGTATGAATTGGTTTACGCCTCTGGAGATAAAGACGTATTACATTGCATATGATTGGGATCACATAGATTTGGTGAAAGCAATATAGACTAATTTTTGGACCATATACCACAAGAGATTAGGACTTAGTATCATCAGACAAATTTGACCAGATAATCCACAAATTGGGCCAAAGTTCATGAAGACCAGTAAATGATGCTAAGTCTAGCATGAAAAAGAGATATCTGCATGAGATAAAGAACAAAAGTGCTCGCCTAAAGAAGAAAATGCACGACTATCAAATTCATCCCAAACCGTTTCGGATATAGTATAACGAGCCAATGATGTCTGTAAGTAAGTAAGCGGAGTGTGTTGTTTAGGAGGCAACCAGGATTGAACTGATGACCTATCGGACTGCAGCCGATAGTATAACGAGCCAATGTTTCTAGGCTCAAAATGCGAGCGATCAAGTTAACGAAACATGATAGAAATCAATCTGTAGCTATCAAAGCCTACACAGACTCTTCTTCTTCAGCTGTTTCTAGAACTCGATAAACTAGCACTTTTGTATGTTTTGGGTTAGGAGCCATTGCAGGAAGGGATTGTGCCATGCAGCGGATAGAGAGAGATGGAATGACAGTATAGACGAGCTTCGGCAGATGAAGTTGGAAGCAAGGAGAGTTGCTCCCGATAGTTTGCACATGTGAATCATAATCTTTTCTAAGATGCATTCAGTCGCTGCTTTGTCATGGTCTTTATATTCTGTGGAGTCAGCAATGTCAGCTCCTCGGGCTGTAAGAGCTCGTTATATGGTCCTGTCAAATTCTTCAGAATCTGGAATCAGCAACCTTCCCCTGCTAATGCAGAAACCTTGGTTTGATGTCAGTAACCGAGTATCTGCAAGACGTAATTAAGACTGGAGACGATAACAGCGGACTCCTCAAAGGTGATCAGCTGCAGCGTGTTGTCCTTGAAGATCAGACAATGTGTGAGTCAAGGAAATGTAAAAGTGTCAAGGAGACCATCAGAAGAGGAAGTATGCACTTGTGGGGTACAGTTTCGTACATATGCACCTGCAATCTCTGACAACCAGGAGCGATAATTACGGACAGGATCACGATCCAAAGTTCAAAGTGGGCATTGGGCTCCGCCCGAGAGCATAACTGGTATCATTGGGCTCCTTTTTTCTTAAGAAGAGGCACGGGGTCCACGCAAAAAGTGAAGGAAAGAAGAGGTAGATTTGCCTATCCTAGTCCTCAGGGTTGTTATAGACTAGAGCTCTTGCCCTCCGTTCGGTTGTTGCTCCTACTGACGTGTTTAAAAATTTGTCTGCAAAAGGTACTGAATCTACCAGATCCTGCATAGGCTAAAGTAGTATCTTGGACTCTCTCGCTGCAATGGAGTACAAAGAGAGAGTCCCGTGAAGATAGAAAATTTTCATCCCTTTGAGGTGAGGCGACATGACATGAGTCGGGAAGGAGGGGGATTCTGGGAGGTGAATAGGAGAAAACTGATATAGTAATTATTTGCACTTCCTGTGTAGGCATTCACTCATAATCATTTCTGGCGAGCAAATAAGGATCGCAGTCTAAGTAGATAATGATGTGAATGAGGTTCTATTTCGGAAAGTCTGGTGACTATATAGTACCAAATCGAGAAGGAAAGAGAAAGATAGGAAAAGAAAGAGAGAGAGAGGAGAGAGATTTGCACTTTGGACGTTTGAGTATCAACACCCAAGCAACGATTAAAAATTCAGCGACATTGATGTTTGATTTGGATATGCTGTTGAAGGAGCATATTCAAAGACCTCAAGCAGTAACTCGAGGCCGCACGCCCTTCTTTGCAAATGAGTTGTGGGACCGATCAATCAAACAGCGAGGTGATTACCATGATGAGCGGTCTAAAAGTTGACTTATCACTCGATGGCTCTATGAGAAGCTCTTAAAAGCCGCTTGACCCTTCTAATTTCTGGGCTGAACTAATTACGACATAAAATATGGTAAATGGTAAATGATCGACATTCTACTGGTTGTAGTGTCTGAGTGCACAGCAGTTAACAGCTGTAGAGCCTCCAGTCTGGGCGTGTGCAGTCTGAAGTGCAACTCGGGTCAAGGACTGAATACGTTCTTGTTTTATGACGTACATCTGCATTGTATCCGCGTTTGCTCCCAATTCTTATGTCCAGATCAAACGATCTTGGGACAGCCTCTCTTTTAGAATGGTAATCGCGAGTAAAAATTTAGAAGATTTGTAAGTTGAATCAAGACCATCGTAGCTTTAGATCTGATCAAATTCGCCTCATCGTCTCTCTACTGGTGCTGTGAAACAAGTTCGTGCATCGCTTTGAGGTGGGATCAGATGTGAACAGGGGCGATAGGGACTCGTGATCAGACGTGGATCACTGTAAGTTGTGGTGTTCATCCTCTGAGGCATCAGTGATAAAAGGTTGTCGACAGGACAAGACGTATATAGGCTTGGTGGATGTGAACCTCCAAGATATTTAGGCCTCCGATCTTTCCGCCGGCGGACATTAAGAACTACGAAGAATTCGCAGGCAGAAACTGATGAATTCGTCTTCTCAGGATCAGCAGCTAGCGAGAACTACCTACTGCCAGTCTACCCAATTCTGAGCTGGAGTGGGCTAGCATGTAGATTTCCGCGCTAACAACAAGGATTCAAAGTCGTTGGTCTATACAGGAAAGTTTGTGCGAGCAATCCAACTGCTCCTCGAGCAGAGCTAGCGGACAAGCGGTAAGTGTGTATCATGGATGATGCAAGCAATGAATTCCAGGGAGCAGGTGATGAATACGATCCAAGGCTGGAAGTTGAAGTGTCTCATATGGAGACGACTTGAGTTGGGCAGCTGGGCAGCCACAAAGAAGAAAGAAAGACTGGGCATGCCAGGACCTGTGGAAAAGCAGTAGCATCTAGCTCGAGGCGGAAAAAGGCAGTCTCAGAGAGAGAGACAACTGAAAATCATGGAAAAGTACAAGCACATGACGATGGAGGGGGAATGCTCAGAGGAGTGCACCCACCACGAGAGGGAGAAGAGAAGCATAAGAGAGAAAGATCAAAGCGAACGCAAAAAGCATTGCACGTTGGAGGTAAAAGATTTGCTCGGACTGGCTAAAGCCCTCGAGCTCTAAGACTTTAAGAGGATTATATGCTCTGCGTGTGGTCCACAGTTTCTTAAACTTTGTGTGAGTTGAGATCGTTGGCCATGGTGCTCGGAGGTGGGTACCAGTGCTGTACCAGTTCTTTCTCCTTTCTGAAGAAGAACTGCCTGGCCCCCGCCCTTACTTCTCGTCTTCAATTTATCAACCCGGTGCTTTGAAGTATCTTTTGTCGATCTCGAGTTACGGGTGTGGAAGGTCAATGCACCGAGCCAGGGGACTTGAAATCGGATGACTGTCCGACCCACTCGGCTGCTCAATACTTGCAGCATGCATGCACTGTCCCAGCTTTGCCCGCCCTGGGCGACAGAGCAGTTGAAGGATGGCTCCAGGCATGAAATTCCTGATGCAAGGATGGGAAGCATGCACTCTGGTGGTACAGGTAGGCGAAGCGAGGATGTGTGAGGAGGCGGAGGAAGAGAAGTTCGGGTCGTTCACAACAACAGGATCAGCGACGACGACATCAGAAAGGACCACCGAGATTCGTCCATAAAAGAAGCCCCTAGGCCTTCCAGTTCCACATTCACGATGACAACAGCGAGTGGCCGTCGCACTTGCCAAATCTAACTTGCTCTCGACTGCTTCGATCTTCTCGCCTGGCGTGCGGCCTTAGATTCGGCTAGAGCAGTTCTCGAATTCTGTGGAATTCTCCCGTAGTTGACTGTATCCGTCCAGCATCACCATATCAGTACAATGCAGTGAGGTATCAGATTGCCAGCATCTTCGCTTTGAATTCAGCTCCGGGGCACCCGAAGCATCGACCTGCCCTTGTAACATAGACGACATTGTCACCGAGCCCACGAAGATGCATGTCCTGGCCCTCGCTCGAGCTGGCACTGCCGCCCGATGGCAGCTGCTGCCGATCCTCGTGCAGCTGGTGATTCTGAGCTCCGACAATGCACGAGCAGAGTTGACAGGAGACCTGAATTCCCTGGGCTATGAAGTCCAGCTGATGCACATTGACCATCAGGACTCGCCACGAGCTGGATTGAATTCGGACCTGCGCGAATCATCGACATTTCTCAGTCTCCGAGATCGCTATGCTCGAGCAGCCGAGCGCAGCAGAGCTCGGGTCAGATCGTTGCAGCTGCAGCTGCAGCTGGCCCAAAGAGCACGGTCGAAGTACGCACCGCAGGAGGACGAGACGGAGGGAGCACCGAGCTCGAGCGCGGGGATTTCGCCCGTCTTCTCGCAGATGGGCGAGTACATCATGTACTTGACGCTGGGCACGCCCCCGAAGAAATTCACGGCCATTCTGGACACTGGCAGCGATTTGGTGTGGGTGCAGTGCAAGCCGTGCAACGATTGCTTCGAGCAGCCGGACCCACTCTTCGATCCGAGCAAGTCTTCGTCGTTCCGCCAAGTCGACTGCGACAGCTACTTCTGCCGCTCGCTCCTGCTCTCGACCTGCGCCGACGATCTGTGCAAGTACAGCTACGGCTATGGAGATGGCTCATACACTGATGGCAGCCTGGCGCTCGAGACCATCACGCTGACAGACTCGCGCCGCAAGCGCCAATCCTTCCCCAATTTCGCATTCGGCTGCGGGTCCAACGACGCAGGCGATTTCTCGAGCTCTGATGGGCTCGTGGGGCTGGGCCGTGGGGCGCTGTCGATGATGACGCAGCTTGCGCCCAAGCTCGGGAATCGATTCTCCTACTGCCTCGTGCCATTCCGCGATGCTGTAAGCAAGACGAGCCCGCTGACCATCGGCGGATCGCAGCCGGCGGAGCTCATGGCGGCCATGAGCTTCACAGCGCTGATCAGGAACAAGGCTGCGCCCAGCTTCTACTACGTGCAGGTCGAGGATCTGAGCGTGGACGGGACGATGCTGAAGGTCTCGAGGGCGGCTTTCGAGATCGATCGCTATGGCAGCGGCGGCACCATCGTCGACTCCGGCACCACGCTCTACTTCCTCACAGACGAGGCCTACGACCCTCTGAAAGCTGCGCTCGAGCCTCTGATCGCGTACCCGCTTGTCGATGCGTCCGAGCTCGGATTCGGGCTGTGCTACAATCTGTCCGCGGTCGAGGAGCCCGTGTTCCCGTCCATCGCTGTCCATTTCACCGGCGCCACGCTCGATCTCCCGCAGGCCAATGCCTTCGTGCCCATCGACGACGCCGGCACCACCTGCCTCGTCATGATCCCCACCTTCGGCTTCTCGATCCTCGGCAACCTGCTGCAGCAGAATTTCCTCTTCCTCTACGACCGCGAGAATTCCCGCCTCGGCTTCACGCCCAAGCAGTGCGATCAGTGAGCACCCTCTCGTCCCACCCACCGATCTGTGGGTCGTCCATCTTCGATCGGGGTGTGCCACTGCAAATCACATGCGCTCCGTATTGGCACATTTCCATTCTCTCAGTCATGTTATACTTCTTCGAGCGCTGAATTCCCATTCGATTGGTGCTCGAGCATTTCACCTCGCCATCATCATCACACGGGGATGCGTTGCTTTAGCTCTCGGGCTCCTTGCAGCTCGACTGAGCTTGTCTGTGCATGGCCCATTCTTACTTGCTTAAATACTTCCTTCTTACGAGGACAGGGGTTGGGGCTGGGGCTTGGCGTGCGAGCCAGGCTCTGAAGGGCCGCCTCCCACAATCTGAACGCTTAGCTTTAGCAAATGAATTCGTTGGGTGCGATTTGAGGCATCTATTCGATGGTTGGACAGAAATCAGAATGTCGTGATACCGTCAATACTTAGGTAGGTAGGTGGCCTCGGGCAAGGCTAGTGTAGACCGGGCTGAGATCTGAATTTCTCTAAGCTGGAGCTGAATTGGGCTAAATTGACGTATATTTTCCATGGCTTCTGCGTGCAGTGTGCACGTGGTGATGTGCTGCGCTGTATGGTCAGATAGAATAAAGATCGGAGTCTTGGTCCGTCCGTGCTGAATCTTACCGAGCCGATTTTTCTCGAGATCTGTTCATCTAATCGTATGTATGACTTACCGGGTTCCAGCATGCGCTCGGTGAATGCTTCGAGAGAGAGATGTTTTCTGATTCGAAGCATTGTTCACGGTTCAAGTTTCTGTCCCTTCTGTCTGTCGTGTAGTTTTCGAGGTCGAATAATTCCATCATCATTGTCATGTCCACCGCAGAGAACTGCACTATATTCCTTCCCTGACGAGAGGTCTCAAACGACCAGGTAACTCCATAAATCTCTGTCTGCATCGAGTCTTAGATTATATCCAGATAGCCGCGATTCTCAGATAGCCATCGTGTCTCAGATGGTTTTAAGTACCGCGTGTAATGCGAGACACATCGGCATCTCATGCGCTGCTGCATCACTCGTCATAACTTTGGTGCACAATCCGATCATCGAGAGTATCGTGAGTCCTCACGAGTCACATGCAGCCATAAAGCGAATTCGTTAAACATTGAGAAGCTTGGGCATGGTCCAGAGGTGGACAGACAAGAGAGCCCTCGCATGAACGTGCCAGAACATGTTCACATGGAAACGAACATGCTCCTCAAACGTCGGGAACCTTTATGGTCCAACGGCAATGCGTACTGGTACCTCCAGATGCAAAGCAGCAGCAGCAGCTGCTGATTACGTCCTCGTCGACGACCTACCTTCAGTCGCCAGGCACCAGCCTTCGATTGCATCACCCCTGGCGCCCTCGCGGGACATTTGGGTACAAGGGAGCACAAAAGGCAAAGCTGACGAGCATCGGAACAGAGAGCGCATTGGATCTGAAACTCTGCACAAATGACCGACATGTCTGACATATGGTGTGCCAAAATGTCAGCACCTTTGTAGCCATCGAACAGTGGCGGCCAATATCATGAATCAGATCAGACGTTCATGATCACTACAGTAGCAAAGAAAAGAATATATTGATATTAATATGTGGACCGCCAGTGATTGTGGTGAGCAGTTCGAAATTAGCTGGCCATAGCTACGTACAATCTCTAGTGGTGCTCCTGCCTGTTCTGCTGCTGCTAGCCTCGAAGTGCATGGATGGATGGATACATACAGACAGAGAGACAGACTGGGGCTGCTGCTGGAGACAGCACTTCGATTGTTAGCGTTCGCACTCACTGGTGGTACGGGTGGATGGATCGTTGGGCGTCTGCAAACCAGTGTCGATCATCGCTCTTTCTGCTTCTGGCAAGGCTCGGCTGCAGGAAGATCGTCCTCCGCTTTGTTGAGAAAAGCAGCAGGGGGCCGGACCCACTGCAGGATTCTGTATGAGAGTATAGAGAGAAGGGTGAGAGCGAGGACCTTTTGGGATTCACGTGGTGCTGACGAGCACTGAGAGACGCTGAAGGATGCACAGCAAGCGGTCGAGGAGGACAAAAGCGGTTGACGGCATGAGCAGATGAGGACGAGGGCGAGATATCTCCTTGTACGTGTCCGTCCTTCTGTCTGTCTCTCTCGAGTTCTCGACATTCGTGCTGTTGCTGAACGGAGCAGCAGCACGAGTCTCGACAATTATCTCGAGCAAATCTTTCGCGAGTTGATTCGCCTGTGCACGCACTGTCGCAGTAGGTGGCATTCAATGTCCGTCCCTCTCTCTGAGTGTCAGTCATCTCAGCAATGTCTTACAGAGTCAGATCTGCTCTCCTCCCTCCCTCAGTCACTCCGTCCCCCAGTCCTCACTCTTGACCATCCGAGCCCATTGTTTGCTGCTGCATTGCAAAGCACTCGCGAGCCATTATTGATCACCTTTGGTGAACCTCGCGAGAATCCGGCCCCACCGTGGCCCGAGAGCTGTGCTGCTGTCCACTGGCCGCTTGAAATGCATTGTCCACGATGCGCATCAACGCCGCATGCACATGATGCTGCTCCCGATGCTGTACATGAAAGCTTGCAGAACTTCCTCGTGATCCTCTTGAACTAGCTTCTCATTTGTCCTCTCTTGTTACATCAAGCGAGCTTAAAGACGCAGTGGAAAAGTCTCCCCTCTCCGTGCCGAGTAAAACATAAGCAGGCATGAAAAACAGGGCTCGTCTTCTGAGGAAACTCACTGTCCTCGGACTCCGATTACGTTCTGAATCTGAAAAGTGACATTTGCAGTAGCAGACATGATCGAGTTTCTCCTTCTGAAGCTTGTCACTAAACCCTACTGCTTCTGGGTTTGTTTGTATACCAAGATACAGAAGCATACATACTTGACGACTGACTGTTGTTTGCCGACTGGACATCAATCAGTATATCTCTAAGGTTACGAAGGTTCGTACCTGCTGCTTCTGCTGCTGCTGCTAGGTTCTTTTGTCTCCTTTCAGGCTCCTTGGTTTATTGGCATTGGAGAGGAGAGAATTGGGAAGAGCAATGTTGGAACATTCCTCACGAAGGAGTATACACGACCTGACCCTTGGCCTGGCCTGACGAGGACAATGATCACCAACAAAGTGTATGGAAGTATGTTCTGCAATCATGAGCCAGATCAATCAACCAGTTTGAAAATGTACAAATCTCTGTTGTATTGAGCAAGTTTAATGGCTGCCGACGTCGATGTAGGGAGCGTGGGAGGTTTGGACAGGAGTTGTCCAGGCAATATCCATTGCTTCTTTCTTGTATCCATCCAGCTCGAGCATGTGCACAGCATGAACCCTGGTGGGCTGCAGCGAGCTGCCAAGCATGTGTGGCTGAACTGAACAGTCTGCCACAAGGCCATGTATGGATGAGGAGTGACGCCTGCCCAGTAGCGGTGGCCTGATGACAGGGAAGCCCAGAGTGTTCTTTTCAGATTTGTCTAGAATCTCGTGAACCAAGGTCTGCAATCTGCGCGTGCAAAATTTGGTGATTTTCCTAAAAGTAAAGGCGATTCTCTGCTCTGACGAGATGCACTAAACTCCAGTCGACCAAAGCTCGTTGATAACCCGGTGCTAAAGCATCGATCGGAGTAGCTGTCCCGGATCTTTTCAGGACCTTTTTAATAACAAATAAAATTTCTCTACTGCGCACGTCAGAGAAGAATTCTTCTCTTGTTATGTCCTGGTGACCTGCATTGCATCAATGTAGGTTATGAAAAAACCTTCCAAATCCAGTTCGAGGAATTCCAAAATGCGGTAACTTAAATTTCTTCTTCTTTCCTAAAACCCTGCTTTTCAATTTTTTGAAAAAAGAAAAGCAGTGGACAATCTGAGAATCTTTTGTTACTATTTTGAAGAAAGCATTGGACATGAAAAACTTTCGAAGACACAAGGAGCTTTGTGCTCAAATGCGATGGCACACAATAAAAGCCTCAGCGCCAAAGTGACATACAATTCCGCTAGACAAAGCTCTTCGTTAGTACATGGGACCAACATTTCATTTTATCAGAAGTGAACAGAAGACAGCATGATTTGGCGTCTCTCTATCACTTGAAGAATGTGTTTAATCAATGTGTTTATCACATCTCTATCACCCTATACCCTTGGATGTCCTTGAGAAGACGTCAACAACAGCAGAAGAAATGCAATCGAGGCAGCAGGGCAGGCCGAGGTGCTGGCTTAGAAGGCACGTACGTTAGTCAGGAAGATGGCGAATGAGAGAGTGAAATCTCAGTGTCATGAGGAAACAGATTATCTTCGAAAATCGAGATTGCTGCTCTTGTATGGTTCCACCAGCTTACTCTAAAGACTGCCTGAGTCTTACAATTCTCCTAATGTCGATTAAACAGGATTGAATTTGCTACTGTATCTGATGGTCTGGCCCGGACTGGCCTGTCCTACTATAACGCCGCCAATGTGCCAACACACATGTCCAAATGACGATGCCAAGAACGTATTTCTAGCGCCACGTTTGTTGTGGCCAGTCTGATTGCAAAGACATCTTTACGTTCAGCTCAAGAGACCGTCTGATCATGCAAGCAGCAGCCTCACTGTTTGTACGATTTGGTCCTCCGTGAGAGGGCAGCACTGAGCGCATCAATATATTGCTGAAGATGCAGAGTCGTGCAGAATCCAGCACTGAACGGGTACACAACTGTCCTGGAATCGGATGCTCTGCTATCAGTCTTCATATTGGTCCTCTATTGGTCCTCGTGGACTGTGACTATCATTCTTAACGTACCCGCCAAGTGCATGTAATTTCTCCTATCTTCGAGCACTTTAACCCTGTGGACTTTCCAGCCCGAAGCGATGGACCTCGAACTGAACACACAAATTGCTTACGACGAGTCTAGAACTACGGACTGAATTCGGAATTTAGTCCGAATTCAGTCCGTGAAGGTATTGCAACTCTCAGGAAGAGACCCAACTCAACTAAATTTATGGGGGAATGAAATCTTACCATGCGCCTGACTATTCTTCCTTAGTGCAGAACAAAGGGAACGTGTAGCCGGCTCCCTTCGCTTTGCTTCGAACTCGATGTTCAATGTCCGCTCGTCGATTGAGTTTCGGACAAGTGTTTATCATGTGGTTGGACTGTGAAATTGTAGGACATTCATGTTCCAGAGCTTTCGACAGGTGTCCCTGTCGACGCTCGGAATTATTCGCTGCCGGTCTGATAAATTGAGAAGGTAAAGAAGAAAATAGAACATCTTCAGATTCGCTTCCATGCTTGGGACAACATCCACTAGGCACTGAGCCCCGTGCTTGATTAACTTTAGCTGCTCGAAAGTGCTCCGTTGCCAAGCTTCCAAACCAAACAGTCAATTTGATCAGATGTAAGAGATGACAAACTTTACAACGCCATGGACTATTTGTGGCTTGAGTGCTGAGATAGTACAGGGAGCATCGATATAGTCTGTGCTAGAGTGCAAGCTGGTTGTGTTGAAGTTCAGCACCATATAGGCCTCCTCAGACTCCGATGTTGAAACGCTTTGAGGAGAAGAAGTCGCTTCTTGGCTCTGGTGACAACTTCCGTAATTGCCACTCACTGCCATGATGTATTGCCACTATTTATGACTACTGCTTAGAACTTGTTCAGTTTCAAGTCGTTCTCGCACCAACCTCTTGGATCCCAAGGGATGAATGAAGAATGAAAGAAACAAACCGATTTCCGGTTTGTTTCTTTCATTCTCTTCTGACCTGTAAAGATTTACAATAGCGTATATCTTTCTGCACATTGCAGAATTCTGTAAGATACGATGTAAGATCTCTTCACCTCAGATGTAAAACTGGAATTATAACAGCAAGAGTATGTGCAAATTGTCTTTTCGGATATCTTCCCTGCAGAGACACATGATCGACATGCGTGGTATCATCAGGGCAGAAGTGCTGAGAACACAGCAGAGAGCCTAAAGCATTGAGTGAGAGACCACAAACACGGGCGGAACCAGGCTTAAGACCTCCAGGTTACCAGGTACGATTCGTGTGAATTCACACACGAATCGCAAAGCACGATTTGACAAAATGTTATTATCCTACATCAGTAAACGCGTCTGTAGACGTACGTGGTTTCAGAGGTGGTGCGTGTCGGGATCTCCCAGCTTAAAGCAAAGCTGAGGTAACAGAGTCACTGTTTTCTATTGCGCCAACTGCCCTCACCACAGGGAGTATGGTAGTGTCGTCTTTGAATTAGATTGTAGTCGTGGATATCTGCTACGTAGGTTGGTTTACACATCGTAATGTATTACGTTCAATTGTTCTCATAACCTATTGGCTTCTGCGCTTTACTTGGGGAAGGAGCAAGACAGTGTTCGGCCAGTACTGGGCCTCCAACCCCTAATCTCACTTCCAAATTCAACATTTGACAGAAAGACTCATTGACTGTTTGCCTTCAACGCCAATGTTCGGAAACAGGCTTCTGGGTAGAAACCCCCGCGACTTAAATATTTTTTTCCATGACAAGTTCCACATCTAGGTCAGCACATAGAGAGTGAGAGACTTTTACCGGTAAAATGGGACCTTCTAGTCATTCATCTCTTGAGAGAGTATATCAAACAATGTGACATCCTCCGTAAGACGGACTGGATCTCATGGGAGACGAATAAGCAGCACAATCGACCTCCTCCCTATGACGTTTTTCTACAGTCAAAGTCTGAGTTTTCCACCTTTCCAACTTTCAACCCACTACTCGAATGGACGTCTAGCTCCCTCGCTCTTATCTTCAAAAAATCCAAAAAAACTAGCACACGAGATCTTATGAGGCTAACATAGCTTTGCCGGTTAACACTATCCATGCAATTCCAGTTCGGTCAAAAATTTAGACTTCTATCCCTAATTAGCAGCACCTAGAATTCTACAGCTTTTTACAAGAGGAGGAGATTGACCCTGAACGAGGGTTTACGTTAGAGCTTTTCTTTTATGCTCACTTTCCAAATCCGCACTCTTGATTATACTTTGGTGAACATCGTGTTTTGTGGACAAGCTGGGTGAGCTGTCTTTAGGTGTCATCACTAGACCTGATTGAGATGTGCTTGGTGTAACCGCTTCTGTTCCTTTGCGAACCCCTTCGAGCATACTCAGCTTCTTTTCTAGAACCTCGAGCCGAGTTTTCATTGCTTGCAGATCCTTTCCAGTAATGTGGACTGCAGAATCATCACTTGTTGAATTCGAGCCCTCCATATTGCCAGGCACATTCTGGCTCAAAGGGGCCCTTTCCTCTGATTTCTCAAAGGCCGGCTTGTTCCCTTCTGCCATTCTCGAAGCAACCTCCTCCGCAACTACGGATTGCAATAACAACTTTTCCGTTTGTTCCCTCTCCTGTAAGCATAAACATGACAAGTACCAGTTATAAGTCTTCTCTTGCAGCACTGAGGGCGTCAAGTCAAGGAACAAAAAGGAAACTAATGCAGCTGAACAGATGTTCATCTCAGAAGCCTGTCAGCATTAAGATCAGCTGATTCTGGGCCCTGGCAGTGGCCAGAAGGACGATTGTAGACTGACAACCAGCCAAATATATGCTAGACACATTCAGCTGCGGCCTGCAGAGTGAGTGTGCACCTTCTCCAGTCTCCGTATTTCATGTCGAGCATATTGTGCAGTGAGGTAGACGGCTGAATTCACAAAATCGTCACAAGGTGGAACTTTAGTCTTCGAACCAGATGTACGGAGGATTCATGATAAAACAGATCGAAAATCAAACTGTTGTAGGCAAACTAAGCCAAAATACTAAATAACTACGTCATACGCTTGGCAGAAAATGCACATTAGGAGCCCAGTCTTGATGAAGAAAAAGCGTACAGTTTAGTTCACGGCTTTAAAGTGGCATAATTGGCGACAAATTTCTACACCAACCAGAACAAAAATCTGCGCTATTGAGTAATTATCCGCAACCTGTAACTCCTAATTGCATAACGAGCAGGTAGATTTTTACCAAATGGCGGAAGACAGGCGGCGAAGAATTGCCAGAGATGGAAATCCAGCCTAAACAATGGCCCCACAAGCAAGAAACCTTCAATCAAACAGACAAGCATCACCAATTACTGGCATGAAGAGAATCCAGAATTCTCGAAAACAAAATCGACTAAAAAATAGCTGGATAGTCAATGACTGTACCCTCATTTCACAGGGATACTTACCCAAATTTCTTGGGCTTCGCTGGAGAAGAAAAGAGAATCTTTGCAGCCGTCATGAAATCCAATCGATCTTCTCTGGCTGCGGCTTCCAGCTGCTGTCTAACTGCTCCCGAATCTGCCCTTCCCGCCTCACTGTCGACCGCAGACGACTTCATCCGCCCGCGAGCCGCAAAATTTCTTCCCCGATTCAGCAGCGTCGGGAGTACCCGCCAGCGGCTCATCGCGGCCCACATCAAAGGCTTCTACTCATCCAGGGTTCTTGTGAGCACTCACTCGGATCCAAGCAGACCAAATTGAAACTGGAGCACGTGAAAATCAGCGACGATCTGGATTTTGGTTGCTGCACAGCAACGATCGACAATCACATTCCCACTCCACTCCACAGTCTTCAGTGCTCTCCTTGGCCTGCACCACATCCCAACTTTCTATTCTGGACGTGTCTGTTGATGGATTCACGTTCTCGACTGGCCTCCCGCATCTCTCCCGCATCTCAGCAACAATGAATACTGCCTGATTGAATGAAAGCCCAGAACCTAGAATACATCCCCTTCAAAACATCACATCTATCTAAATAAGGTGCAATTATACAATGCACCGGTGAACAATTTTATAAAAAACTCCATCCATTTTTTAAATTCTTTGTAAATTAGAGTTTTTTATGAACTCTTTTGAATAAGTACAATCGATAGAAATATTTTTCATCATTTATCTCAACGATCATTTACACTAAAATTATATAAATTATTTTTTTCAGGGTTTAGGGTTTTAGAAAGTAATAAAATATGCTAGGTTTGTTATTCAACTTGGACATTGTGTATATAACTAAGGTAATTAAAAATAAAATATCTTTCAACATGTATTGATATCTCAAGATCTTCATTTGGACTTTATATTATAGCAATTAATCTATCTAAATTATTAATACATCTTCAAAGACATTTAAGAAAAAATTGTTAAATATGCATGTGATGTCACAATGTAAACAACAAACACATCATAATTTATTATTTGTCAAAAAAAGATAGTCAAGATTATCCAAAAATCAAACTCAAAAATCCTACTACTTTGCAAAAAAGGAAACTACAAAGTACATAATTTAATTCAACCACATTTCTCTCATGCAAAAAAAAAGTGATGTTTTGTTAAGCCAAATTACGAAGATATATAAAGCTCCATCAATGCATGGTAGTTTACTTTTCAACTACCATATAAGCTAAAAATTGCATCTTTCTTTTGATATCATGCACATCAATATAATATAATTTCATTCCCTAGTATAAGTCTAATATTTGACTAAATTAATTTAATTATTCAAGATTTTATTTTCACATATTTCTATTAAAAAATCCAAATCTTTGTGGCAAGAAAATTTGAAAGCTCATCAAATTTCTTTGTTTATATAAGAGTTTATATATATATATATATTTCAAAATTTTGCACATTGTTTTATTAAAGAATAATTGTAAACATCTTCAGTTAGTTAGAACTAAAGTAGATATTACTCTAAATGTCAATATAGATACTTTAGCCTGCACTAGCTATAGTTGCCACGTTAACAATCCGCATGCTTGGTAGGAGGAGAGTAGGTGTGTTAGTTGACAGTGTCACATCAGCGATCCGTGCGCTTGGTAGATAGAGAGTAGGTGTGTTAGTTGACAGTGTCACATCAGCGATCCGTGCTCTTGGTAGGTAGAGAGTATGTGTGTTAGTTGACAGTGTCACATCAGTGATCCGTGCGCTTTGTAAGTAAACACCTAGTTTGTTAGTTATGAACGTCACGTCAGCAATCCGTGTGCTTGTTAGGATAATCCGCCACATCATTCATCCATCCACTATGAGTGGATTGCATGGTGGGTATAAGATATTATCTTCTTCTACTTGCTTGTGATAGATATATAAAGGAGAATAGAACCATGGTTAGTATCTCGTATTTTCAGAGTTTAAATTTTCATTTTCGAATGAATTTTTCTCTAAACCCTAGTATTACATCTAGAGTTGAAGTCACACCCTCACAAGTCATGCCCCGAGGTGAGTGCACGAGGGCATGCCCCCATAACATTAATGCACACGGGCATGTCTGTACGTATTAATTAAACGCGTATTCGAGATTACGGCTCATAAGTGAATATTATTACCAACCGTGTTACGTATCAACATTGAAATGTTTTTACGTGTCACTATTAAAAAAACGGTTTATTCTCTTGTTCATCTCATCACGCGTCTTGTTTGAGGAGATCAATGGTTGTCGGCTCGTCCTTATCTTTTCACTTTGGCTAATGCTCAAACTGCACTGCTCGCAAAATTCATATGGTTACTGATCGTTCATCGTTTACTTCATATCGTTATAAGTTTAAGGTTTCAATATTAGGTTGATTTTTTGATAGGTTTTGCTTTCTCAAGTGTACAACCCGATTATTCAATCTGGAGCTTCCGCCGAGACCTTGGAATGGTATGATGAAGAAAGTGTAGAGACATTGTACGCACTTAGAACATTGTCTGCAGATCAATGAAAGGTGTCATTCCTTTTGTGTAGTGACCAGTTTCTGTTTGAAGGGTTCATGGCAAATTTTTGAAATGTCTTTGTTACTTTCAGCAAGCATTGAAGTATATATGGCGTTTTGGGAACTAGTAGTTCTATTAACGTGGCTCAATCTCTAGTGATTATTATCATGATGTTTGTCTTTTAGACGGCTTCTGAATTTGTTGCAAAAAATTCTTTGAACGTGGAGGAAGCACAAGAACCTGCCAAGGCAATCATAGACCACGAACAAAGATTGAAGGATGGAGAGGTACGACATAATGACATCAGCTAGAACCGTTGCTCTTACATCAACCCACTAGTGGCTCCAATTTTGTTTTAATTTTTTGTTTGTGATCATTCTAAGGTGAGATCATTTATTAAGCACGCGGATCAGCCATGTCAAGCTATTGGATTGATTCACCATCGTCTTCCATGTTCACACATTCTTCAAGCTTGTAAGAGGGCTTTCAGCTTCAGATTTTAGCGTTAAGTCAAGAATGTAAGAAACAAATGTTACAGCTCGAATCCTAAACCACTTTGGCTAAGATTTTCTTTTTATTATTACATGCATATCATTTGTTGTTTCTTTCTTGGCCCTAAATGAACATAATCTATAGCAAACTATGAGGATCAAAGACTACGCGTATTCAAAATTAATCAAGTAATGCATAATGTCATCATGTTTTGTTTTTAATATTTCATTTCATATTCAAGAGAGACATTCTCATTTTTTACAACTCTCTTGCGGCTTAGGTATTAAGTCCCGGCTCATGTAATTTTTTTCAGATTTTTTGGTAACTAATCTATACTTTATGTTGCAAAGTTTGTCATGTTGTCAGCTTCTGACTTTTTGTTCTACTTCAACTCAATCTGTTGAGTTGTCCGATTCTTCCAACATTTTGATTTGTCACTAGGCTTTTGTTATATAGTGAATGGGATGCATGTCAAAAGATAATTTTTGAACTCCAATGAGAACTAGCTTTGGCGTTTAGTTCAAATCGGTAGCATGCTTTTTAGCCTGTCATCCGCCAGTTGAATTTGTACAACCATGTTCTAGAGTTTTACACATAATGAGTGTTTATATCAATCCATCTTTGTATTGTTGAAGTAGCTTTTGTAGTTCTAAACACTAGTTGCCTCAAACGTCGAGGATTAGCTTTGTGTAGATATGAATTGTTGTAAAACTGAAATCAAGAATCTGCGTGGATTTGTACCAATGACTCTGATGTATTGAACTTTAACAGGTATGAGAGGTATACTTTATCTTAAATGTGTTAAATGCAAGAAAGTTCTTCTTGTCTCAACTTATCTCATATATCTCGACATAGTAGAAAATCCTACTCCTTGTATGAAGATAGGTTGGTAGAAGTAAAAAAATGTCTTCCTTCCTATTCTGGCTTGTCTAGTCTAAATATTAAATGCTGTTGAGAAGATGAGAAAAGTTATGTGATTGGTTCCTTCCTTCCCTGTACGATTTTTGGACTGTATGAAATGAATCTAAACTTGGATCAAACAAATGACAGCCATTGTAGTGTAAATGTTGGGGTAAATCTGAACTTCCTCACCTTTGATCTTTTTGAGATCATGCTCTTGTGTTAATGTTGTTTGAATTAATGTGTAACTTACTCTATTATTCTCTAATGTGTGCATGTTCAGGTTGTGTGCTTTGTTGTGTGATTGATTCTAATACTCAGTGGTTAATAACTTGATGATTTATGTGTGCAGGTTCTAAGATGTCAATGGATTCATTTTTCCTTAATCAACTTGATATTTTGGAATCAAAAACTGAGAACGTGGTTTGGATTCACTACCAATTTCAATATAGAGCACAGAAATACCACAACCAACCTCAATATAGAGAACATAATTACGTGCATGGATAAAATGTGATGAGGTTATAAATTTGAGATGGCCCTATTTTTATCGTTCTTCTAAGAAAGATAGTGGGAATCGATATCGTGCAAAGTGTGTATATTGTGGAGAGATGCTTGATGGTAAACCTGATAAGTTAGAGTTCCATATACTACATCGTTGTACACTGGATTCTGTAAGTAGAGTTGAATATATGTGCATTGTAGAACGATTTTCAAAGAGAAGACGTATGTCGACACATACTCCAATTAGATCTCTATTAGGTTTTGAGTAAGAGCAAATAATATCTTCAAGATATTACTAACAGCAACTACCTAAATACTTTAGTATTCCAATAAATGTAGACAAACTAGAGTGCCATCATTTGAGATTTGTAGACTTTCTAGTGACTTTCAACAGTGCTTTCAATGTATGTTGTAACAAATAGTTGGGGATATTTATTTGTGTAATCAACTATAGCTACAATCTTCCTTCGAGAAGAGTGTTATCAAATAGATTATTACAAAAACGTTACACTGAATGCCTATTGGAGTTATGAGAAGAGTTGAAAAATGCCAGTGATGTGACAATAACTATGGATGGATGAAAAGATATGTCTAACAATTCGATTTATGTTGTTATGACTATCACAAGTGTAAAACAAAAGATGTTAGACATTGTACATTTCACATGACGTCCAATAGTGAATGCATTGCAGCAACAACCGATACTGTCTACCAACAAAAGCCTTCTTTCATTGACATCAGTTGTTACCTTTGTGTTTGATAGCCCAACTACTATGATAAGATTAAGAAACAACCCGACAAGCTTAAATTTGAATGATGTTCCCTTGCGATATGTTCTTCATCAAGTGAATCTTATCACAAAAGAGATGTCATCTAATGATACTATGAAACACGTCTTGAAAAAAAACTGCAAGTTGATTAACTATTTTACAAGTTCTCACTACTAGACTATACATCTCAACACGTGTAATGAAGAGAACAATATTACGAAGTTTCTATGTAGTTTTAGCAAAACACAGTGGTATTCAACTATACTTGTATATTTTGGTGTTGCATGCTTTTACAAAGGATTTCAACATTGTGTCAAAAAATCAAAGCTAGCTAATGAGACTCTCATCAACAAAGATATTTTCAAATTGATGGAGTATGATTATCATTTTGCAATGAACAAAAAAATTGGCAAATTCATAAAGCCCATAACTTATAGTGTAGCTCGTTTTGAGCAGAGTTCAATTATATTAGATCAGATTTTTGCAGAACTTATCAAATTATACATATTTTTTAAAAAAACTAACGTTACCAAAAACTATATCAATTTCATAGCTCACATGAATCAAGAATCATCCGATCTATTTTGTAGCTCTTTTCTTGAATCCTCAATGTCAATTAGTCGCGATCTCCAGAAAAAAAACATACAACAACATTCGAAAAGATATTGCAAATTTTGCAAAAGTATGGAGATTCACCAAGGCGGATACAATATCACCTTTGGCGGATTTGGACGAGTACACAAATGAGAGTGAAGATTTCACAAATGGTCAAAACAAAGTATGTGCAATGATTTTTTGACAATCACTTGTTTGTGCAAATGCTTTGCATGTCTTTGCAATGAAAATTTACTCCATTGCTCTTCATAATGCGGCAGTGGAAAGATTATTTTAATAGCTCTAATTATTAAAGACAAAAATTTGCAATCGCATGTAAATCAAATGCATGAAGATGCTTGCCATTGTTAGATCAAGTCTCAACTAACATTCAAAATCGAATTCAACATCGTCTTTATCGCTAGCATTAGAGCAAGATCATCGTTCATTTAATATAGCACTTGAAGAAGATGAAGATTTCAATATAACACTGGTCAAGAAATTGAGTTTGGAAGATCTAGATTTTACTTGAGAGTATAATGATGACTTTCATGAAAATTTTGATTTGTATTTTGATTTTGTTAGATTTAGACAAGAGTCAACTCTATATCTAAATGTAACAATTGAGACAAGAGATGAAAAAGATTAGAATGTAGAAAATGTATTATCTTGAAAATGTAAGGGAATAATTTTATATAAATTCAAGTTTTTACTTATGTAAATTCAAAAATACATGTATGTTTAATTTTTCATATATACATACAAGCATGTCTAGGGGACATGGGGCATGCTTTTAGAGCTTGAAAGACACAATGGTCATCCTTCTAAAAAAAATCTTTGTGACTCCAACTCTAATTACAGCTCGCCACTCTCTTTTGCCATTAGTGTTGATCATGTGCATGCATTCATGGATGGATGCATATATACTTAAGGTGTAGGCAAACAGAGTGACAACAATTGTGGCAATCGAATTCATCTACAAAGAGAATCCCATCGTTGAGATTGAAAACTTAATCAACCAATTGGAAATTGAACAAGAACATTGATAAGAGTAAATAGTGGATTACAACGCAGTGCAAATGCTCAAAGATCATTTATTGATTGTTACCAATAATTGATCTTTGAGAACATCTTGATCTTAAAGTTTCTCAAATAAACATTGTGAAAATTGTGTTCTCAATTTCAATCTTATATTATTTTATTATTGGATTAATTATCGAAAAGTTATTTGTAAAGCATGACCATTGTAGTAAAGGTAGAGTATATTTACTACCGGTAAACATTTACGTTACCTTAAGTTCTGGCCTACAAGAACAATGATGATATAGTGGTAAAGTATCTTCAATATCATTACGATTTTTATAGAATGTTTTAGTGTACGGTTGAATGAAGAAAAATTAACTTCTGAATTGAAAGTCTTTTTTGTAAAGATAGATATGACAGACTGAAAATAAAATAAGATTGAGAGAATAATTTCTTATTGCTAGTATTTGCTCATAAATTTCGAGTAAATATGACAAATGCTTATTTACGAAGACCTATGTAAACTTAAGGTTCTGTTCTTCGATGTGCTCATGAACTTTAAGCATTATTGGACTTTCCTGGGTAATTGCTTTTGAGAGGCTACCCCTCATCTGTTGCGATCAGAGATGGTAAAGATTTAGTATTGATAGTGGTTCATGCACTTCGCAGAGTAATATATTGCCAGCAATCCATGCAGATATCGTATACATTCCACAAATGCTGTCCGTGGATTCATACATAACATCGTTTGCAACTGCAACGAGTGCATCTGTATCAATGGGAGAATCTGGAAATTCGATGACAGCTGAAGATAGGAATGCGAATTTCGAATCTTGATCTCTGGTACGCTGACATTCGTCTTCCCACAGACTCGATGCCGCGTGACGTACATTCAGTCTCGATGTGCAGTATGCACCGCTGGGTGTTTCCTCGTTGACGAATCTGTGGCGCGAGACGATTGATTGCCCTTGGGATCGTAGCAGCGCATGTAACGAACCGTAACGTAATTATGTAACGTAACGTAATCCTAACCAACCGGCACGTGCACTGGTGAGGATCAGATTCGTCCCTGCCGTCAACTAATCTTCCCTCATCAATCAGTCTCGGGCGAACAAAACTGGCCCGGGCGAAAATTATGATGTGAAATTTTGCACAATCGGTGAAGTTAGAAGCTCTAAGGACAGTCCTGAATGACCGTGCCGCGCGCCAAATGTACGATCGGAAAATCTCATGCTGGTAACCCTAAATTATGCCTAAATTTACCCTTTCCAGGTATGGGGCACCGCGCTGTTGCACACCATTGATGCTCTGGCAACGCCCTTCAAATTGAGCGAGAAGTCTGTATCACCTGGTAAGCAGAGGATATGATCAATTGTGGTGAGTGGTGGTAAGCAGCACCGAACGTTAGAAGTTCAGAATGTGGCAGATGTGTACAAATTGTGGAACGATGTATAATCGAAGCAACCCGGAAGACCCAATTGAGGATTCGGTCACAACCAAGGCAATGAAGCGAGCCACGGCGAATTTCAGCCTCAAGAATTGCGTGGGACTGGGCCAGAATGGGGAAGTCTTTCGTGGTCGGCTACCGGACGGTACATTTGTTGCGGTCAAAAGATTCAAACCGAACTCAGCTGATCCTCGAATCTCGATACGTGTCGAACTCAAAGTTCAACATTCGATATCACAGCACACACATCCTCATGTTCGGCAAATCCTCGGCGTTTCGTTCGACCCCGCACAGCCGCTGATCATCTACGAGTATCTTCCCAGAGGAAGCTTGAGGCAACATTTGCAACGAAGAAAGGGGGATCATCTCCTGAACGATCCAATTGCTCGACTGAACGTCGCCATCGACGTGGCGCATGCTCTCATTCAGCTTCACTACAACTCCCGATTCCCCATCTTCCACAGAGATGTCAAATCTTCCAATATTCTGTTGGATGCGGATTACAATGCCAAACTGGCCGACATGGGAATCGCTGTAGTCGTCCAGAGCGAAGCAGACCTCGACGTTGCTGAGCCACTCGGTGCATTCGGTTACAAGTGTCCGGTGTACGAGCAGAGCGGACGACTGGACGACAAATCGGATGTCTACAGCTTCGGAGTGGTGCTCATGGAGCTGGCGACGTTCATGACAGCCTGGGACACCGAAAGGACCGTGACTTTGCTCGCCGACCTCGTCATCGACAGGTTGCAGAGGGGAGTCGTAAAGAAGCTCATACAGCCGGGGAATGCTCCCGGGGGTGCAGCTCTCATGAAATCCTTGTTGCTGGTCGCTGCTGACTGCTGCTCCTTGGATTTGAATGTGCGACCAAGAATCGACGAGGTGGCCGACTACTTGGAAAGACTCAGGGACGAGGCCAGTGAAGAAGCTGCTCTTGCCCAACATATCGAATCTCTTGGAAGTTTGAGTCTTGCTTAAATTACTGCATGACAAAATGGAAACCTACATCTTTAGATTATGTCCACTTTGGTGTTGAATTATATACATGGACGATTCTATTTGCAGTCGATTGTATGTTATATGGTTACTGTTTGAGTTTCGAAGCATCGATTGTCTTCCTCTTAATTAGCTCTTGGATTTGCGTTGGATTTGCGTCAGTTAAATCGAGAGATGTATTGAATCACTGATCATCATGAGCATGGATCTCTCGATTGGTCTGAGAAGATAATGAAAATTCGTTGGATATGAACTTGATTCTCTTCTCATAGTAAATATATAGCAAGGGGAAGCTCTGAGAATGGAATGCTTTGAAAGAAGGTCGTTGAAACCAAGGCCATAAAAATGAGCAAGAGAGCGAGATGTTCACCTTGATTGAAGACAAGACCAGCATTGGATCTAGGCCACCAGTTATGCTTGTAGTCCAATAAGAATCAAAGATATGTCAAGAGATTGTGGCAAGTCTATTTTCGTCAATAACGAGTTGTATCAGAGATAGGAAGGGTAGGACATTGTCAAGTTTTCACTAACAGAAAAAAGACATTGGAGTATAGTTTGATTATTGGGAAGATCTTGAGTTTGAAGAACTTGAGAGAAGATTCTTGCTTTGGCAACACATGAACAATTTCCTCGACTTTATATTGGCGGCCGGAGAAAAATAGACATGCCGCTAAGTAGGGACTTGAGGGAGGTCAGAATATATGAGGACAAAGTCATTGGGATGAGATAATACAAGTGAGAAAATGACATCAGTCTAGAACGCTTGGCTCTAAACATTAGATCTAATCTTGACAATACAAAATGCGCTGATCATTTGAAATCGGACATCATTTTCGTCCTTTCCCCAGTCTACAAGTATCGTCAATGAGTTGTAACGTGAATAGTCTACTTCGTTCTCAACCCGAGCTTCACCATAGTCTAATCACTAATATTCGAAATAACAAAGCATCAATTTGAACAAAATTAGTAAACCAATGAAAAGTGAAGTGGAGGTTTCTTAATCATGATACATCACAACATTCCATCTCGCATACGTCGGATTGGTAATGCCATCCAGATCGGAATGACATTGCTCAAATGATCATCTAAACACAACACAATTCATTTTTTGAGTATTTATGATACTCAAATATACAAAATACAAAGAAGTTCGACTCTCTTAGAATGAATATTTGGTTTGCAAGCGGATGAAACTTGAAAAATTCGAGAAATTTTAAATCTTTAACGCCAAATAAATTCCAAAGCATCAAATTTTTTTGGTCTAAGAATAAAATCTTGAACATTATATAATTATTTCCATACAAAGGAGTTTATATATCCTTTAGTCTCATCAGACTTTTCATCAAATTTGGATTATGTCACAATCTTATATGATAGTGTCACTCTTTTTTACAAGATTAAAAATAATAATTATTGAAGTTCTAATTTTCTGCTCTCAGGAAATTAGAATATATTTTAATTTATATCATATTTTGCCTATCTTCATTCTAAACACGAAAGTAAGGACGAACAAACATATTTATGAGAAGGGCCCAGTATGATCAGTGAGGTCGCTCTAGGGATGGTCAGGGCTCGGCTAAAGGCTAGGCGGCTGATATTTTTTGTAAGCCGTCGGCTAATCGGGTCACAGATAAATATTGCCACCGCTATCCGAGGCCAAAACCAGCCGTCAACTCGGACCGAGTTTACATTTTCGGCCGATTATTTCCTCCGACTCGCCGGTAATTACACAGTAAATATTTATTTCGGCCGATATTTATTTCGGTAACCGATTTACCGACGGCTAGCCGGCTAATTTGAGCCCTAGCACGCTAGCCGTTTGTATCGGCTGGCCGAAAGTTAGGCGGGTACGTGACCATGCCTAGGTCGCTATACCTTGGACGCCCGTCAACTGCAAGTCGTACGAGGTTGAGCTGGCCAACAGCGTGTGCTGACGTGGACCGATGTGCTGACTGTATTGAACTTTGGCGCCAAAATTCGGTTCTCGCACTCGTTCACGGAACGAATGTGAGAAAAGGATCGCAGCTCGCAATCGAAATTCAGCATGCTCCCGTAGCATTCTTCTCGAGCAATTCAGCTGAAAGTCGTAGCGTCAAATCGGAGAGGAGATGGATTCCGGCGACGACGGAGATTTTGACGAGAACCAGCTGCAGGTATGTTGCAGATCTCAATTGCTGCTCTCAGGAGTGCCTCTTCTTCTTTGAGCTCGAAATCCGAATTGATCTACAAATTAACACTTCTTCGCCACAGGCATGCTTCGTTCTACATAGGAATAGAGAGAAAAGCACCGGAAAAGTCTGTCCCAGGAGAAAGTCAGCCAAGAAAGGAAAGAACAGTGAATCTGAAAAGAGCGGCGATGTTGCTGGCTTGTATCCAATTGTGGAAGACCCCGCGTCGTATGGAGCACTGCGACTCCAAGCGTTCAAGGCCGTGTGGGGAAGAATCCAGAAATTGATTGAGGTGATTTCTGCATCTATAGTTGTTGGATTTTCTGCTTTTGCTACGAGCTCAGATTTCAGCATGAGTGGAATCTGACTGTGAGAGAGCCTCCATGTAAGAGGCTCTATTTTGCAGTTGTGTGATCGAACATTGCTGCTGAGATTTTCGAGGCCTCTGAGTTGCCTGCCGCTCAGTTTAGTGTAGGGGCAAACGTTGCATGTGAACTTGTCAGCAATCTGGGAAAGACCCTCATTACGCATTAGACAAGCTGCCTGAGGAATTTTTTTGAATGCCAAGTGGTAGCTAAAAATTGTATTTCCAATATGGGGACTATCTCTTACAGGATATCGTGGAAGGAGAAAATCATGAAATTTTCAGCGCGATCCAGCAGTGGATCTGCAATAGGCAATTCAGTGATGCTCAGATGACCGTGTACCATACTGCTCGATTGCTGTCTAATGGCGTGGATGGTACCGGTTTGGAATCCAGCTGGGCTAAACCGTCTGCTTCTTGCGGCAAGCAGTTAAACACAGCTTTAGTATTTCTAGGTGAGTATTTCTTGGCCTAAATTTCAACGTTTCTTTTATTTGTGATAATATCACAGTTTTATTCGATTTGATCAATTAATCCGCATGGATACTTGGTTCATACATGTGCGGATGTACTAATAGCAGTTTTTGGAGTCTGATCTATTTGAATTATTCAGGAGGAGTAAATCCATCGGATCATCGAAGGACATTTGATGGTCTCACTGGACATCTAAACGTGAACAAATGCCATGTTGCCCGCCTGACCTCCATCGATTTTTTATCCAAAGCGGGCTTGGGTGGTCCCCTTCGCAGCTTGTTCAGGCAACTAATCCATATCATTCCTGAGGTGAGCACTTTCGGCGGCCATGCTTGTTGTGCATAAGCGCTCGATCTCCCTCTCAGGTGAACCAGTTTACTACAAGGTTGATATAGTGCACAACTTCGTCAGTTCATCATACGACCGCAGAAAATCTAAGGTTTCACAAACCTGTCTTCGGTTTTTAGAATGGATGCTTCGTGTATCTCAAGCATATTTCAAGCTATCAGGTTCTCCACCATATTTATTGGTGTCTCGGCAAAGCCCTCATTCATTCAAACTAAACTAATTCCATCTGATCTGCGTTGGATGCAAGTAGACAACAGACATGGAAATCTTGGCTGCTTGGCATCGGGAAGTAGAAAATCAAGGGTTGCCCATAGCGATTGTCGTGGAGGATTGCGAGTCTTGCGATCCCAAGGTTTTGGCTGAGTTCTTCGTTTTGTTGAGGTTAGTGACATTTTCTTACCGTTTTGTTGGGTCTTCTGCGTATTCTTCAAACCTGTCACCGTTGTTATATGTTTATGGGGAGACTTCTCTTCCTCTTTCTACAACGTCAGTCGAGACGTTTAGTAATCTTGGTGTTACTGTCGCACGAAATGCCTGAAGACTGGTGTTCATCGGTCTGAGTATCTCAACCTGAACCGAAAATGTCAGGACCTCGGTAGTAGTCGGCCGTCTTATGGATGTGAAGTCAAATAGGTCCCAAAATAGTCTCTGTATCAGTATGAACGCTGCAGAAGAAAGGGGGGGACCTGACTTGAATCAAAAGTGACTTTTGATGCAGCGAGTGGATTAGAGACCTACCTATCGTCCTTATCTTGGGAATGGCAACCTCAGATGATGCAATAAGGAAACTTCTTCCAGCAAGTGCACTTGCCCGGCTACACCTTTGGCGATTTTCACTGAAGGCTCCTCAGAAACTTTTGGAAACCATCACAAGAGCTGTTCTCATTGAATCCTTCTGTGCCTTCGATTTGTCTCCTGAAGTGATCCTTTTCCTCTATGGTTATTTCGAGAGCCATGATCTTACGGTCACTTCCATCATCAGATCATTGAAGGTGAGTAAATCTTGCCGATGTTCTCGGTGTTCGCTTTACCATCAAAGCTATTATTTTAGCTGTTTGAAGACGGATAAAAGGTTCTAAAGCTGATAATTGATTAAATGTACAGATTACCTGCGCAGAACACTTCTGGAGAGAGCCATTGAGTTTTTTATGTGGTGAACTTCTCGTCTTAAACAGCAAGGTCGACCCATTAGACTTCATCCTTATTTGACGTTTGCAAGTCTCTGAATATGCTAGTGTCTTCGCATATGAAAAGCTTGCTCAAATTGCACGTTCTATTGAAAAAAATTCAGTTTGTTTTAACCGTTACAGTACTTCTATCATCAGAATACATACTAACGATTCCTTCGAACAGGCTGACTTGGAAGAAAAATGTTCTGCTCTTCCTGACATGTTTCTTCATCACGCGACTCAATTTTCTTCTGTTAAAGGGTAAGAATCAGTGTTCATTATAAATCTCTAGTTTCCAGTCTATATTTTGAAATAGGAAATGTTTCCGATCATTTTTTGTTGAAATTGGATTCGCATCTTCTGATACTTGCTAGTGGAGTAGAAAATTGATTTATGGGTCTCATACTTCAGAAAATTACTTTTACAAGAAGATGAGCCCGTCAGCAAGCATATGGCTGCTTCTTTGTGGGACACGAGATCTCATAAGAAGATGTGGAAAATGGTGTTTCAGGTGGGTTGTTGAGACTTGAGAATGACTTTCCAGCGTTATGTTTTTCTGGTGTTGCTAGCCTTTGAAATATATAATCTGAGTAGAATATATATATATATATATATATATATATATATATATATATATATATATAAAATAGATATAGAATATATATAATCTGATAGTGGGATTGCTTCCTATGTCATCACTCCTTATCCAATTATCTTGAGTTTTGGGTTCAGTTCTCGAGATTGATAGTTGTGCGCAAATTCGTGTCTTCCTCCGAACAGTGCATTTCGACACTTGCCAAGTACGGAGGGATCTCATTTGGAGATTTGTTTTGCGGCGTACTCCAGTGGCTGGCCGACAGCTCACCTTTGTCGAATTCAGATCAGACGCTTGGACCTCTGGAGAAACTCATTAGCAAATTTAGGTACGACTTTCAAGTCTCGTCTCTCAGTAGCCCAATTCTAAGGGGTGAGTTGCTTTTGAAGACACTATCTTGCAGGCTTCACTCAAATGCCAGAGAGAGACAACTTGCTTAAGTCTCATTTGCTTGACTGTAGAGTTCAGGTCACCTCAATCAACTGCTTTGCAAAACGCAGACAGAACTGATTTTTCCTTTTCATCATCTCAGGGATATGTCAGGAACATCCCTGAGAAGTACACTAGAAGAATGGCGGAAGATTACTCTTCACGAGAAAGAGGTAATGGTGCAATCTGCTTTTTTCTATTCATTCGCAAAGAAGGTCTTTGTTGATTTCTCTTTCTGTTGAAGTACTGCACTTATATTTTTGTGCCCCTGTTTGCAGCTCAATGCAGAGGTTTCCCAAATTCTTACAGATTTCATATCTAGTTCTACAGTGAGTGAAGTAAATCAGGCGTCCAACCAACCTGTCAATCTTCGAAAAAGCCCCTCGAATGAAGTGGAAGGGGTCCAAGTTGGCGTCAGTCAACAGATCAAGCATGGAGTCATCAGCCGTTCAGCGCTTAGGAGGTTAGTCTACCTGCACGTCTGTCAGTCAGTATGTCTTTGAAGCAATCACCTTCCTCATGGATGATGCTCCTAAGATTTACTTACCTGTAGGGCAATATGTACATGCGAACAGATTAGGGCAGCAACAATGTCCTGGAGTCTCTCAAACTGGTTTAGTCAGCAGCAACAAAAAAGCAGAAGACCTCCTCCGACGTCTTGTGAGGTTCATTCTCATCGCCTAAGCCTCCATATCACCGTGATTTCCGTATTCTTGTTGCCCTTGCATACTTTCAAAAGTGAGAAGCAATGTATGCAGACCTTCATGTCAAAGATAGAGGTTGCTGATATACTGGATCTGAACAAATGTAACTATGACGCAGGGAGCACTTGAAGCCGGCGGACAGTAGGCCCTTCCATGAAATATATTGTTTCAGAGATGTGAATAGCTTGAAAGAGGTGTTGCTCGACTCTTTCTTTCGTGATTACTTTCGTTTTTCGTTTCTCGTCTGTTCCAAAAGACAAAAGATGACTAAAAGGAATCAAGTGGTTGTGGTGTGCCTATAAGAGTTCCGTCCTTCAAGTGGGAGCTTCGTAGTCTTCCGGTCTAGACATTTAGCATGTGAAGCATTCTTTTGTATATCTCCCATGGGTCATTCATGAGGAGGAAGTGGTTGCAGTTGCTTTGATCGATCTCTGAAGAGCTTTTCACTTCTTGGGTTCAGGCCTTAATTGGGGATACTCGGAGGAGGGTACACATGGATCTTCTAAACTCCCACAACGTGCTGAAATGCGAGTGCTGTCCAACTGACGGCGAGCTTTCTTCTAGCTTACATGATACGACGTTGGCGTATGTGATGCATAACCTTTGTAATTGAGCAATGTCTGCGTGCAAGCTAGATTGTTGGCTCCAAACAGATTTCATTCAACTCTGGCAATGTGAAGTTCTTTCTGATATATCAACTTCATCAGGATCCCATATCTCATAAGGCCATATGTCAACCCCAGTGCTTTCGTGGAGAAGCTTGAGTTAATGAATTCAATGAACGCGAGTGTCCTGTAAAATGAGCTAACTTATATTATGCTTCACAGATACATTCTGTCACAGGAGTATGGGGACCTGGTTCGAATCCACAACTGGTATCAGTCATTTGCAGCTATATGTGATCCCAAACTTCAGGGATCCGTAAAAGTACAGGAGGAGAATTCACCACCCGCACGAAGGGGGAGGCCTAGAAAATCGTTTGACCTCGGATCCGAGGAAGAAGGTTCTGCCAAAAAACGACGAGGGCGGCCCAGAAAATCCATGGATGCTGCTATGGAGGAAGAATCCGAAGAGAAAAAACGCCCAAGGCTGTCGGATGCTGTGGCAGAAGAAAACGCTCCAATCCAGTATCCTGATCAGTGCTCGCTCTGTTTGTTATTTTCTTGCAATCTTTGCGAAACCTGCAACCGAATTATGCCCGTCAATCAAGTTCCTTCACTCATTCTAGCTTGACATTTCTATTTGAGACCGGATGCATTACATTTAATGGCTGGTCGATGTTCACCGTCAGTTTCCTTCTCTTCGATCTCTTGTTTGAGGTTTTTTTTTCAAAAGCCAAGGTTCTTCTTGACTTTGAGTAATTAAGGGCCAGGTTTACGAGGGCGGCGACGGAGCTTCAGATTGTTGGTTTACTGCAGATGCCGAAGAAGGGGAATTCTGATACTGTACGACGCCTTTGCATATAGCTCATATGCAGGGCAACTCGTCCAGACTATCGGAAAGCAGGCATTCTGCTGATATCGCTCGGAAGGAGGCCGATTAAATGCTGGATCGGATGGTATGACGTCTGAAGAGGTCATGGAGGTTTTGGACTCTTTCACCTCGACTTCAGAGCCGAAAGATGTCGCCATTATGCATCGGTTGTACATCACTGGAAGAGCCGCTGCGATGCAGCGAGGAGAATCTTCGGTAAGAAGCATAACTGTACTTCCGCATTGATTCTTTGACTGACAGTTTTAGTTCTCTATTGCCAAGACGACAATGACGAGGCTGTCTAAGGCTCGCCAGTAAGAGAAAGTCAAATAATGCGAACACATGCTCTCACTGTCATACAACGAGCAACGACCTTACTTCGTAGGTTTATACATGGGCTTGCTTTGTGGTAGTGTGCAGAGACCTCGATTCTGAAACTGATTCTGCTTTGGTAGGTTGACGGCGATTCTGCCAGTGAAAACAGGAGTCTCTGGATAGTCGAGTTTGGAAGGAAGCGTTCGTCGTCATATTATCGCGAAGTAATTCCTGTTTGATCCGGCATAAAGTGCGAAACAGAGAATACACGTCGACAATGAGACCACCTTAACTGCCATGTCTCATCTCTTCGAGGTTGTGTAGATTTGAAGAACGAGTAGTATTCTTGTAAGAAACTTTGAGTAGATTCAGCAACGTGAGGAGTACAATGTATAGTCCATACTGACTGATGTAAAATTGTGGATGATTGATCCAAAGCTCACTTCTTCCACGGGTGGTGAGGCTGTCAAGTATATTTTTAGTGTATAAATTCAATCAGGTTTTCCCATATCAAATACACTTCACTACTTTCCCGGTGTCCTGACGTCTCTTATGTCGGACAATGTGTCGAAACATTTGCTCGATTCCCCTTTGTTTGACTTCATCGTCTGCAAGCTTACCAACTTTGCACAGTCAGATCTCACCTGATCCGCTGTAAGCTAAGATGCATGGCAAGTAGCACAGTTAAATGAGAACACTGTGAAGTCGGATAACGAAATTCCTCATGAATATGATGAGCAAGTACTCTCAGATTGTGCTTAAAACCACGCCCAATGTTGTCGTGTACTAATCATCTCAATGACAACATAACTCCTTCGAACTCAGCTGCATTCCTTCCTCAGCAGTCTCAAATATGAACTCCCTGCGGCTGTATACAAAAGATCCTGCGAATAGCGAAAACGGTGATCCAGACTGTGGGAGATGATTTGCCAAAAACTCACGTTGGTACTCTTGCAGTCATCTTCACTCATTCAGTTGCACGAAATCTTCGCTGCAGGAGATGGTTACTCCACGAAAAAAAACAGGGTCACCATCTTAAGAACAATATAGTGTTCACTCTGGCTGGCAGTGAATCTCTAACTAGCTGCTACAACGAGCCTATATCTACAAAACTAAGTATTCTTCGGAATGAAATTCACCGAAGCAATCAGTCCCTTTCAACCCATTCGGGCCCGTATATGGCAACGAAGGTTCGTCCATATCTTCGATCCCTAACTTTGTAAAGTTTGCCACAAGTGTCGGGAATTTCATGCTTAGACTTGATTGGATACTCAACGACCATGAAAGTGTTATCTGTGATAAGTGGTGACACGGCCAACTGAGCCATCAACGCCGTGTATGAGACAGCCTCGTACGGGGGAGTGACGCTGACGAAGTCGAATCCACCTCCCAAGTAATCGGCGCCACGGTCGGCCGCTTGTTGGAGCAAACTCTCGACCTTCGAGGTGTGAATTGTAGAATGCATATCGAAATTCGTCTCCTGCAAATTGGGCTGCAGCACATTCGTTATGACCCAGGGGTCCATCTCGACGAAATGAGCTTCCTCGCAACAACCCCTGCTGAGAGCCTCGATGGCCACAGAGCCCGTCCCGCTGTACAGGTCGAGCCATCTGCCCGAGGGCGTGCTAGCCGACCATCCACTGAGCGAGTGTAGAATGTTGAACACCGCCCCGCGCACGACTTCCATCATCGGGCGCACTTTCAAGTCTGCGCAGGACGTCAGCTTCTTCCCGGCCACACTTCCTGCCATGACGCGCAGCAGCTTGTGAGTCAGCCTCGGTGCTGCAACTGGTGCTGCGGCTTTGTCTGAGGCCCGATTCCTGGCATTGCTTCGCCGCTCGTTTTGGAGTTGCTGCTTGAGACGCACGGGCACTTGCACTCCAGCAATTTCAATCATCTCTTCCGCGGGGTCGATGTGAACACTCCAGCCATCCTCGATGGTGTAAATGTCCTCTTCCAGCACGTCCGAACGAGGAGCTCGCTCTTCTCGCGGCTCCTTGCTCCTCCTCTTGCCTCTGTCCTTCTCCCTTCCCGTGCCCACGGAAGGAGCGGCCGCAGCTCTGACTCCGCAGCTGCGCAGCTCTGATCGACGGGGAAGCTGCAAATTCGCAGCATTCCTCAAATGCTGCGAATGCTGCGCCTGCTGAGAAATGGAGCCCAAGGCGCCATTCGCCAGGCCCGTGCTCTGAAACAGTGAGCACCCCGTCGTCACCATTCTTCGGCGATTTGTGTCACCGAGACCGTCGGGGCACGATTGTTGCAGGGGCAACGAATTCCTCCCGCGAGACCTTCCCGAGCGCAGGCGTGTGAAGTTGGCTCAGTGTCCACAGGCCGAGGATAAAGGAAGAATCGGCGCCATGGACTCTGATGCGACCTCGCTTCTGCATTCAACGCCCATCCCAACCCGTCGTCTTCGTGTCCGTTGCTTTCCTGGCTAATTGCTTACTTAGTCTTCTGATTTCCCTTCTCTCCCGTTCATCGCTTCCCGATTTCGCAAATTTGGTTATAATTCGGATTTATTTCTTATACCGGCGTGTCTTCGTGAAGTCGACCTCTGTTGTCGACTTTATAGCCAAAGAAGCACGCGACTTCTGTCTGTTTATTCGAAATCAATTACATCAATGATTATATTTAAGAAATTATTATAAAAAACGTATCTAATAAAAACAAAAGAATTTTTTAATTAGACTAAAGAACAATGAATGAGAATATTAAGCTTCGAAATAGTAAAAGATAATATTATACGACATGCAAATTTGTTATTACAATGATGGATTTGTTGAAAATATCACTTTAAAATAAAACTTTATTTTTTTATAATATATTCCATTACATAAAAAAATTATAATAATACATTTTACGGATATTATTAATTTTCTTTAGAAGATTTTTTATAATATGTTATATAATTTATAATTATACATAGTCATCACATTAATATCATATACGATTCTGTAAATGATAATAAAAACTTCAACGACTACATGTACACTTTACCCAATATTATATATTTTATTTACGTCAAATTGCACACCATCTATCTATATAAAATTTGTGTACCCATTTTGAGAATAAATTAGTTCAAATTCTATTTGCATGCATTTTCGATTAATAGGTTAAAACAACTGAAAAGAAACTGGTAACAAAGTCCAAAAAATATTTCATTTCCAAATTCCATGTCCAAAGTTATATTAATGTTTATATTATTTCAACCTTTAACTGAAAAACCAAGAAAAATCTCACTTGCTATGTCATAAGTGTGAAACAAAATGAATCTATATGTCTATTTTTGATTATGGTAACATGGACATTAGATAAAGTTGCTACAGTGAATGGGATCATATAAAATAGAATGTGGATAAAGTTGTAATCATTAATATCTTCAGATATATGAATATGCAAGGAGATAATCTTCAATACTATACATTTTTCTAGTGATATAAACAGTTCAATATATCATCAAAAGATTGCACACAACCTTTCATGCTATGCAACAAAGACATCAGTTTACAAGAATGACTCATTTGGAAAGAAGATTACATTATTCTACAAGAACTTCAACTAATCCTATTCTAACAATCAAGACGTTGTTCCCTAACAACACGTTGGACCTCCTGTTGTTTACAGCCAGTTATTCCTCATTAGTACACATTACATCCGTGAAACATATACCATGTCATCTTCGATCATCCATATATGGCTACATGGTATCTTCACAAACTATTTTAATATGGTTCTTGTGTGGCTTTTGTCGATGAGACCAAAGATTGCACAAAAAGTTACGTAATACATTTATCTATATTTCTTATCCTTCTCAACCTTATTGCTCCGAAGGGTGGGATCATATATCTCACCAATATCTTGCAACTTTGGGCAGTTGTTAGACCCATAGAGCAACAAACTACTTTTATAATTACAACTAACAGAGATAACTGGAACTAAAATTATACATGAAGCTTGCATATTTGAGGCCCTGACTACCCCTGGATCTTCGAATTTGCAAGTAGAGATTAAGAGAAACCAAGAATAAACACGGACTTGCCTCAAAAAAGATTGGTCTTTCCATTTTCCATTGGCCTTTCTTAGCCTCAATCATTTCGTTTTTCGTTGAGGTGGTTCTGGTATGTTTTTCTCATCTCCTGTATACTCTTGTCCTTCAGAGGCATTGGAAAGGGGAAGTTCATTTCATGCCATTACTCACGGAGTACACAATTCCATGACCATGTGAGCAAGGGCAAAGCATTGCATGAGAAACATTTAGATCTTCATCAGCAAGCATGTGCAAACACAATAAACGACCACCATACGCAGTTTGATTTGTTGTGAGATTTATTTGGATTAAACAAGTAACACAACATTTGTTATTCAAGCCATATACTGAAGACATGAGCCCTACCACGATGGTGCATCTCTTTTTTTGCACGATTTTTAAGTTTCTCGGTGTCATTTGGCAAGGTGGACCAAATATTTGTGGCTCGCATCTTTGCAGCACGATCCTGATTGACAGTCCAAATATAAAAGTTAGTCATTCGTCCCAACGTTACGACGGTGATGCATAAAATAGCTGAAACTTGCTTCGACTCATATACATACCAATGTTCGCTCCCTAACTGTCCTAAGACGCTCCATGAACCAAGGTTCTGGTTGCAAACTCCCCTCGCTAACGTCCATACGGGATGTAAGTGGCATCCAATCCGCAACATTTTCACCATCGGTCAAAGTAAGGTTGCTGAAGACCTTTGCTCCTTGCTCTCGAGCTGATGAGACATCTGAGAAGAACATCTCTAAAGAACTACTGCTCTCCACGTCCAGATAGATCGACGCAACTGCACACAAAACGTAATCACTTAAAAACTACTGTAGAATATACTAGCTTAGCAAGTAACATGTCAACGAAGTAGACTTAGAACTTTGACGAACAATCAGGTTGCTTTACAGAATTCAGTGAACAATTCTTCTACCTTTCAACCGCTTGAAGTCTTCAGCAACATCATGTACACTCATAGCTCCTTTTCTTTTCAAAGAATCCAACTCCGTTGAGACAATAGGTTTAGTTTGAAGGGCTTCTTCAACCGCTACCATCTTTACGATATCCTGTAAGGCTTGTTTCTTGTCCTTGACAGTTGACTTCTTGACTGCTCTTCTGGGTCCTCGTTTGTCTGGGACGGAATGCCCGGATAACGTGTACAGCTGTGAGGGAATCCCCTTCTGATTTCTGGTACTACTCAGCAGCTTGGAAGCTCGAGCATCAGGATGTGTGGGACTTAAGAGTCGCACTCGAAGTTTAGGAGCATGAGCTCGAGATCCTGCGAGGTTTTGATACGCATAACTATGAATTGTATGGTATAGGTTCACATAGATGCGCAACCATCAAAAGTACACTCATTGCGGTATTCAACGTACAATATGTTGCTAATTTATCCTTGAGACTGAATATTCTTACCGTCTGCTCGAAGCTGTACCCAAACAGAATCCATAAGCCTATATTCACGTATCGTTTTTCCAATCTTGGAATCCTGTGCAATGACGTATTTTGAAATCTCTACATTATGCAAATCGAGATTACAGGAGGATTGATTCACTACACGTCAGAAGACTATCGAATTTACTGCATAAGATAGTAGGCCACAAGCTAAGAGACACTCACAATGTGGCAAATACTAGATGACAGTCAATATCGACGACTGAAAAGATATCGCGCAGAGTCCTTACAGAGTCATTGCAGCGGTACAAATCAGAAGCGCGCAAAGGAAACAAAAGTACGGATACAAGGACATACTTACGTTAATTTTCACAACTCCCGGTTCCTTCACCAGAATATGACTGTCAGCCCGACTAAAAAGCTCTTCTGTATCGAGTTCAGAATCGTCCTCTGCTGGAAGAATAACATTTCCTTTTTTGTCCTATTAAAACAGAATCCACACAAACGCGTCAAAGTAGAGCTTTCACCAAATGTCACGAGGTCGATGGTTCCTGGCCTCTTCGGGTACGGTGGACTTCGAATTTCTATCACTCAAACTTCGTCTTGCAAAGGCAGTTCCGTCATCCTTCCGCTACTTGGACAGAACCATCATCCCACAACCAAAATTCACCAACTCAGGAAAAAGGCATGAGCCTTTACAGACTAGAGAGTTGAAGTGCGAAAAAAGACCAGTGTTTTGATTGTGTTGTCCTCATTTCAGAACTCCAGTGAAAAAATTCCTTTCGAACATAGCACATCAGATGAAAGAGCCAATTACAAGGTTCAGTAACACATGTGAAAATTTTCAGCGTATGGATTCGGAGAATATTGTATGTGTGCGTAAAGTAGTTCAAGCCATTACGTACTTGTAGATAAACAGGTACTCTAAGGTCGTACTTAGGAACAAACACCATCATTCCTTTGCTGAAAATGCTGATAACCTGTAAATAGACAAAAGAATTAGAAATAGAGGTATGTTACACCAGTTACTTGACATGTTTGATCAAAGTCCTTCCCAATCAGGTCAAAAGTTGTGGGCAACAAAGGTGAAGCAGCTCCTGCTGCTGTTGTTACTGCTCAGCTAGATCAACGTTAAGGGCTGGAAAAATCCAGCCGCATAGGAGAACTTGTTTGAAGCAGCCCAAAAGTTGACTTCACGCTTATTCTTAAGAATCCCACCTAGCTATGTTCGTACCGAAGCCTAAAGTTGCTATTAAATGTAGGCTACTCAAGGTAAAGATGAGATCAACCGCTACAATGTAGAGGGATTTCTTACCACAGCGTGTTCTGCTTTCGCGTGTTTTTGCAGAAACATCAGTAGGTAAAGCTCATTACACTCCTTTTGTGCTCTTTTGCTGTTCCGATGGCGCTCATTGAGGTGATGAACGACCTGATCTCAGAAACAAAAAATCACCCACGGGAAGCCTGATAATGCTAAAATTTGCTTAAGTATCAGAATTGGCGAGGAACAAGCAGAAAACACATAGATAAATAGGTAAATATCTGGTACCTCTTGCAACTCTTGGCTTGGTAGATCCAAAGTCAAATTAGTCTTCGCAGATATCACATCATTCCCTTTTACAAGATCTGAATCTTCCCCGCAAGCGGCCAGCAACATACGATGAACTATTACGTCCGCATAACGACGAATTGGTGACGTAAAATGGGTGTAAAACCTGAAAGAGCGAGATTTTTCAAAACAAGTATTCAGAACGGTCGACTCATCAACGGAAACACAGCAACGTATTTAGATGGACTCTTAGTTTATCACAGAAGGTTAAGGGAAAGGAATTAATCAAAACGTACTCCAAAGCTAGGCCGTAGTGATAAACTCCACTTGCATCAGATTGTTCTCCTGTTGAGCAATATTCAGCCTGAAGTTCAGAATCGTCAGTACAAGACTAAAGCTTGATCCCGACTCAAAATGTCATGAAGGATACATGTCCCAAATAACGCATTCCATATTACTCCAGGTAATCCTAACTTCAGTTCCTGAAGCTAAACAAAAAAAGCCTTATCTTCCGGGGGAGGCAAAGTGACCAACTTCTGGTTCCTCTGGGTTCCTCCATATAACTCTTGCTTACTTCTCTCAAGTACATTGCGTGATGGAATGTTCCACACACGATGGCTTCTTTGCACATAAGATTAACCTGGTTTCAAGTTATGTTCGAAATACGGTTTTTTATGCGGAGGAAACTCTTCCACATCATTACCTCTGACATAGCCCTCGTCGCCAACGCGCGAAAAGCACTCTGCGAGAAAGCAAATCCATCCAGGTCAGGTAAGGCCAAGTGCCGATATAGACTTCATAAGTAGGTAATAAGATGCAGCAGGCTCTTGAGTCTTCGACCGATGTTATTTAGGAGGTTGTTCCAAGGATGTCTGCATCTCTCATGAAGTCCCTGATAGCCTTAGTACAGAAGAACTAATTTCGATCATAGATTTTCCTTACAGAGTCCTGCATCGACTGTACAACAAACTGATGTCATATATGACTAGAATCTAAAATATGCATCAGAATCCACAATAATACATATTGTGTAAAGAGTCCAATCGAAGGCCCACGGATCCTCTACGGTCAAGGGACCGATTCCAGCCCACACACAACAGCCAGATGTCTAAGGAACAAAAGAGAGACCTCAACAAGGGGATCGTTGCTGTCACGCATGCGATCGAGGGAATTTGCCAGCGCCTGTCAATAAACAACGTGATTTTGTCAGCTTTAATCCCCACAAAATTTAGGCGTATAGCAGGCGCACTTCTTGCTCTTGAAACTGGAACAGATGACTGTAATTCCAACTTTGATGCAGGTTGCAAGTTCAACACCACCTTGTTGCTTGAAGTATCTAAGGTAAATCCGCGTGCTGCACAGCACTACGAGCCCATTATCACTGTGATTAAAATTTGGTCACATCTTCAAAAAATGACTAGCACTGGATCGAATATAGTCAAACTGGAAATACAAAATCAGAGACAGGTAGTCCAACAAGCTAAATACTTTGTAGAAAGACAACAGAATCAAAGCGTACAGCATACAACTGAATTATATGTTTCAACTTGAATATCACCTCAAGTAGTAGAGTGAAGTTGTCCAGTCGAGGAGGGGCGTGGCGCCGAAGAAGAGCCTTGGATGGAAAGGACCTGATATCCCCAAGGCAGGCTTCACTTAGCATGTTTATATTTCTCCCCTTCTCACATACTATTAGACATTATTTAGAGTGCACCAACCTTCCAGAGTTCAGTTTCTACAACAAGTAAATTCCTTGCAAGGAGCAAACGTGGGGACAGCGTGTTTTGAATTGGAGAAGTTGTTGACAGAATACATACAACGACCAATTGTACGGCACACCCAGAACAGGTATGGTCCTCACCCATATATTTTCTTGGCAACATATGAATTGGCTAAGATCATCAGCTCTGCGACTATCCAGTTCATCTGGAAGAAAATCCACGAACAGTTTACACCTTGTTCAAATCAGTCTGGTCCCAGCTTGGGTAAATAACAAAAAGTGAGGTCATTTCATCGAAAAAGAGGACGTGATTGAAGCAATATGAACGTCGTTGGTCACCGTCAAGTATCCTCACCGGAAGTTCTTCCTTAGTGTCCACGCTGATTGGTTCCTTGTTGCCAGCAGTCTCAAAGCGAAGTTCGGAACTGACCAACTCCAAGGCACCATGGGCCTTCCTCAAATCTCGACGTAGCTGTAGAAAACAACATATTTCGAATTAATGTTTTAACGATATTCGATTTCCAGCACAAGCTTCTTGCCCCTTAGTGTTCACGGCCACTCCAGTAGGTTCTCACATCGCAACATCTCTGAAACGACCGAACTTGGTCCCTGATCTCGAGCCTTACAAGTGAACTTATAAAAGTCAGTGCAGAGTACTTTAGAGTTTGGATACCTGCGAGAAACTTGCAAGAACAAGCAGATCAGACTCAACAGCAGCAAGTTCATCTTGTCCACCGCTGATCTCCCAACCAGAAGGCAGCGTTTGACGATCAACGATTGCTTGGGCTTGAGCGTAGAACATCTGCAGCAACCGGAGACACACAAAATACGACTTTAAACTCAAATTTCGAGCAAAATTAAAGTCGATCGTAAAGCAGAAGTCCAGTTTAAAGGGTAAATACGATATACAGCAAAACTATTCATTAAAATCACCTGATGTTTAGACCGAATAATTGTCCTTCCGAACCACACATCCACAATTTCGAAGAAGTTCTCAGGATCGACTGTCCAGACAACACTAACGGCCAGCCTGTCCGTGCCTCCTTTGAGAGAACACAGATTCTCACTAGTCATCCAAACAACCCCACAAAGCACCTTCATTTTCTTTTCAATATTGCTACAAGCAAGATTCAAGAAGAATACAGCAGGTATTTTACGACTGGAAGAACTACTAGAGCAAGATCCACAAACAAACAGAGTAGGTGCATTGATTAACTGTTCAAAACCTCATCAGCCAAAAGCTATGACCTGATGAAGACTAGTCGCTTACCTCAGTATTGAAGGAAGCATATGCCAACTCTTTCCCACCATGTACACAGTGGTACCTCTAGCACGAGCTTCGAGATCTAGTAAGCTATCTTGTCGAACAAAGTAAGACACGTCGGCAATATGGACTCCGATCTGGTTGTCAAGTAGTATGATTGTCAAAAGGTCGTTCATACATTAAGAGCTCGAGGAATACTCCGCTAATGGCCAAAAATAAAGAAGAATTTGCAGTTTGAGCAGTCTTCTCAAACAGTTGTTAGTATCTTACTACTAAGATGAACAGAGGGTAAAGTCTTTATCTACTTCATAGTAATTGAATGTCGGAAGAACAACTAGATCCACATCATTTCACAGGAAAAAGAGTAGCTTATACCTCTAACAGGCCGCTTGATAAACGGCTCACTGATAGGGCATCGTCAACATCTTTACTCCCTGGTGGATCAATACTGTGATGCAAAGAAAATGAAGTACAATTAATTGATCAAAGATGGAAAAACCTGGTCATGAGAAACCTGTGAAAGAAGACACAGAATTCCAATCCCTTCAGCCTACATCAAGAACTTGTGCTTTGCAACTCGAGTTAAGGAGGCCATTAAAAGCTCTCAATTTACAATCTTAACTCGATGATGTCATAACGTATACTAAAATGATTTATGTTGGAGCTGCAACAGAGCGTTTGACTGGATGGCTGTTGGACAAATTATTAGGTGATCTACAAATTAATCAAGTCGAAGGAGCATCTCAACTTACCTGCATGTTCTATGAGTATATCGGAGATCTCGGCGATACGCGAATTCCTTATCTGGTATTAACCAGGGATTGCTTTCAGTATCTTCAGGAAGTTCTTGCTTCGATCTACAATGATTGAATAGTTGGAGTTTGAGAAGGACTACAATGATGCATACTGAACAACGATACGCCGGTATTCTGGCACTTGGCACTAGACAAAGCATACAGCATAATGCTTCAACTTACCAGGTATGCAAGAATTAAATCTACAGACGAAGTCTCACTATATATACAAATTATTATATTAGGACAGATATGACCAATCGCACAAGATTCAAAACCAACTGGGCAGGTGTCCAAGACACTGGACGTCGCCAGTGACAGCTACGATACTACATGGAACGATCAAGTCAGCAAGGAACTAACAAGGAAGAAACTGAGGTTTACAGGTGACGAACATAAGGTACTTAAAACTTACGCTGAACTGAACGGTGAAGTATTTATTCCATTTTCTACCAGTAAAGCCATAGTCTCTGTGTTGAGGTCGCCTAGGGGGCCCAATAGTCGGACAAAATGACCCTTCGGTACTCTTGAATCTTGATCCCAACCATCAATTCTAATTACAAATCTTTGTCCTAGAAGCCTATCTGCAAACCGTGTATTTAGTCGTACCTGTCACATCAGGCGTAGAACTACTAGAATGAGATTTTCATTGACGTTAATAGGGTAGAGACTGGAACTGGAGGAATGAAAATATCCTCAATGATGCAAATATAGAAGCTAGGAAATAAAATCGACTTGTCTGCGAGAGTAGCGTTATAAAGATCTAGTGACTACACTTTCTATTATGTAAGACTAAAAGCCACATTATATGACCTTGGAACTGCACACTCATAGATGCACAATTACGTAGGGTGTGACATCGAGCATGCGTATTCTCGAGCGCATAGTTCAAACTAACCTCCAAACTCAAACTCTCAATCCTACAGATGATCAAATCAAGCATCAAGAGATGCCTTATCATGATAAGGCATCTCTGATTCCTCATCCAAACAGAAGAAAATTATATTATATACACAAGTAACCCAGAGAATATGACAGACATACCATTGGAATACGTCTGTCCATTGGGACACATAGCAGATATTCCCGCCTGCATTTGTTTCGTGGATAAGAATTAGAACAACTTGACACAAACTCCACCTGAATACGCGGAGATACTTGACATACTAATACTGCCTTTCGAAGCCTTCAGAATAAGGTCATCACTTTGTTGCTTCACCATGTAAATGACAACTGAGGTTCCATTTAACTATCTTAACTAAGTTCAAAGCTATCCGCCTCAACTGCAGCTGCCAAATCACGTGCGGGACGAAAGTCACAAAAACGCACCTGCCAGGGATGGAATGCGATATATACTCCTCGTCTTCTTGTGCCAAACAAGCTACATAATCCCTTTGAAACCTTTGGACGATTCCAACAACTTCACCGGTTGGCATTACCTCTTGCACAGCTTTCTCCTGTACATCATCCACCTGTTTAATACCAGAATTTATCGTATCAGGAAGGTCGTCCACCTCATCGGTCAGGTAAGGTAATTTCAGGTCCTCTTCGGTAGTGGTTTTAGTTCCAGCCTTCTTTCCCCGCTGAGAGTTCTGCCTGGACGCCTGCCAATATTTGCTCTCCAGCATTCGGACCTGCCGTATTCCATCGTCAATCAGAATATATCCGAGTAAAGGTAATCCAACTGAAGAATACATGTAATTACAAACTCTCATCTCCAAGTCATTTTGTAGGTTCTTAATACGGGTACCCACCGCAACGGTATCCCCAGGCAAAGCCCTGTTTTGCAGCAATCTTCCTGGTACGAATATTTCCAGCTTTGAAGCTTCACCCTTGTTGCTGTCATCAGGAAGTCATGGAGGCAAGGAAATTAACAAAGGGTCTCGATTTAAAAACTAGCTGGCACTAGATTGCCCCAGGTACCGACCAACCTTTCAAGGACACTCACGATACTTCATGTTCCAGACATGAGAAAAGTACCGAGGTTTCCAGATTACAGACAACTGTCTAACAGGAGGAGACTGATCGCTTGAGTTGCAGTTCCCAGTACATGCACTATCAACTGTTTATGTCATGAACCTAGTCTTTGAGGTAACCAATGTGGCCATCAAAAGTCATGCTAGTATCTCTGACCCCAATTATTACGATTCAAACCACATCTATATATTGTTAGTAACGCAAACTTAACGGTAAGGAGTGCGTAAGGTCTGAGCACCTAGGATGAATGAACCCTTCAAGTGGCTCATGTCTGTCAACATGGAATATACCAACGCGAAGGGATCCACTTGCAATATCTGCTTCTAGTGAATGCACTGCAATGAGACCAACAAGGGATGGCATGTCAAAAAACTATGGCATTTCGATCCTGTCCAATTACAACTCGTAAACTGTACTTATTCGTTTGTGGCTCAAGACCATGGAACCAGTCATCTGGCTGATACTTCTCCAATAACAACCGTCAACAATGGCAAGTGATAGCATGCGCCAAGGAAGACTTGCATTGATTCACGAAGATCAATGCAGGACAAGCCTCTGGAAACTTTGAGGTGTAAACAATTTCCGCTTTCAGCGTTGAGGATTTGTTTGCATAGAAGTACTAATTCCATTTCTTTGGGATGTTGAAGAGCGAGAAAATAATCATAAAATCTTGTGAAAGAGTCTAGGGAGCCAAGAGGCATGCTAGTTACACTCGAGCGGGTGGAGTGGGACATTATATTTAACTCTTGGCGGCAGCAACGGGCATGCTGCAGGAGGAGATGTAAAATATCGTTGTAAAGCGACTTTGAGTAGTCAAGCTTCATCACTGATCCTACATCTTGTATTACAACATCCTGTTCTTGTTGCCAATCTTTTAAGTTTCAAGTATCTGGATCAAGCCTCACAAGTACAGACACAATCTTCACCATCATAGGGTAAACATCTGGTATGAACCTGGTAGATGCTCTTTGAAGTAAGCGGATGTTCCTTTGCTTCCTCTTCTCCCAGAAACATCACTCTGGCGAGAATCATTTTGTAATTTCTGTGCTTCCGTGACTTCGGCACGTGACTGGACCTGATTTGATTTCACAGTTGAATAAAACAGCCGAGATATCAAATGATATGGAATGAGAGACGAGACATCAGACAACATGTACTTAATATATTGTCTCAAACTTGCTACAGCATGATCTCAACCTTCGTAACCCCAAAATCCAACTACATGAATTATGACTGCAAATTAACAAATCTGTAATAAAATTCAGGAGTAAAACACGGGACTGAACAATAAGCCAGTGCTGCAAGAACTAATTAACAGTACAAAGATATTAATTCTAAAGAATATACAGAACAAGAAGTTACATGCCTAGTGATTGAGTGCAATAAATGATGAGTGCTGCCCCATGAAAGGTTCAAACCGTACGAGAAGAGTCACTAACCAGTGAGGCAAAGAGCTCTGAAACGGATGAATCATGATTCCAGTACCCTTTAATATAGTTTTCGACATTCAGAACCTGCACTTCCTCAAAGTCAAACGCTCAGAACCTAGAGGACAACAGAACCTTATTTGCAGTAAATCTTAGTGCGTGCACGATTTGGATATACCTCTAAAGTTTTGCTTTTGCCGTCTGAGATAGATAGACGGCTGAGATGAGTTTGTAGGAAAGTCTCGTCGACCGCTGAAGAGTCACTTTCGCCTGATGTTTGTATGGCAACAATTTGGACAGATCCTTCCAGATGCTCGTAAAACCAGCCAGCCACGGCTTCTACTCCTGCAGCACATACGCATGTATTATTGCCGAAGTTCAAAGGTTTAATGAGACAGGATCAGCGCGCAATTTCAACTTCTTCTCAATCCAGGATACTTCAGTCTGAGCAGCAGAATCTATTTCATTTATCGACCTCTGAAGTGAAGATCATCCAAAGCCATGATATTTAAATGATGGCTTTGGATCCAAGATTTTAGAGTACTGCCACATCAATTTCTATAAAGTTAACGACTTTCAATATTAGTCACAGGCACCTTACTTTTACCCGAGTGGATAGCGCCTGCCGCCTGGTTTCTGTCTCTATTCAAACTCCATGTGTAGATAAAATGTTCATCATCAAATAATATACTCTGTCGTCTTCTGTCCGTGAAGAGAGATCTGCGCTCACAAGATTTCAATTTTCAGCACTTGGATAAGTTTAAAGTAAGATGTTCATTTCTCGACTTGAGAATCTCTTATATCGAAACGTTAAGATGAACTTTGGAAGTCCAAATCAAGTTTAGCGACCATAGGCCTTTTCTTCACTCGCCTGAATTTTCGATAATTGTGCTGACTCAGTCGGTTGACGACCTGTCATCATGGAATAAGGAGGGAAACCGTACACATTATGAGAAAAAAAGTCAACCACTCAGCAGAGGATCAAGGTTCCAGCGAAACTATTTAGTTTTGCACTGTTCCAAGTCTGGACATTGACTAAAGTACGCAATTTACCCCTAAGAGAGAATAAATGAGGAAGAAGAGGAAGAACAGCCTATTTGAAATTGCTGGGTGCTGACCTCCTTGACAACCGAAGAAAGGTAGATGACACCAGTAATTTGAGGTAGCTCCCATACTTCCAAGTAATGAATTAGAGCTTCTGCATCCAAGATCTAGGTTGACACAGAGGCAATCAATCACTTTCTGCCAGAACCGTGAAATCCCAACAATATGACTAACCTCATAGCCCATATCGTAAAACTCATACAAAGATGCAACTGATAGACGAGAATTACCATTTCTAGAGCACCCATCCCAACGACTGACAAGAACACTTGAGTCTGGAGTCGTCAGAGCCACTTAGGCACCACACTTTTGAGGACAGAAGTTTATGAAAACTCGTCTATGCTAAAAGCTAGATCTACGCGAAGTAAAACTGAATTCATAGGCGAAATTTATACCAGGTAATGGGACGGATGAGCTGGTAGCGTTGCTGAATTTTGAGAACAGAGCTGGCATACCGAACTACCACATGGAATATCATCACGCAGATAGACTTCCTGGATCAACACTACGACTGTTTTGGACCGCTTCCTCAATTTGCAGCGTCTTGTCACCTGCGGTGGTCATGAACAGAAATTGGAGATTAAGTGATATCTTTCATGACTAGAGAAGACATTGTAAAAGTAGGAACCAGAAGGTAGAGAATTGCAAGATAACGAGGGCCGGAAATCCTGAAAATGATACAGATAAATGGACATTAATGCTTAGACATCTCAGAAATCATAGCACTCGATTGATAACATTGACAGTCGATCCAGTAAAATACTCAGGTCGCAATCCATAATTCACCACACACAAAATTTCTGAAACTGCGATTGCTGCAAAAATCTGAACTCTGAGGACAGAACATCAATTCGTCAAGTTGTGAGGAGCACCTGACGTCCGAGCCATTTTCTTGTCACCTCTTGATTCATTATCTCTCTCGCATTGGCAGAGTTATCAAATTACAAAAACAATGAGCCTTCTGGCCGGAAAGACATCAAACTCAAAGGCCGCCCCGAACAGAATCATCTCCAATTATCCCTAGAATCTTTCGAAGTAATTCACCGTGTTCGACAGCTGCATATTTGCACGCGTGACGGAGCTCGGTGTAGATATGAAATGAAACACAGGGACAATGACATAATGTAACTGGGATGGGTGGCACTAGTTCTTAGATAATGTCCAATATCGTTTTCATCACGGGACAAGATTAAAGTTTAGCGTTCTTGTTACCCGAAATGGTTTCCCTGTTCAGCTACAAGTATGTGGACATAGTGCATTCTTTATGTAGTAATGAGTGAGTTGTAAGCGAGAAGGGCCCTGCATGACAGGCTACCAGATCGAACGCTTCGAACATCTGAAGATTCAATCCGTCTCGAGACACCAGAAAACGCTGACGGATACTTCGTCCAAATTGCAGACGAAAAGCTCGAAAACTCCAAGTCAAGAATTGGCGGGGCACACTTTACTGCTCTCTACACTACCTACAGCTCATCTACAAGTTTAGAACGATAAAAGTCTGAAACACAGGGAAACAAGTCAACTCGAAATTATTGACGACATGTCGACAGATAGTCGATATTTACAGAGATCGAGAATGATAATAGTCAGAAGTTAGCCTGCCCGGACATCAAAAATCAGAAGTTGATGCGTCGTCTCATTTTAAGATTTGCATATGAGTACATTTTCGGCTACGTGATTTTGCTTGTTGCATCTTTCTTTGATTCAAATGTAAGCGAGTACAATCAGGAATGACTAATATATTCGGATTGAATATTCACAGCAGTAGAGGGCATTGAGGTCTCACACTTACAGGGTTCACATTAACGGGGACCTATGCAACCATTCAGGCAATCACAGACACAAAGTTTCTTATCTCTAATTGTAACTGATATTTCTCAACGATAACTCCATCACGACAATTCCGCAGTAGTTCTTAAGAACAGCAATGGAATAAGACAAAACCTAGTAATATAGCAAAGAGAAGGGAAGACACCATAAATCAAACATTGACGAAGCCAAGCATGTCCAAACCAAACAATATCCCCATAGCCTCAAATGAGATATTTATCATGGTACAAATGTAATCAAGAATTTGATCAAAAACATTCTAAGCTTTTAAGGTTAAAATTACAATCATCTAACACATTGTTTTCGATTAAAATCTCAAAATTTTATTTTTTATTTTGAATGTTTCATAAGAACATGGAAACTGTAAATAACTTATTGATATATGCTTTTAGAAGTTAACTCACGTCCCTAAACCCTTACCTCTGATCTGCTAAGCCCGGTTAGTTAAGCTAACCTATTCTCTTAGTGACAAAAGGTTTCTCATAAAAGTTGGTTAAGTCCAACTAGAAATAGTCCGAAAGATGACTCACATTTTTTCCTTGTGACTAACTATTTGCATTTTCTTTGGGATAAATCCCTAACAAGCAAGAACATAACGCAAAAATTCATTCACTAGACAGTTCAAATTATAGTTTACCTAACAATGTTTTGTTTGTTTTCATCCATGCCCAACAAATTGTAATCAAAATTTAAAAAATACAAATATATAACAAAGTTTAAAAAAAATACTTTTATCTAGAAAAAAATTTGAAACTCGTAACTTAATAGGAGAAAACTTTAAGAAACTTACATAAGATATTATCATGAGTTGAATCATGAAGAAGTTTTTCAGAATGAAATTGAATCTTTATGGTTGCAGCGTTGACCTTTGAAGAGAACTCAAGAACAATCAAGAGATTTTGTCTCTTGATTGTTGTTGTGAATTCAATTTTATTTAATTTTTTTTAAATGTGTAATCAATAATTTCTTTATGTAAAGAAAAAATTAAATTTGCTTTATATTGAAGAAATTTATTATCCCACAGTCTTACATCTATAAGGAGATGGTTGTAAACTTCACTGTTTTATCGTGTGCACACTTTAGGCCACTATTGACAGCTAAACTATAAATTGGCAAAAAATTGTAACAGCCTTGTCAAAATTTGTATAGTGTTTCTCTCACTATCACTTGACTTTAAGCCTCTCAGTTAGATGTCAGGGATGCGACAGCAATAAATACGGAAGCGTAGTTTGGTGAAAGTTTTGTATACAATCGAAGCATCTTTGATACTACACGCTAGTACAGTGAAACCTCCGTATAAGGTACAAGCCACATAAAGTACACCTCCGTATATGTTATGGTTTTTTGTAGGAATTGCATATACTCTTGTTTTCCTAAATAAAAAATCTTTATAAAATGTACACCTTTGTTTAGAATGCAAAGTACACCCTTGGCCGGCCACGGAGTAGCCACGTAGCTCTATACAAGGTACACCCTCTACCTTCAAATTGGGTGCTTTTTGTTGATGAGGCACCCAATCCCTTGGGCATGTACAACAACTCCAATCGAGAGTCATTTTGAATCATAGCCGCTTCCGAAGTAAGAAAACTAACACTTCTAGATGTTAAACTTGATGTCTGACAAGAAGAAATTAAAGCTGGTCAACTTGAGCACCAAGCTTGCCATCATCAAGTACCTTGATGATGGCCACAACATGACAGTAACAGTTGACAAGTTTTCTTTATTCAAAGGAACCGTTCAGGCATTAAAACGGAACAGAGTACCGTTGTTGAGAGAAGCAAAGAGCAATAGAGCACTCTTTAAAGCCAGAATTGTTCAGCAGACTGACATCAATGTCATTCTATGGAGATGGTTTTCAACAACAAGGCCGCGTGGCTATTCGATAAGTGGCCCCATTCTGCAAGAGAAAGCGAAACAAATTGCTAGTCGTTTGGGAACTGATGTCAAAGAATTTTCTGCATCTAAAGTCTCGCTGAAAAAGTGGAAGCAGAGGAACAATGTGAAATCATACAAGGTTTGTCGAGAATCAGGAAATGCAGATCTTACAAGCGCCGAACAATGGAGTACATCACTGGAGTCATTGTTAGCAGGCTATGATCTCAAGAACGTGTTTAATATGGATGAGACAAGCTTTTTCTTCCGAGACTTACCTGATTCAACACTGAATCACGTTGCTGATTCATGTAAAGGAGGGAAGCAAGGCAAAGACAGAGTCACTGTGGCTCTAACTTGCTCAGCTATGGGCGAAAAACTCCCGCCTTGGATAATCGGCAAGTCAAAGAATCCTTGTTCTTTCTGAAATGTCGACATGAGCAAGTTCAAAGCCAAGTATTTGAGCAGTGCAAAGACGTGGATGATCAATCCATTGTTCAATATTTATTTGAAAGACCTGGATGAGTTCTTCAAGCGACAAGGTCGGAAGATTTTGCTCTTTCTAGATTACGCCATGTTCATATAGTTGACAAAGCCACCAAACCGACTAACATTGAACTTTGCTTTTCCGCCCAATCTCACATCAGTCCTACATACTCTTGATGTTGGCATTGTCAAAAGCTTGAAAGCTTTATCACGGAAGTTTGAAGTGTTTTCCCTGCTCGATTTGATTAAAGATTCTTCGCTTCATGCATCAGATCTTGCAAAAAAGTTGACGGTTCTTCATGCAATCAAGTTTGTGGAAAAGTCATGGGATATTGTCAACGCGAAGACTATTTTAAAATTTTTTGCAATGTGGATTTGTTATTCCCACTTTACAGAGCAGGAAACTACAGAATTCTTGGAGTAAGAAAAAGAGCTCCCTTTGGTAGCTCAAAGAATCGGCCTTGACAGATCCAAGCTTGTCGTTGAGTAGCATCTACCAGAATGTGATGCTCAAGTAGAAGCAAACCTCATCGGATAGTTAGTAGACAAATTTATTGGCGCAAGCAGTGAAAATGAAATGGAAGAAATCGCATTAGAAACTACAGACATTGATCCAATCGCAGATCCAATCGCTTTTACCAAAGCCAACTCACTTTTTAGTTAAAAAATGGATTTGTTGGGTTTGAAGGCCAAATTTCAATCTCTTTATGTCTCAACGTTAAAGCAATCTTCACTTGAGCATGAATTTCCAATAAATTCTAGCTGTTTCCTCATTTTCACTACTCTACACCTAGAGTTTTAGGGTTAGAGTATTCTATATAAGGTACATCCACTCCATAAGGTACAAAACTAAAAAAATTAGGAGCAAATGAAGTGTACTTTATATGAAGGTTTTTCTACATTGTAAAAGCAAACTAGCTATATCAATAACAACAATTTTTGTAACTCACATCAATCACTAGCATGATAGATTTAGTATGTGTAGAATGCTTTAAGCAATGACGTTGTTGTTAGTTTGTGGCAAATCCATCTAGTATACTCCTTCATTATAAAACAAGAAATTAAACTGATCCACCTCTTGGCAAAAAGCAGCAAATCAAAATGATGGATTCAATGTTTTATATCCTAAACAAAAATTATATTTGGCTCTGATTTGACACCGTTCATAATATATTGAAAACATTATGCTGAAATGTAGTTGACTAAACTTATGAATCTCAAAAATTTTATTCTAAATAGGCCGAATAGATTTCAAAACTCATTGTAATGATATTTTAATTCACAGCTTGTAGTTATACAAGACATCCATAGCATAAATTAGTCTTATCCTATCTAATATACTTTCTAGATTATATCTAAGAAGATAACTAATGTAGACATCTTGCTCTGATTTATATGTGTATACAACTCTAAGCAACATCAGGATGAGAGTTCTGGGTTGTGTTCGACATTCCAAGTCGTTTGATTAAATCTGGATAAGATTGAGAGAAGTAATAAAAACTTTGCACCTAAGCACTCTTGCTAGAGGGTTATTATGTCGGGTAACGCATGAGATAAGGTGCATGAAAGTATTTTTTTCTCATAAAATGTGAAATTTTTTATCACAAATTGACAAGGACCTTTTAAATATACATGTATATTTACAAAATCAAATCAAATTCATAGACACGATGGTGTTCTATTGGAATATGGAAAGAGTGGTATATCATCTAGAGAATTAGTGTTTTATAAAGACCAAAACTATTTTTTTCCTTGAATGATTGTGGTACAAAGGTTTAATATTGAGAAATATTAATGTTTTTCAACTATGAAATATAAATAATGCTCTACGCAATTCATTCATAACTTTCAAACCATTGAGTATTGGATAGTCAACTAAACATTACATGGATGACATTTAGTTCATTGAAGTGGAAGTTCATTCATCTCCATCAACAAGTGAATTAAGTATTTTAGTAAATTTTTGACTCCAAAATTGAAAATTTACAGATACAAATAATACAGAATATATCTATCTCATAATTTTAATGAAAAGCTTAGTTGTAATGAGTATGTTTAAGTTTTGGTTTTTCGGTGTAAACATAACACGATTCCATTTGAATATATATATAGAAAAAATATTTATATTTGTCATATTTGGATATGAATAACAGTCTGTGACCAGTGCCAAGAGTAATAATCAATCTATCATATTAGCCTCCTATGATAGAGTGGTTTGAAAATTGGAAATCAATCCATACCAGATTATCTTATGATTGCGATACAAAATGATGCGATAGTTTTTCTCTATAAAGAACCTGTATCAAAAGTTACGTAGGCATGTATATATCTTTGGCCAACATTGTACTTCAAATCTGCACCAGACCATAACCATCAGCAGCGAAATGAGCTCAACCCTGCTATTCAAATTACGCGAGATGTGTTATCTGTATTAACCCGTTACACCAAATTCTTGGTTGGATCTTGACAAACACTGCACTTAGCATTACTTGTGCCCACCCATGGAAAATTAATGTCACCCAAAACCTACACAAAACCCATGGGCATGGGTGGGTTAGTGCATGGGCATCCAATGTTGGGCTCTGGTATGTATAGACTAGAAGAATTAATGACTTCGTTTACTGCAACGTATTATCTAAACTTCTCGAACTGAAAGAGAGTACTTTATTGATACCTCGTATTCGAAGATGCATACGTATGGTATGTGACCAGGAATAACATAATAGCAGAAATACGAAGTTATCTCGCTGGTGATAAGACACTATTGCGCACATCGTTCCAGGATGAAGTGCGACAATAGTTACTTGCTCTGGTGGAAGTGAGGATCGATCTTTATCGGCAGTGCAAATCCTGTATGGTGAGTTCTGTCAACCAGGGACGAGAACAGGAGAGATCCATATGAACACGCCCTCCACAAAAATACATATGGCTGGTAGCATCAGTCGACTTTCATCGCAATCTCAGGCAATGATGATCACATGTATTACGAAGTACAAAATCAATCGTTTGGCAAAGTGTACGTACATTTGTTCCTTACGTAACATAATCTGAGAACATCAAGTGTGTACTCGGCTTACTAGCAGGATTACACCTTAACCCATTTCGTGATAAACGGAGTTTCTTCAACCACCAATTCTGCGTTGAATTTATTCCATGATCATATCGTTACTTTCCTTTATAGTCGGCGTGTACTGAGTGTCCACGGACAACTGTCAAACACGCCAGCCACTACTGATCTAGGAATAGCGCCAGATGTCCAATAAGTTCGTACACGTCCATCTGTTGAACGGAGACCCTGGCGATGAAGATTAAGTTTCTTCGCTAAGAAAATTTGCCATTCAGCTACCTTCTAGAACTGGGAAGGCGGACCTCCATCGACTTTGAACCGTCCCTCCATTTGTCGAACATACCTCTGCAACGACGTCACTAGGGACATCTACTCTCATCCCAACAGATTCCAGTTGATTCAGTGTCATTAGCCTCCATTCGAACCTGCAGTTAATATTTTACAAACGACTTTCTATCTTCCAAATGCTGAGTATCATGCCAGTCTCTTCCCGATTCGTTACATTCACTGATGAATATGAATGCAGAAATGCACCACTTCGTGATCAGGAAGAGAATGCAAACAGAAACCCAGAAATAACACTCGTATGAGTCTTTCAGCTCTCGTATTCATCATTCACTCAATCATAAACAGACAAGACTGTGACATGGGTTTCGACATATGATACATGAAAAAATCATGTGCATTCAAATGCTGTTGGGAATCACACTTGCGAAGATTTAGCCAGTCAAACTTTCACATTGGGTCACGAGTCCTCAAAGACTAAATTGAAAAGATAATCACTTCACTCGCAGTAGTTAACCGTCTTTGACATAGTTGGAAGAACAACGAAGTGTGAGGTCCATGACACTGTCCAGTGACTCTTCTCAGAAAAGAATGTCGATCGTCTTTGAAACTTCATCAAGCATGATACAGCAGATGGTCTAAGACTCAAAAGATCATCATTTCCAGAAAGCCAGTGTAAAATAACCATAAGCCCATTTTGGACTTTGCTACCGTGCAAGCTATGAGCACATCTAAAAGATTACAATGAGAGGACTATTGCAAAACCTTCATCGCCAACTAGGGCTACAAGTATCGGTCAAGCAAATGCTAGAATACCATCAACTATCTCCACTTCAGCTGACTGAAACATCTTCTTCGACCCCAAAATCCAAGATTTAACATCAGTTCAAAGATTTCACTATCCACCTCTCGTCTTGCAAGAAAAATTCAGCCCATGCCGTCATAAGCTAAATTCACAAACTGTCCTATCATGAGGGCTGAATATTGTGTGTGATCTTAAACTTCACAGGCACAACTAAAATATTGGAAACCTAAAGACCTACCTTTATTGTCAAATAAACAATAACAATGGCTTTGACTCATTCATGATACATATCAAACATGGCATTATACCGCTTCACCTTTCGGCTTCCTATGATGGCAGAGGGCTACAGGAGTGTGCCACGGGGGTTGTTGGGATGCTCGTAATGTAGCACAAGAAGATGTCCACAACATCTTTGGCCCACAAATTTAGATCTTCAGAAGATCTAACGCTCTACTGGCATTCAGCAGATGGCGGAAACACGTGACAGTATTAAATTAATTAGGATTTCACCACTCTAATTCTCACTTGGGGGGAAAAAATATCGGGGGTGGGCTGCTTATTTTTATCCAAGGGTTTCAAGTGTAGGGGGGAGTGTATTACCAGGAAATGTTCTTTGGATGAACTCTTGGAAGCGCTTGGCATAGAGCCGTGGCTCCACTGCAGATATGGATGACGCATCAAATTGAAGAGATTTATAGGCATGTTCAATGCGCTTTGATATATCATATTCTTGCAAGATATCAATGATGCCGAAATACAGCACCACATCATAGCTTTCGCCAAAAATCTCCTTCTCTAGAGCAGCGTTCGTGTCATCTTCTTGTCTTCGAGGTATCCGATCTGCTCTAGCAGGCATATTCACACCCAATTGAATCCGTAACCTGCACGATGGGAGTAGACACAGTAAGAAGATAAGAACCCAGGCCTGTCTTACACATCGCCTTTCAGGTGAATGTACAAGCTTCGGAGCCGTGCATTCCTCTATGTACTTGGTAAAACATTCTCTATAGATTCCCAAACGAAGAAAGAAGATCTACTAGCTCATGCGATGTCAATCCAACCCATTTTACACATTTCCAGCTCAAATCAACAAATGAAACAGTAAGTTTCTCATCAAGTGGCTTCCATTCCAAAAGAAACTTCAAAAACATTCGTTCTAGCGCCGACAGCCAAACTCTGAACGAGCTGGAAGCCAATATTATGTCACTCACATCAATATCACTCACCAATGAGACAAATAACCACAAAGGTAACAATCTGTACGTTTCGGCTTAACACGAATTAAATCATGTGAGCAAAGTAATCAATAGCTTCACAGCTATTCGGACCTTTGATAGCATGCTATATGCAGATGGATTGATTAGAACAAGAACATGTGCCCGGAGAAACCAACGTAGACACGCAAAGGCCGCGGTCTCGCTAGAAAATGCCGATGAGACTTGAGCAATTATACTAATTGGTTTGAATGTAAACCTTCGAATCGCGGAAAGACCTCTAGTATCATTAGCACAGTTACACTGCACAGAATCCTGGTTACTGAAAAATCAGACAGTTTTTATTGTTGGAAGTGCACAATCAACGTGAACATGAAAGCCAAAGGTGAGTTGGTCTTCGACCGTGTACCTTGCTGTGCCTGGTAAGACGAGGTCTACCTCCCCATCGCCGCCTGTTAGCCCCGTCCCAGATGCCCTTAAAGGACTGCCCCGCACATGCGGACCTGGCACACTGACCACCTCTCCTGGGCCCCGAGGCACCAACACCAAACCTCTGCTAGAGCTCCACTCCTCCTCTGATGGCCAAGAAACTGCACAACAAACACAATCAATCTCGGTCAGAAGACGTTAGAAACAGAATCTGCATCTCTTTATCACAAAAGACTAATAAGCTTCTAAAGGTTGAGTGTTTATTACATTCAACAAAGAAACGAGTGAACGAACTTGACCTGGAATACATAAAAAATGGAACACTATTGGAATTGGGATATTTTCTAATATCCTCAAGACGAAATCGTCCAATCTCATTGAATCAGATATTTAGTTGAAGGAAGAGACTCAACCTCTGGTTTTGAGATAAATAAAGATTCCATGAGAAACAAAGAAATGACATTTCTACTTTGAGCACCAAGGAAGAAGGCGAACCATATGGAAAATGCACTGCGTGTGCGAAGCTCAGATGTAAGGCAAGCCAGAAATGCCCAGTAGTTATGCATGGTTAGTGATCTAGAGTACTTGGACAGCTCAGAACCTACCGTCTTCAGGACCAGCCACCACACACTCCGGAGGAGGCACCAACTCTGCAACTGTTGGAGAAGGGACAGGAGAAATTGCTGGAGGATATTGTGGTGCTCTGAAATGGAGACCCAACAACAAACTGTAGTCCATAATCCGCTGGCTCTCCAAAAACTTGCAATCAACCTCTACTTGCCTGCACAGGGTCAACCACTTCATCTAAGTTCCAACAACAAACACTTATGCGTGTTGTACGGCAACTACAGCATCCTCCATCCAGACCTAGGACCACGTGGTGGACTGGACCTAAGAGAATCAAAGAACATATGCATCCCTAAACTCAAGCTAGTGCTTAGCAAAATAGGACTCGCAAGAAATAGACAATAGGGAAACTCAATCATCTGCTGCGTGGAGCAGTTCGGGTGAGATAGCGAAACCAATTACAGAAGATCTGGGGCAATGCCTTCGAGCACAGTGACAACTCTCTTATGATCTATCCCAGAAATATAACATGAACGTATGAATACAGACATTTAATGCACTTGTCTCTCAAAGATAAATGATATACATCAAAGCACGCTAGTCACAAATGTACATCAAATCAGAACAAAACATTGGCAGCCGGCTGAAAACCAAGACGACAATGATAGCAAATGAAACTACATACCGTACATTATTCTTAAAAGTTATCGACAAGGATGCACATGCTACGTGGAATGGGCTTACGAAATAGAATAGAATAAAGAAGGGGGTGAGAGATTTTCTTCCATTTAGAGACGAGAAACATCCGTTCCATTAGCCCAAGAGGTGTAGTGATGAAGAAGCCAGAAAATGTACTTGAAGGTAGTCAACACTGGAACTTCGACATACACTATGAATAAAACGACTGACACTGAAACTACACTAAAGACTTACTTGAAAAGCGCTTCTCTCCATGAAGGATCGAGACGGAAAACGAAGTCCAAATCTAAATCTTTCAGCGTTGTGTTCTCGTCGATTTCAACCTTGTCAGCTGATCGACCCTGGGAAGAGCCTTTCAAGTCAAACCGCCTATGAATCCGCAATTCGGTGCAAAACATGTTGCCCATCACAATGAAGCGTACCTGAAAATCAACCATCGAAGTTATCAGTAAAGATAATGTCGAAGGGGGACTTATAGGAAATATGTTAAGAATAGAGATTATAACTTTCAGTAGCAATTTGTACGGAAACGTGCAAAAGGGGAGAACCGCTTTGACCACTGACCGAGGGTAAGGCATCGCTGCGGGACTGCGCACCTGGGGACCGCCGCGACGCCTGACCAACATTGAAGCCCAGCAACTGGATAAATGAACTTTACTTTACAGTAAATCTGGTACAAACCCACCTACAGCAAACCTACGAAAAGAAGTATCTTCGCGCCCAAAGATGTTTTGATCTTTGGGAATTCACTCCGAGTGTGAAAGTGTGGAAAGTCAACTAAACATTACTCACAGAGGATATCTACTCTGCTGCTCAACACTGGCAGCATACTGGCTTCACGCTTCAACTCTTCCAGGGAGACTTTTGACCAGAAGTCTAGCTTTTCTTCTGGAAGTGAGGACAAAGGTGGATAACGCCTTGAGAGAAGATCAAGATACTTAACAGGGAACATAAGAACCGTCTGAACTAGACATTGTCACGATTTGATGTCTCTCTTTAAGTGTATATATACATGTATATATAAATTAATGTAGGAGAATTAAGATGAGGTTTTGCAGCACACCTTTTGACCGCCATAAGGCTTAACGCGATGAAGTCCAAAGAACTTTGTAATCAGCGTGTTCTCATAAGATCTCACATGTTCATGATAAGCTGGAAGCATCGCCAGAAGCACCTGAAGTACACTCACAGAACCACTGACCAGATATTAGATGAGAACCAACATGATGGACTAGTATTCAAAACTTGCTTTCAAAACGAGTGTGATCTGTTAAGAAAAGTCACATCTTTACTTTCTAGAATCCATCAGATATCTCAGATAGACTCGACAGATGACAATGTGTTAAAACTTCACTATTCACAACATTCCAGTAATAGCATAACGAGGATAACCCCGAAGGAGGCGACAGAGTGGTCACAGAGTAGAACGAGGAGGAAGTAAGGTGGAACGAAAGAGGGAGGCTAAAGAGGGGAGACTACTTGAAGATGAAAAGGGCGTCTCTTCAAGTAATCTTGTAATTATTAAGAAGACTGATCGAGGCTTCAAAATCTAAACCAACATATACTCAAAGCTCATCTCCTGTAATATTTGTTGGTGCCAAAGATCTGACTTAACAGCCTTCGGCTTTTAGTGTCTTTTGGATGCTACCAGTTGAGTGAGGTTGTGGTGTACCGTTCCTCAGGTTCTATCCAAGGAGCTGGTAGTGGCCAGAGTATGGATAGTACTTTGGTCCTCTATTTCAAACCTGTGCAAGTATGTAGATATCGGTTCCTTGCAAAATATACTTTTCCCCAGGCACGGAAACCCCTGAGACAAACACGAGTTCAGCAGATGACTTGAAATATACTGGAAACAGGTCAAAGCCTTAGTTCACTTCACCCTATTAGGCGTCCTTGAAAACCCATATAAAGCTTCCACGACCTAAATTCAAGAGGCTCTATCTCTTTCTGCCGCAGATCTAATCCCGACAATATTCTACTGAAATCCGTTACAATCTGCACCCGCATCAACCAAATCTGAGTAGGTCTTCGTTGAATTTTGCCATACTGCATCCCCTGATTCTCATGGATGAGATAGCATAAGATGCGACTATTTTCTTTACTTCACCGAGGCAATATCTTCATGGACTTTGAGAGGATCAATCAAAGCTTCGCTGTACCTCCTACCCCAGGATTTGTACCTGACAGTACGTCTGGGAAAAACGCTCTCCAAATCATTTCCTCTTGCTTACTACTTTCAAGAAACTCGGTAAATGGTGTCAAAGAGTCAAAACTGGGGCTACTTACTCCAACCATGGTCGTGTACGGCAAACTAGGACTAAAGGCTAAATTTCAGTACTGATATCGAAACAGCGGAGGAACTCCATGATCCCATCTGATCTATTCGGACACCATATCAAATGACTTCCTGTATGTACGGATCCCACAAACAATCATCTGAGATTACAATGTACAAAAATTGGTCTGCTGGCTATTGTGGTGACCCTTTTTTCTCAATGGAAGGGGAAAAAATATGTGATAGTCGGAAAAAAGGATTGACAACTGCTTTTAGCATGACCTAACATTCAATAGAGTGTTCGACCAAACCCGTCAACTCCACAACGGCACTGCTCGACTTACAAGAACCGCAATCATCTCACAAACGACAGATCAATGTACAGCATCCAGAAATTTATCACTTAAATCACCTTGACTTCCGCTTTTCTCATAGTTTTGATGTAGAAACGATCATCATGTGACAAATAAAATACACTGCCACTTTTTCCTGGAGATGAGAGCTCCCGCAATGCATCGTTTCCGCAGATTGAGAGCATATAATCTGCTGCATCAATCTTGAACAATTCTCGCAGTTGCCTGGGAAAAAGAAAACAGGCTGAACTCATGAGAACTATCCTGAACACTTTGTCATACCAAAACCTTGGATATTTGCTCTATCTAGAAGCATAACCGTAATTACGCTGTATAATAGCTCTTTGACTACAGCAACTCTGCGTGAACACTCAGGCGGAGGTAACGAGGATGAAAACCAACCTGAACACCATGGGGCAATAATCTTTCCACTTGAAATCACACGATTGATGAGGAGGTGTCAATGCTGTTCCGCATTTGGGAAATTTCACTCGAATGCTTGCTCTTGGTCCAAAATCAGCCGGACCGATTTCATGCTTCGGCTCGGGTGTAATCTTCCCCACTGTATATCTACTCAGTCGTCCGAGACAAAGAAACCAGACGTTAGAAAGCTGCAAGCTGCAAGAAAGGGATCCATACTCTTAATCTCTTCAGAAACGTAAACTGAATCATCCCCATATAAGGTGTTGCAATTAACTGTTCGGATATGTTGCCTGCTTCTATTCAGAAATATTCACCTGATTCCAAGTTGCAAGTTAAGCATAAGGTCATAGCTTCTGTGTCCCTTGTAGATAGTCTCTCCAGGTCTTTTGATCTCCCTAGTTGCACGGCGCTGACGCCTCCTAACATGTCTTGGAACTGGACCTCCAACTTCCTTGACAAGCTCACTCATAAGCACCCCTTGTACATACTCTCTTTCGACAATGGGAGGTTGTAAGGGAACCACACTCTCTAATGAATGGCGCCCAGTCTCCGCCCTTTCATCTCCTTCCAAAATGGGCTCCCCAGACCACGCTGGGTTACTCGTTTCCAAACCAAGGACACGCTCCAGGGCACCCTCTAAACTCCACCGCCTTTCCAGAGAGGGATTCCTCCTTATTGCAGGTTCAGCATGTTGTTTAGTGGTATCAGTGAGCTGTATTCTTTCGGAGGAGGATGACCGACTCGTTCTGCGAGAAGCAGCATACTGCTCATTGTCTGAAAACGATGATCGTCTTATCCGAACCATCTTCCGACTTGAAAACTGTTCTTCTAGAGCAGCTCCAATCTCCTCCCTGCTTGCTTGTGACAGACCATTCCTAACAGCTTCTGGACGGCGACTGCCAGCAGGGTAAAAAACTCCCTTTCCATCTTTCAAACCCCTACTCCAAGTACCGACATAGCAGCCTCCATCTCCCCAAGTATAGGTGCCATGACCATGCTCTAACCCATCGAGCCATTGCCCGTCGAATACATCTCCGCTGGCCCAAGTCAAGACGCCTCTACCAGACATTGTCCCATTCCTCCACTCTCCAATGTACTCATTGCCATTCCTCCAAACATACCTACCAGGTCCCTCCTGCACACCCTGCTTCCATGACCCTTCGTAAACATCCCCATTGGCATATCTCTTGCGTCCCAGGCCATGTTTCACATTCATACTCCAATTGCCTTTGTAGGTAGTGCCGTCAATCCCTGTGTAGGTCCCCACTCCATGCATGTAACCTCCTTGAAAGTCTCCTTCATAAGTTGCCCCTGATGGCCATGAGATCTTTCCTCTGCCCGTCTTCTTGCCCCTGCCCCATTCACCTTCATACATGCATCCATCAGACCACAGGTACTTTCCTGTTCCCTCTGGCAGGCTGCCCTGCCAGGATCCCACATAGAAGTCCCCGTTTGGCAGAACTTTTTCTCCGTTGAAATGCATGACGGACACCCCACCGTCGGAAGGCCCCTTGAAGTCTTCACCATCTCCGACATGGTTCAGCCTCTCATTATTGACAGTGGGTGCAACTTCCGCATGGGGTCCCGGATCTAGCAATCGATAGGATGAGGTACGAGGCAGCTCTTCCTCGTCGTCGACATGGGCCACAGGGCCAGACATGCAGAAAACCCCCGTTGGAGCCGTCTTTTCGGGAGCCACTGCACGCTTTCGTGTTTTCCACTGCAAATCGTCTATAAGAGAGCGTATTACATGCGCCGTATGTTGCAAGAGGACATCGCCTCCTTGGACCCTCTGTTTGGCTTTTAACTTCGCCACTGTGAACGATCACAGGATCAAGACATGGACAGATGCATGGATATGTAACAGCTAGTCCCAGTGGGATTTGGCTACTAGGAACAGCAGAACTTCGAGTTTGTACTGACTCAGCAATATGGAGCAATTACAGCTCCCAATGCATCCAGCCCTACAAATTCAAGATATAAAAATACGGCTACCCAATTAGCTGGAAGCAGGTTGGTATCAACCAATCTGCCCAGTCTTTTCTACAAAACTTAAGTGGCCGCAATACGCCAGCAAAGTCAAAAGAGTATCTACTTCCAGTTGGCCCCTCCCTACGTTCCCACACCGACTGTGCCGCCTGTTAGGTACCTACCAACAACTCCTGATATGCTGATAAGTCTACCGGACATTTAGACCAGAAATCACCTCGTGTGATCTCCATAACCATCTACTTGCCTAACACATGCGCTTTATAAGTTTCCAGATTCCTTGAGACCCCATATCCAACGTCCACTAAAAGAGAGTTTTGAGAGAGCTGTTGTCCACATTGTAAAGGGCTTGTGCGCTTAAGCATGTCGGTCACTTTCCCAAGCGCGTAGGAGAATATCAACAGCGCACCGTGCCTTTCCAGTAAGCAATTCTTGTCTTCGTAAACAACTCCATAATTCCTAAATAGTACAAGATACTTCTGACTAGGATCATTCCTTTCCTACAAGCCACCCAATCCGAGAACTTGGTGTTCAATTCAGCTCCACAACCGTCCAAGTACTGCGTTCATAATCTGTCCACCTTCCTGTTACCACTGCAACTAGTGTCAGGGATTATCCATCCCGGGAACCCCCATCCTCCAAGACAGCTATTTCTCGTATGTCAAGAAAATTGAATGCTTTATCCAATTAAACCAGTAAATTCTCTGAATTTCCACTTACAGGCAGCAACAAATCGATTTTACGGGACGAAATCGACATCAAGCACCCGCTCACCGCTGCTGACTCACTGACTGATAAAAACAAAACTGAGAAGCAAAGAGATCTATCTTACGTGTAAGCAAGTAAATTGAGCACGCTCCCAAATTCCTGCAATGGAAAAAACATCACTTCGCACATTTAGACCATAAACAGCAGGCTCACTGTCCTCATTCGTCCAAAAAGAGCTGAAAAGGGGACTGTATTTGAAGCTTGAGAATAACAAAGAGAAAGGAATTGTAGTATCCGGACGCATGACGCATCTGACAAGCGATGCAGTGGGGCTTAAGCCCGGCTGGAATATGCTTTCTCTCTGTCATTATATCTGTCCATGCCATCATTCACGCACATTACCTGGAACAGTCTCCCTCTAATGGTAAGACGATATACAATTGAAGCTGGCATGGTTAACAAAGTCCGTAGAACACAGTCTACTCTATCAAGAACGAAGGGATGCAAGGCCTTCGAAATCCGAGAGAGGCAATAATCAATGATGGTGCAAAAAGCAACTGCTCAGATTCATGATAGGCAAAGAACATGACTAGATAAAGCTTTTCACTATATCAGATAAATTTGAACCAACGCTTTCCACAACTCCACAACAGAAGTGAGAATCTCTCGGAGAGAGGAAAAGAAGAAGAAAGAGGAAAGAAAAGAAGAGGAAATCGAAGGAGTTTATAAAGCTGGATGCAACTCATCACCTAGCTAAATGTATGTAGCCATGTTAGAAAAGTAACCGCCCTCAAGAATAATTGGTGCAGAAAGCGATGCACATAACCTTGAAATGGTCTTTCGACCTATCGAAAGACTACAATATGATGGATAGGGTGGTTAAAGGACTAAGTCCCAGTTAGGATCTACATGTATAAGAAATGAATGATCTTATCAATTTGTACAACGATAAGGCATCGAGATATTCCCAGTTGCTGAAATTTACCTATACAGTAATTCTACCCGGCTGAAATGGATGAGAGTTCCTGCTCGAGCATCAACACCACTTCGGTCATGACTTGAGTGTTTCAGAGCACATGAAAGGAGCCTTGCTGCCAGCAATCCCGACCCAACCTGAACAGACTCAGCGTTTGGCCTCACACAAACTCTCAACCGAATAGATAACACATACGACAGGTAAAGAAGCTCTCAACAGAAGAGTGATCTATATCAAAATCTCTGTGCCGGCAGAAACAGTTCCCACCGATATGAAAGCTCCAGCCTCTCATTTTCCGACTACTGGAGAGAGTGAAGATAGTGTCCACTATCTCTTCTAGTCTGCAATTTCGAGTTCCTGAAAACCAGGCGTAAAGCCTATGAAGACGATCAAGATAGTGTGGATCCACCACAAGGTGACAAGAATAAATCTTGAGCAGACCAAAAGTGGCCACGGAGACGGGACCACCTCCGCGAAGTTAAGCAAATACCTAGGACATGATAAGCGCAACCTAAGAGACCCAATTGGCATCCAAGTCACTGATCCATCGCGGAGATGACTGAGTTATCTGAAATACGCACTCCGGCCTAGAAACGAACATCCGACAGGTTGGAGCCTGGAAAACACTAATGCACGTTTAGCTCCGAAGGAGCTAAACAGAACGCGTCGTAAGGCCTCCTCGACCTTCCAACACGCAAGTCCGATGCGCTTGACGATTTCGATGAGGTGCGAAGCCCCGCAGACCAAGGATGGAAAAGAACCAGTAGAGCACAATTTCAAAGCCGAAGGAACAGCTCACGCGCTGCGAGAAAGTCCTGATTAATGCGGAGGGAAGAACCAGGACGGATAGGAAAGGTGCATAGTCCTTACCTAACAAATTGGGACCGGCAGGCGAAATATGCCAGTTCGAGGCTCTTCCCTTGACCTGAAGTTTCTATCTCATTCCAACCTTCAACTCTCATCCTCGACATTCGTCTTCCCAACCCCAAATCCCATCTCAACCGCTCCTGGCCTTTCTTTGTATCCCTGCTCTTGACTCCGAGAACCAACCCCGTCCTTTGCTTCCTGCCTGTCCTCGATCCAGCACTCCAATTTCCTCCTCCCTTACACGATGAACGCCGGATTCGCAAATCCTTCTTCTCCTCTTCTTCTTGCTCCTCAATCGATCGGCCCGACCATCCCTCGCTTGCTATTTCCTTCCTCTTTCCTTCCTTCCTTCGTTACTCTCGCACTCTCTCTCTCGCTCTCTCGCTCGCGCTCTCCTGCTTCCTTCCTTCCTGTCTACCACGCTTCCCCTACCCCGGGCCCTCCCTCTCAAAAGCAAGAGAAACGATAACCAAGGCACAGCACACCGCTGCCAGCGATCACTCAATACTCACCCCTCTCCGTTCCCTGCCAGCCAGCAACACGCCAGCCTGCCCTGCCCCTCCTCCCCACCTTCCCTCCCCTCCCCTCCCCTCCCCTCCTCCGATCACTAGCACCACCACCACCGCGGTCCGGTCCGTTCACGCCTACTACAACAGAGCAGAGCTGCAGAGTGCACAGGCCCCGCAACAACTAGTTCCTAAAAAATGATCATCATCACGTCGCGCACCATGGAATCAAGTCTCTCGCTTCCTTCCGTGCTCTCTCCCCTCTCGTCCTCTTCCCTCCCTCGGTCGCTCTCGAGCCAGAGGCTGAAAAGGGGAGCACGGCACGAGTGCGCAAAGAACAGGCCCTTGTTTCGCCCAGCTACACCGCAGCAGCTCACCGCACCGGAGCAGATCCATCCTCCGAGCCTGGCCCAACTTGACCCGACCCGACCTGACCTGACCTGACCCGAGCCAGACCAAGACCACGACCATGACGGACAGTGCAGTAGAATTGTGGTAGCCACTTTCCAGTTCTGTCGATTAGCTTAATTAGGGCTCGAGTGGTCATCACGATCGGTAAGTAAGCAAGTAGTGCCGCGGGGTTCGTGATACATCGGTTGCGGGCTCGGTGGTTTCTCTGCCTTCGTAGGCCGGCAATCTGTCCTTACGCCCTAACACTGACACTTAACCCCCATCCTAACGAACTCTGCATTTGTCTTTTTTTGATTATGTTTTCTATAACCCTTCTCGCATTCCTCCTTTTCGCATGCCGGCCCCGAATTTTCCTCGTCCGTACCGGCGACGTGTGTTTTCGCGGTGACCGAGTTTCGCCCGCCATCCATCGCCTCGTCTGCATCTGGACCGCGTTCGGCCTTCGCCGGTCTAATTCTGTGCGTCGGCCTGGCAGCGAAAGTATTTAAATATTCGACGGGTTGATATTGGCATCCTCCGGTCGAATGTGGTTCATGTCAGATCAGTTTAACAACCTCGGTTGGAGTTCTCATACCTCTTGGATCTTACGAATAGGATCGCGAATCCAATGAGAAGTTTTCGAGATTCAGGTGGGTTGATTTATTACGTTTCTCGCACTGGTTGCGAGTGAAACAGATGTGTCAACTTCAACCGAGCAGAACCACCACGTGATGGAGACAAATAAAACAAGAAGACCCCATAAACTCTTGCATGGATGTAAGGTATGGCTAGCCACGATATTTATCACATCAGAGATATTTATTGCTGCAACTAAGATATCTGAACGCAACTCGGTCTCCATACTACAAGAATTGCTTCGTAGCAGGCCGAGGCGAAGTGGATAATCAATAAAGATGAAAAGACCACATACGTATTACTGACAACTAGGTTCAAAAATCACAATGCGTCCAATTTCAGATTGTTTTAATTGAAATCTTAGCTTGTTCCATACGATAATCTCTTTGACGTACATATGATATGCCTTGCTACCTCCTGTGCAGATTCTTGAGTAGTCTTTCACTGACACGTTGTAATGAATTTCATCAATTCATTAATTTTATATATGAAAACAAATTCTTATGTAGTATGTGAAAATAAATTTATAAATATAAATATTGATTGTGATTTTCTTATTTGAAATAATGTAGCATCAGCAAGCAATTAAAAAAATCTGAATGGTATGGATCAGTTTGAACATTACACCTAAGAAATGCTACCGAGATCAAGAATGTTGAATTATGTTGATATTTCAACATATATCATTATGATTCTACTTGACTTAAATAGCGGTGATGACAATTCAATAGTAACTCAAATAATCACAGTAAGTAAAATATAATAAGCTGTAGTAAAATATAAAATTTACCCACAACTTATTCAAAAATCATTCACTCTACAACGATTGCTCATAAAGTAGTTACGTAATAAATCAAATGTAGCATTAATATATGTTTAGATTTTTTTGTATGGAATTGATTATCCAATCCTCTGATCAAAGAATTATAGATTAATTTCAGATTTCTAACTAATTTTTTTATGGTATAAAATATCATATCAAATATTTCATGCTATTATATGAAATAATTATTCATATGTTTGAAAATTGCAATTGAATTAGTTATTTTAATAATTAATATTAAGTATATAAAAATCTATAATAAATAATATTAATTCTTACATATCTAAACATATGTTTTTACACAGTTAAAAATTCATTCAAATCTTTCAACTCAAACTAGTCAATTATATTTATAAAAAAATTAGGTGATGTTGGTACTTCTTCTCTAATTTTTTCATGCATTGTAGTATAAAAATATTTTGAAAATCATAATATATCAACTCAAAAAGATTTGATGTTTTATATCTAGTTTTTTCCCTTATCTATTTTATATTAAATTGTTACATTATATAAAAACAATCATAAGGCTTACAATATCACTTGAATTGATTGCTCAAGATCTTAGTAATTTCGATCTTCATAATATATACTTGATATATCATAATTTTCACCGACGAAATTATGGAGACCAACACCTTGTTTTATTTCAATGGGATTGCTATCCATGTCCCACGTAAGAGAACCATCACGTTGGAATGTAGAATATAAGATGATCTTGTTATGCAAAAACGTCTCTATTGATAGTTCTTAGTTGATTTGTAATATTTCTCACGGTGATACTATAGAGTCAAATATCATGTTTCCTACATTCATGGTTATTCATTAAATTGAAACTGTAGCTAACCAGCTATGTTGAGAGAATGGCGTTGATAAAGATATAGTGTGGACATCAAACCAATTAGATCATTGTATTAACGTGGGCATGCAATGCACTGGTTTTAAACGCCGTATCAGAAGCGTGGACCGCGGACTGACTGAGTCAGCTAACCCGAGGGCGGTTAGCAGCATCAAGAACATAAACCGACACGCGTGCTCCTCCCTTCACATCTGTACACACGTCGTTGTTGGCAGCGGGGCTCCTACGTACCTACGTTAGGATTTAGGACATACAATTGAACACGTGTCCGGCTCCTCAACAGTGCCTCGTACAGGTAGGCTCAGCTAGGAGCGTAGGCATGAGGCGTTCTGATCATTTGGGCCCGAAGTAAATTTGTTTCGTGACTCCAGAAGTGGGACGACTGGTGTCGTCATTCACGAGCCAGTCCTCGCGCGAGCTACGCCTGTGCGGTGGCATAGGCGGACCTGAGCTACTTGCCATTGGCTCAATATGCCTCACGTCCCCGGTCGGGTCTGCGACGACGCCGAAGGAACTCTTGCGAGACCTTGTGCTTACTCTGATCAGCACATTAAGATGCTTACTTTTCCCCTTTGTCTACGTCATGACAGTAGACACTACATGTGATCAAGATCCGGCGCCATAAGCACGTTCATATACCGAGTATCTATATTGTCGCGTGGTTTTCCAGAATCATAGGATATTCGTATGGCATTCCTCGACCTCTTGCGTGCTCGACAATGCTCTTATAACGGGAACCTCCTATATTTGCATGACGTGAAACTTGAGCTTCTGTTGGCCACGATATTTATGTCCGTCTGTGGTATGTTTTCCTCCAATTCGAAAATAAGCTGGGTGTCCATCTTATAATATAAATTTCTTATGTTAAAGAAGGTCATTGGTTGAAGATGTGAGAATTTGGAAGATTCTTGTGTGACGAGAGAGAAACCTCCTAAAGCCAGCGAGCCGCAGCATACCGACCAGTTAAATCACTTGGCACAGCCAGAAGAAAAACTCGACGATCGAGACCAGTATGTAGTTGCAAAGTGTCTCAACAGTGTGATAATAAGATATCTTTGAGTTTAATAAGATATCTCTGGGTCGGTGGCAGCACACTGATAGCGATCTCACATATAACATGTCGCAGTTCCTTTTAATCGGAGAAATTTTAATACTTGTGCGGCAGGTCGATTATTTGAATGCTACGAGCATTTTGCTTGCTTTGTCTTTTGATATGTATAAATTTACTCGGTTGTGATTGATAACCAAACTCCTGATCATGAACATTAGTAAGGAAAATTTGCCAGTTTCAACCAAAAAGTAGCTGCATGATATTAGTGACAAGTATTATGATCTACATGTGCAAGCCTTGACGTTTTTTTGGCTGCTGTACTTTGGATGCCAAATTGTCAAATGTGAGGTCAGCTAGAGTGAAGACAATGCCGGGACAATGAAGAAGAAGCAATAATGGAACAATCCATGGAGGATTTCCGAGGATAAGAGGCGTTTGTCTTCGTAGGCAATCAGTGGGGCGGCTTGAAAGTGCGAAGGGGAAGAGAGAGAAAAGGCACGCACTAACTCGTGAAAGAATTAAGAGCGGTCTTATCATGATAAACTAAGTCCTTACACGACCGCCAGATATAACGGAAATGGAATCTGTTGTCAATCTGGTGTGTGCTGGAGGTTGAAATACTCCAACAATCTGCACCAAAGAGTTTGAGATTCTAAGCTCTTATAAATGGGGAAAAGAAAAAGAAAATCAAAATAAATTGGAGGAAAAATCTTCGAGTTCTTGTAACAGTAAGAGATATGAATTCAGATTCAACCAAACGACGAACGTCAATAGAGTTGGTGAGAGTCAATGGATCCAAAAAAAAATCTCCTTCACATGGGAGGATTTGCCACCGGTTCGACATCTGTAGTTACTGTCCCTCGTCAAGCGGATTCTCGACAACAATTGTGTTTTTTCTTATTATATACTGGTAGGCCATACCGAACACATCTACGATAGGAGATGGACCGGAAAGTGAACCGACGTCAAACTAATGCTCGCTCATTCTAAGTATCAGCTATGTTTAGCCCGTACAGGAATTCCATTGAGAAATGTGGAGATGAGCGTGATCTTGGATCTAGCTCGCTTTCTTAAAATGTTCATGGAGTTTGGCTTCAGCTCTCTTCTGTTGTTAACAGGTCTCGACGGCCATGCACTTTGGGAATACCATCAGGTCAAGGGGTCATTGATGAATCGAATGGTGATTTCACCCATGGACCAGCCCAATGATGAGCTTGCTGGTGTAGAACCAGTCTTCCTTCCATTCTTCGTCCCAGTCGTCCGCTGAACTCATTCGCATCGTTGAAATCATGCAGGCATCTGTTCAAATTGGCACGCTCAGTGCCTCAAACTTTTGTCCGGCCGTCAAACGGGGCCATGGACTCTAAAAATAGCGCGATGCGAGAGTTTATTCCTCTCGGTCTATTAAAACACTCGCTGTGATTGACGTCGATTTCTTGCAGTAAATGCGTGGACATTGAGGTCGGGAGTTTTGTGCACCTATTTCAAACTTTTTGTTGTTTCTAATCACATCGAAACGGGCTTCCAAGCAGGCGGGATGTCTGTCTTCTTCGCCATGAGCAATGGACAGTGCCCTCTTGACTCCGGACAATCAGTACGACTTGACCACCCCTCTCCTCCTACTTCGAACCCAGCGCCTAGAGGCTCAAATCGTCTTGCGCCAGGCTACCACGGTCATGGCTGGAATTTACGCCCGTAGCTGGGATAAAAAAAGCAATGGCGGAGTTACAAGGACTCTTGTTTTTTTGTCCAAATTCCAACGCTCGTACGACGATCATTCAACCACTACAGGAGGTGATTTGTCTTCAGGGAATCATGTGAACATGGATCGCACCTCGCTACGGAGCTCTGATTATTGAGATCATAACCGACCTGACTAAAGTGGAGCCAAATCGTAAGTGGTTTCGTTGAGCCGTATGGATTCCACAACCGACGGAAGGCGTTTCCGTCTCGAACGGGGACACGCCCGCTGCAGGCGCTCGAGGTGCATCCACTCGGTACGTGGTGCTGAAGTGGACGGTGAATGTCGGATTTGAAAATTGCAGAGCTAAAGTTAGAGGCAGCAACACACCCGAAAAAGCATCGAGATCGCCAGCGAGCGAGCGAGCCAGCGAGCCAGTCAGTCAGTCAGCCCGCCAGCCAGGCCCTTTCCCGGCTCTAGGATGGCCACTTTTTAGAGTCTAAGCTAGTTCTTGATTGGATTCTCGATAGTACTTGCAGGCCCACCAATCTGGCTCTGCACGCGATGTCACAGACACTGTCTTCTTTGTTTTTAAGCTCCGGGAAACTGCTCTCGGACTCTCGGTCGGGGAGACGCGGGAAACTGTCACCTCCTTTCAAGTTCTTGCGAAACCCGGAAGGCCGAAAGACCGATGTGCGAATCTCGCAGATCGACGATCGTGACGAGGCTCGAGACGCTGCTTTCCGTTCGCCTTTACCTCGGCGGAATCAGCAGCCGGCGACTGATTTGCTTGCCACTGTTTCTGCTCGATTTGTGGATGTCAAGCCGCGAGCCGGAGTCGATTTCTTTTGGAGATACGTGGTAATGAGACTGGCACTCCAGAGGGCGTCAGAACACGGGACAAGATAGGAAACCTCGTTGGGGCTGACGTCGCGTCAGGTCACAGTGCTATGAACGAAGATGCCGTTTATGATTGAGAACGACACCGCATCCCCATCTTTGGACAGCACTAAAAAGCTCTCATCGACCTTTAGGTGAAAGCCACCCCCTTGTGTCCGCCCTACTCTCGATTAAATCTCAAATGAGGAACACCAGCTCGGCCGAGCGTTCTCATGTAAGAGACACCGAGACGAAAGCGAGCACTAAGTGTCAAGATGCCGATTACGCTTGACAGAAGAAGCTATCCTTCTGGGCTTCAACGAAAAGGTTCGAGCAAACCTGGTGAGGTGGAGGCCGGAGTAATGGCTTGTCTTCCAATTCAATCCGGGTTAAATTCCCCACCCCTGGTGATAGTTTGTACTAGCGTCTGTCCAGAAACCAGGTGAACGTGATGCCGTCAGATCGTCAGCTGGAGGTTGCCGCAGGTCTCTTGGAGAGGCGATAAGCATTGCAGTATGTCCCGACAAGTTGAAGAATGACATATTCTAAGCTAGATCGCGTTTGTTGTACCAAAAAGTTTGCACGAGAGAATGCATTCCAGCTGCACAGTCATGTCTTACATGGCAGCCGAGATTTGGTTCATGGATCGAAGTGAAGCATAAATGTCGTTGCTACTCCGTACTTCTTGGGCCTTCCTTCCAACAGGCCCTGGACGCACGACCTTGAATCGTGTGCGACGGGCACCTACCGAGTGAACTGAGTCGAAGGCTCTTCCTGATACTTTTTATGGACAGTGGTGTATAATACCTGTCCTGAATATGCTTTCCCTGGATTTCTGGCCTTGGGATTGTTGAACAGGTCCTGGACTATCAAGTTGAAGGATTCTTCACCCATAACCTCATCTCTGGAGTTTGTGAACAGACTAAGCCTGACAAAAGAATCAGTAATGTACGGCCCAGTATCAGAAAGTTGGAACATTGACAGAAGCACCACGGTAGCACTCTGCCGATAGAGTAACTTTCAGTCGGCAGTATGATCCTCTAGATAAGACGTCAGTGTCAAGAATCCTCAAATCCTCCAATCTGCTGCTGCCTCAAGTCAGAAGTGTGCTCGTGTACACTGACGTATTTTCTTTGTAGATCACAGAACAGTCTAGAATAGCACAAATTGTTTTTGTTTTGTGCTAGTTTCGACTTTCTGCTTCTCGACGTGGATTTGACACCTTCATTGAAGGAAAATTGAAAGAAACCAAACCATAAAATGGATGGAAGACCTGCATTGCTTCAGAGAGCAAACGAAAGCCAGAAACCAACGAGGCAGACTGTTGAACGATGCGCAAGTCGATCGAAATTGTTTGCACTAAGAGTAAGCCCACATAACAAGTTTGTCTCAGCGGCAGTATTCAGGACTCTAAGAGACGTATCAACGCATAGTTGCAAACTAAGGCAAGTTTCAAGATCACAGAGTACCGACCGGAAGTAAACTGTGACTACGAAGCGACAGAGCTGTCAGCTTATATACCACAAATTAGGAAGTGTTAGAAAAAGCATTGCTATCAGAAGTCAGTTACTTCACGAACACAAGAGAGGATCTTGTGCTTTGGTAGCTTCAACAACCTCATTCAAAGATCTCTACAACTGCTACGGAGTGGTCACAAGAATTGGTTGACAGAAATGTAGCACCCTTCAGAAAATGAACGAGCACAGTGATCAAATGCGATTATCAAATGCGATTGGCTCGACCTGTCTGTAACACAGTCCTGCAACAGTAGAAAATCTAAAGCCCTCCAATTTCGGTCCTCGTCGTTGCAAATACAGACGTAAGAATGATCTATAGCACTACTTGGAGAGCAGAAGTCTTTTATGAGTTGGGGATTCGTTCAGAGACATGAACATGTAGCCCTGTATCAGCAATCTATGAGAAACTGATAAAAGTCACAACAAACTGACAACTCGTGCTTTGGAATTCAAGTTCAAGTGGTACATCAGAGGCAACATCTACGTGGAAGAACATGCCACAAGTGTCAGCCAGACATGAATATTAAACCAAGGGAGGCAAATTATCCAAGTTAAACCTTGTTTTACTCTTGAGAAGTTTCGTCCCCAACAACATATGTATGGACCACATGGACACTTCTGAACTATCTGTCGCTATACGTCGCTACTCCAAACTTGTCCTGATTCAAAAGCACGAACTAACTTTGAACTGGCTACAGCTGCAAGCCTCTCGAATTGTGAAGTTGTCACGATCTAATTCTAGATATAGTCTAGTGATTAAGGTGCATAGAAGACCGAGAAACGATCAGTTGTTTTATATGACAGCATACTTCTGATTATTTAGCCGAATCAAGTCGCGATCGAATGGATTTGGCATATATACTCGAACACTATCTGTCAGTTTGCTACAACGAGCCGGTTGTAATGGCATTTCACACCTACGTCTTCTGCTACGAGTAAAAGCGCACAACTTTCAGCTTTTTCTAACCCGGGAAGGGTCTGAATGTGTAACTCACTAGGTGAAGAGAAGGGATGGATCCTGATAAATAGCCATCGCTTCTCGACGCGCAGACACACCATGTCTGATCAAGCACCAGTGGCTCTCCAGCTCCAAGGCCGAATCGCCAGGAGGTAAGCCTTGTGAATCCTTAAACTTACTTTGAGGGAGGATAAGGAGATCTAGAGAATTATGGGTGCAAGGTGTACGGACACATCTTGTACAAGCTGCGGAATCCATCTTGCTCCGTGAAGTGTATCATATGTAGGAGATAACAGGATCCTTGAACGAGAGATCGACGAGCTTTGGTCGAGTATCCTTACTCGGCTAAACGCTATGTAGCGTGCAATTTCATGCACTAGAAGTTTGAACATCTGCTCTGGCAGAGTCTCTACGTCGTCAGGCTGAGTCCGGAGGGCACAGTGGAATTGAAAGGGGTGAAGGAACATGATGGGAAGAATTGCTTGGATGAGCTATTGGAAATTCCCAGACTGCCTGTGACGAGAGGTTCGACGGGGAGGTTATCGCAATTGCAGACTTCGATCATGAAGCCGTCGGGATCATGAAAGAAGAGCTGATCTACGAAACAGCCCGCCTCCTGCACCTGGCGTCGGATGTACTTGATCCCGCTTTCCTGGAGCTTCTGCTCCACTACGTTTATGTCCTCCGCGCACTGGAACGAGAGATGATCGGCCCTGGGGTCAATTTCTCCATGACAGGATCGTTTACTTCCAGAGGCCTGCAGAAGGTGAATGCCAATGCCGTAATTGAAGAGCCACACGCCGTCGAAATCGAAGGATCCGGGCCTCTTGATCTGCACAAAGCCTAGCAAGCATTCGTAGAATTTCGATGCTTCTTGCAAGTTCGAGCAATTGCGCGAGATGTGGTTCACGCAAGAGATGGGAAGCGCCATATTTGGCTTCCGGAAGTCGGTTGATAGATCAGCGATCGCTCTCTTCTACCGCCGACTCCAGCATGAACGCAGCACCTCGTCACGCAATTTAACTTAAACCTTGCACTCAAACGCTTTGAATACTAGACCACCATCGCACCCATTGCTATATACTGGAATTCCCCCGACGGGTCAGCTATAAGGAAACATTCCGGAGCAGGATTAGCGCTGCATCAACGTCTTCGAAGCTCAGAGCGAGCTGAGTCAGCAGCGAATTGCATCTCAGACGCTCCATGTGACGGTACTGCGCATGGTTGGATCCAGACAGTTCCGATGTGTTGCCGGTGTGCTGCGCATGGGCGCTAGTTAAGATTCTGCCATCCGGACAGGGCCAGTGCTATGCGCACCTACCCACCCTGCGTCTTTTTATACACGAGCCGGGGCGCCAGGCTACCGGCAACTATAAAATGCACGTTTGCGAGTTCCCCACCGCGACTCTTCCGAATTTAGACCCTGAGGCTGATCCAGCCAGCAAACGCGACTTCGACTGACACTGCGGCTTCGACTGCTGCTCGAATGTGCCTGTAATGGTGAAGGCCTAGTGGACTTCTAACTCGGCTCGGCTCACCCACACCAGGTACCCGCTTTCACCTCTGAGAGCCGTGCGGTTGATGGATGACTCGTTCGGCATCGCAGGGATTAGGAGGCTGATTTTCCAGTTAGAGGCCGGAGTTTGGGGATGGAATTCAGCCCAGGTTTGAGCCCACGCTGAGGCCTTCCGCGATGATCCTGGCGCGTCCTTTACCTTTCGGTAAAACTGAACAAGGCAATCGATTCTAGCGATTCTAGCGATTCTTGGCGATTCGAGCAGTTGGTTCGAGCCGGCCCCCCGCCACTGCAATTTTCACAGAGAACCAACCGCCTTTCAAGGATCGGAGGAGGCCAGCAATATCACGGTCGGAGAAAACTTGGCACTCGTCACTTAAAGGATGGGACATTCGACAGCTGCACGTCTAGTTGTTTATGATAGATACAGTATCCAGAACGGATGAGGTCAGTCGCGGGATAGGAATTGAAGCGCGACGTGAAGACGTCGGTCAAAGGCAGTTCTTCAGACTCTGTGCCCACGGAACGAACGAACCTTCATTACGTAATAATGCGGACGTAATGAAGCTGGGGCTGGGTTCTCCAGATGTGGTGCCGGTAGTGATTCTAGGCGTGCGTCGTTTAGCGAAGGATTTCCTCCTTCAGTGTACGAGCCTTCAGGGCGCCGCTTAATTTAGAAAAACGTCAGAATCATAACCCGAGCCGTGGCTCTTCGACAATCCGGTCTTGGATGAAAGTCAAAGATTCAGCGGTTCCCAAACGGACCCAATTTTCAAGTCGGTCGTTAAGCATGCTTCCAGAGTCAGAAACGACATTCATATGGTCCCGGACTCTTTGCCTTCGCGATGAAGAAGATGGTGTAGAGATTGGAACACTAACTGTAAGACCTTATTCTCCCGCAGAAGGTCCTGCTCCTGCGGGAAGGGAGCAGGTGATAGACATTTCCTTAAGCAACTGGGCAAGAACCATAGTAAACAGTCCCTGAAAAGATTAGATTATGCCCATTGAAAGTTCCTCCTCCGGCTACGCTTAAACAATTTCAGATTCACCAACTCTTCCTTCGCGGATAGCTATTGGCAGGCACAAGCTTCCTGGAAACATTCAGATTTAATATCTCTGTGAAGTATTCATCAAACTTGCTGAGTCAAGAAGCTCTGTTTCCAGCTCACTTTGGATAATACTCCACAAGTGAGTCATATGTTGACTTGCGAGAGCAAAATACTGCGGACTTACGATATCCTGAACATTTCTCTCCACAACTTCACCTGTCCCAGTATTTCGTAGGTCTTAGAGCGAACCCATAATCATTTAGCTTTTGTTAGCTCTCAGTGGTTGAGTCTATCCTGTATAGCTTGTTTCGAGCTCGAGTTCCAAAAAATGAAACGTGTAGGTGACAGCAGTTATGTCACTAGTTCATACTGATTCATGTCTACCCGCTTACTTATAAAAATCATATGTGATGCATACGCAGATCGTATACCACAGAAAGTTGTCAGTGATTTCCTCACGCTACTTCAATCCAGGCTCACCTTACGTTGATCTACATCATATCAGCCTCCTCCTCCTCCATTTATACGCACACTAAGACATCACTTTGCTTAACTTGGTCGCAACAGCACATACGCTGGTTTCGTAACGACTAGGGTTAATGAGGAGTATTAGACAAGATACTATAACACTTCAGTTGAAGAGTTGAAATTTTTTCACTGAAATGCACAACTGGCGGTCATCCCCTCGAAGGACCCACATTATGGTTGCTGCACTTTTCGTAATGTTTGTACCGTTTTTCATTTGAATTTTCCGAGACCATCATTTAAAAAAACAACATCACATTCGAAAGTGAAATTTCCAGTACACCTGATCTTCTAATTACCCACCACGATGTCATTTTCTGCTTTAATGTTTTGGGGACAGGAATATATGTAGTACCACCGTCCACATTCAGGTTATAGTTACTTCACACCAACTATGTAATCGAGCCAGTCACATGTGAGATGAAACTAAACAATTTCTCGTTCTTCGTCATTTCCCCGTTGCCAAACGCCGTACTCGTGCCTAACACGGAGGAGGAATAGCTTAAGATACATAATAAACTATTCAATATTTCGAAAATGGTTGCTAGATATTAGTGGCCATCCGTGCAGCTTTTGCAACAAAAAAGTTCCCTTGCCCTGCTCTCTACCTACAAGAGCCTGCCTGCACATGTAATAGCCCCTAACAAATCTCCATTTCACCACCGACACAAGAGTCGGTCTAGATACTGTTGACATGGGTCCAGATCGATGAGTGCCATGCTGTCTTCTCACTCCAGGACGTGGTCGTTACTTTTCTCCTGGTCCCAGCCATCTTCCCTAAGCAGTTGGAATCGGAGCATGTGTTTTGCCTTGTGCTTGTGGCCGAGGACAACGCACTTGGGAGAGTTTTTAAGCCTTCTAGTGGCTTTTATTCTTCAATCATTTATGGATGTCACAATACCTACCTGTATCTCCGGTCTATCTACATACAGTGCTAGGAGTTTATCCACCTTCTCAAGAGGTCCTAGTACCAAATTCCGTACGCAATTTCTCACCCCTTGGGTCAGGGTTGCTCACACACTGCAGAACATCACTGGTCAATCAAGTCTCACTTTAATTTCAGCTGTGGTTTATTCTTCTTAAAGTTCTTCGTTGTACATCGCTAGACTTCATGGCTCCGTGTCGCTAGTGGTGAGACCTTTGGTGTTTTCGGAACTAAACACAACAGTTTGAGCTAAGCACCTGCTTTGAATATAAGAACGTGGAATTGTGTCTACATGCTAGAATCTATGTTGAATTTGTCATTTTTCCTTCTACAGGTGTTAGTCAAAATTATATTTTTTTCCATAATATTCGACTTGACGCATCGTGACAAGTTCATAACCACGGCACCATCCATGCAAACCCCCCAAGCTAAGGGTCTACGTAATCTGACGTGGAACTAATTCTAGACGCAAGCAAGAATAAAGTAACGTTCCTCAAAGGCCACTTATCTGTGAAGTCTCCTTGGCTGATGGCATACGTATTGTACACCTTCTACAACATATTGTGTATGTTATATCAGTACTTATCATGTACATAACTTGTATCTTCTTATGTCGTTTTACTAAGTGAATTAGAAGTGTCATATTGGTTGTGAGCAATTAAAATACATATAACATTCTTCACCTTCATGTGAGATGTAATTTTATCTCCACCCTTTACAACATAGAAAGACAGTTAAATATATTCTTCGTTCAACTTCACATTAACTTTCATAGCAAATTTATTTGGGGGAATATCTGTTCCATTAAAATTCTTAAAGATTTATACAATGTAATGCCAGATTAAAATATTGTTAAAAAATCTAATATGTAATCCCAGTTGAATCATTATCATCATATTTTACCTAGAACTCAAAATATTCATACATCCAACTTTCACTTCTGAAAATTATTATTGATAGAAATCACTGATAATTTATATAAATTTATTGTACTATATTTATGAAGTTTGGTTCATTTTTCCAACTTATAATACATAGTATTTCATATTCAATATATGAATTTTAGAATAAAAAAATCGTGATCTAATATCACTTTTTATCAAATCTAATTTATCATATTTTTTGCTAAAATTATCAAAAGTATATAAAAGAAAATAATTTTTAATTTCACTCTCATCACATAATATTGTCAATACATATCTAACTAGATCTGCAAACAAGATTTATAGTTATTTATTCAAATCTTCAAATTTTGACTTTAGTTTTCTTTAAACGTTTTTATAAATACTCAAAATAGCTCAAAATTTTTAACAAATTGATCAAATATCTCCATTTTTTACATTATTGAGAAATATGCGCAGTATATAGAATATAATTTTATTTTAAAATCTATATACAAGATGAAAAATTATCATTACTCTTTATATTGATACTAAGGCTTAATATATGATATAAATATATAAATTTGGAAATTTTGGTTTAACATAATGATTAAAAAACATTTCTAATCAAAATTTTATTCATTTATTGATTATATATAAAAATTTCAGTATCTTATTATCCTATTGATATATACATCAATATCAAAAAATTAAAATAAAACATACATGAAATATCAAGAACAAAAAATAATGATCTGATGTAAGGTAAATTGGTTTATCTATTGGTTCAAATAATTTTGATCATTTTTTTCACTAGGAGTTTTTTTGTCATTAAGAATTATCCATTGTGAATCAAAGATACTGTTTTACACACATATGTATTTTTTGATGTTATATCTATTTAAAAAAAAATGTAGCCAAAACTAACACTATATGAATAAGAATATGATCATATGTCATGATCAATGATAGTTGTACAATGTGAATTCAAAATTTTATAATAATTTAGTAAGATATAGTTTAGATTATGAAAAAGATTACTTAAAAGATTTAAATTGGATTTGTATGAAAAAATTTTTAATTGGAAAATTATTCAAAAAGATTGAAAAACATTTTTTATAGTACGTTTTGTTAATATTTAAATTTAGAACTATAGATTAAATTCTTAGATTCATTTTTTTCACATTCAATAAAATTTTCTTTCCACAATAACATGTGGATAGTTCTCTTTTGCATTTGAAATTGAAAATTTATAAAATCTTTAAAAAATACTCATATCTTATTTAGTATATTTTTATCAAATTCATCTTTTGAATCACAGAATTTTATTTATGTAACATTAGGAATTAAAATATTAGTTCATTCCAATATGAAACACAAATTTGAAAGATGAAAGATATCTAAATATCTAAAATATCTGAAAGATTTATTCGCTGGTTTTTTTTCTTCGTCCTTTAATTCCACGATGTGGTTGATAAGGATGCAGTGCATTTCACATTTAGCTCAAATTTTAACAAAACTCTTAATTCCATATGTCATGTTACAAATCAAACGAGTAATCATTGACAATGGAAATCATTAGTTTCAAGATCTGTTTGATTACAGGAGTTGTGAAGTGCCCGATTGGTGTCGCAACTAAGTGTGACATTGAATCTCGAGCTTTCGCTTTAAGTGTATTCATCACCATGCATTAATGTGGACATAAAATTCCTCTCAAAACCTAGCTCATGACGACTTACTGCGGTTCGTCTCTTGATCTAGAGAGAGCTGAAGTGCCTGTCATCCAAGAATGCAACATGATGAACAATTCTTCGCCATTTGACAAACAATGTGTTTGATCAATGTGCATTGCACTTCGAATTAGCTCAGGATTTCACAAAAATCTTAATTCCATATGCATTGTCATAAATCAGACGTGTAATCATTGACAAAGGAAGTCATTTGTTTCAAGATCTGTTCGTTTACAGGAGTTCTATAATGGTTGATTGGTGTCGCAGCTGAGTGTGATATCGAGTACTGAGCTTATAATTCCAATGTATTCATCATCTGTGCATTAATGTGAACATGAAATCCCTCCCAAAATCTGGCCCATGAAGACTTACTACGGTTCGTCTCCTATACTAGAGAGAGCTGAAATGTTTATCATCCAAAAATGCAACATGATGAACAATTCACCGGTTACCGTCACCAAAAATTTCATCTCCCGGCACGAGCAAATCTTTTCAGGTTTAGGTGATTTTTTGTCAGCACAAACTGTTCAGTTCACATAAGAGTTTCAGATGCTTCTACTAGAATCTTCAACTCCTTGTCGGCAACTTAAAAACTTGATCACGAACTCTGAGATCGAGATTGTGAAACTCAGTATCAAAAGAAAAAAGTGCAAAAAAAAGACTTCTTGAGAAAAAATACAAACTCCCAAAAGTGTCTGTCTATGCTTTACTCCATGTAGTTTGTTTATTTTTTGAAGGGTAAATATGTTCTAACATGTCTTCTTCTTTTCATGCAGATACTTTGAGTTGCAGCATGGCCGATCTTACTATCGGTGCGAATTCAATCCCATACTAGTCTCCAAATACACATGAAGAATCTATCGCTCTCTCTGGTTGGACAACGACAACCTGCAGTGATGGTAAGAAAAAGACAAAATCCTTTACAAGTTGGGTTTGGAATGAGCTCTAATTGGTGAAAGATTCTAATAAATTTCTTATCATTTTCCTTGAGCCCATAGAATCTGAGAACAATAGATGCACTACCTCATTTTTTGTCAAAACTGTAACAAGCTCGTTGTCTCGTCATCTTCTTGTGAAACACAATATCTCAAAAAGTAAAAAATCATACCATCATCTAAAGATTTTTTTCAGTGTAAATGATGAATCGCAAGATCCCCTATGAATTTCACAACGAGTCCAAAGAAGCCAATTTAAATGTCTTGATTTCATTTGTGGTGTATCATCAACAAACATTCAACCTAATCGGGAACAAAACATTTCGATCATCTTGCCAACGTCTCAATCCCCATTACTCACTACCATCGCGACAAACTCTAACAGGCTGATTATCCGATCATTTTGAACGAGCACTACTACAATTTTGTTCAACTATAGATTCTATCAATGGAGCAATTGCTCTCACTCTGGATTATTGGTCGTCTCGCGTGATGCGTGGCTATATGATGATTCCGTTGTGCTAGAATTTTGCTATTTTTCATCTCTACACAATCAACACACTTCGTCGTACTTGATTCTTTCAATGATGAAAGATTTCAACATGTGATAGAAGATCAAAGCCGTTACATCCGATAGCGGCGGAAAGATGATATCGACCATGATCATTGTGAGATAGAATCTGAATGATCAATACTTTCTTTGGTTTGAAGATATTAGAAAACTAACTATTTTAGCATCTATATTAAAAAAAATATTTAATATAGATGTTAAAAATCTTCATGAATCATGAAGATTGAAACCTCAAAGCTAAACTAGAAATTTTTCAATCTCACAAAAATTTTGGCAGGACTTGCAACCTAAACTAAGTCAACCAAACCTTCCTAAAGATCAATGTGCATTTCGCCGTCTTTTTTTAATCTCTAAATGAACATGCAAAAGCAAACACAAAGGGTACAATCCATATTTTAAAGTCTATAGTAGAAAGTTGATTGTACTTACATACTTATTATCAATACATCAGAACATAGATTAGAATGTCAAAGCATACTTATTATCAATCATCAAACATATGACACAGAAACAAAATGCACACACATAAATGACATAAAAGAATACGCGATTTAGCAATGTGTACTATGATTCACATTTTTTTTTACTTAAAACTTTTAAAGTGTCACAGTGAACTTCTAAGAGGTTTTTTTTATATAATGACATTCTAAACAAATGAACTAATTAGGTTAAATCTAATCTAAATCAATTGAATCTATAAATTAACTTCTAACAACATGTTCAATATCATATTTATTCACTGTTATACTTGTTTTAGCATCTATATTTATATCAAACTTGTAATTATGATATAACATCTTGAATGAATATATGAAGTTTGACATAGTAATTCAATGTTGATGGATAAAATACATTGATATTCATATGGCTGAAATCTAATTTCAATAAATTTTTCATGATTTTTATTTGTGACTATTTATATATGTATGCAGGTTACATATTTTGAGATTATTTTGATAAAAAGATTATCAAAAATTTATAATTATTTATTTTGAGATTCACATACATTCTTTTCATTTCATTTGATGATAGAAACTAGAGCTATATCTTCTATATGGATGAACATCTTTGGTCTGCTCTATAAGTCCAATATGGGTGCATCCGACCATGTATGAAAATGCTATATCTTCACTTTAAATTAGATGACGTAGATGTCTATAAAAAGTGGGTGGTCATCAAATTTATATATATATATATATTTTGTTCTTCTACTTTTGGAGTTACTTGGACACGCTATGAGGGACTGAGAAATGCTCTATCATGATAAGAGACATGGATAGGGCGATACTATTGATCTTTAGAACACTACCTACAATAATCCACATTTAATCAAAGACATGAACTGGTCATTTTAATAATGTACACTTGCTTTTATAAAGTTTAAACTACATAACTAGATTAAGTGTTCTAGGATGTGATGCTATGTTGCATCCCATCCGATTAGTTTATACTTTGACCAGGTTTTGAGGTATTTCAATTAATTTGTTTACTTCACCGTGTGCTTCTTGACTAAGTTCACCGAGCAATTTCAAGTCTTCAGCAAATTAAAACGACAACCTGGTATTTGGCCATGTTGAGCTACAATGGCTCCTAAAAATGATTTATCTAGGCTATAGGCTTGATCATTGACTTTAAATTGGGGGCGTAAAAGATGTCAAGGACGTCAGAACTCCGAAGAGAAAGTATGACTTTGTTTAAAGTCAAACCATTTGTACCAAGGGTAGAGTTCCATCAACTGCCCGTCCAAATCCGTTACCGACGCGTAAGTTACGGTGATGGATATGGAGGACGATAAATGTGATGTAGGGCACAGGGGTACATACCAACATCATATGATCCGCAAACCGGAAAATGGGGACGCTAGTACGAAAGGAAATGCGCATCTCGTTACAAGGACATAGGGTAGAGTCGTCGGTTGGGCAGTGCCCCCGACGGGCCCGACGCACTCACGCGCAGGAAGGGACAATGGTGGTGACGCCTGGCTGGCCTTGAGAGCGAGCGAGCGAGCACGAGAGGAACATACGACGAGGAAAAAAAATACTGTTAGGAAACGCGAGACCTGCAGCGCGTTCGAGCGAGGTGGGGAGGAACAGAGAGAGCGAGGTGGAGGAATTTATTCTGCGCTGTGCGTCGGCGATTGCTGTGACGTCAGGACGAGTGCTTGTTCTTCAAGAAGAAGTTTTTCTGCGGGCGTTTTGTGCTGCGAAGACTCTGTTCCGGCCGATTTTTCGTGTCTCATCTATGTGGTTCAGTTTGGTGGTGGACAGCTGCCCTATTGGCGTGACGTACGTGACATCCTGCGTCTACTTGTGCCGAGTGTGATAATTATTGTCGGCTGATAACTGATTGAAATCTGTTAGAGGTTTTTGGTTCGAAGATGTGCTTTTAGAAGCTGAGTGTAAATCTCTCGGTGGTGGTACGGACATGCAACGATTTTGCTACATTGCAAGTGTGCATTCTTGGCTGGGGCGGACTCGAGGGATGTGTAATTTCTTTCATCCAGCGACCTAGCGAATCGAAAATTGGAGCGGTGATTGGTCTCTGGCCTTCAAAGTGCATCGATGAGGCCTAAGAGTGTTTGTCAGAGTTGTATTAGACGAGACAGCTGTCCGCTTCGCAGTGAGCAAGAACAAAGCATACTTTGATCAAATGCGAAGTCTGTAATAGAGTTCTTGGAGGAGAACTTCAAGGCCTTCCCAAGGTTTTATGGCCGAAAACATCGGACAGAAGTCACCTTAGTGGAAATGAAGAATAAGGAGCAGTGTGAAGGGTTCTCGTTTCCTCTTCACTATTCTTAAGAGGGACGATAAAAACACCATGACGACTGCAGGGGCCACCTCAAGTGCTCGGCCAACTTCTCCATACCGTACCTTTCTCATGCCCTCACCTGTTCTCTTGAGATGTTTTGGCCCTTCCAGTGACCAGGATGTAATGTCACCTACCTCTCTACCAAAGTTTCTTAAACAACACCTTGTTATAAAGCGATTATCTCGACTAAAAGAATAAGTAGCGAACACCTTGAGGTATCGAGAAGGTGAGTGGGGTTAGAGTAACTACCAAGCTGATAATAAAGCTCATAAGTAACTACCAAGCTTGCCGCTTTGCACGCAAGCTACCGCAGTAATGTCTATCCTGAGTCTGACGTAACCTGACTTTGTATAATTACACCATTCTGAGGAATTGTTAGAAGATTCTCGGCGCGACTAACTATACGATTTCTTAAGAAATCCACACTTTCTTCGTCAGGGATCTCTTTTCTTGATTTCCTATCAGTTAGATTTGAGTTAGATAGCGAGCGAGTAGAACAGAATTTATGCCTATATCCTGCTCCGTTGGATCTCATTCTTGTCCTTGCTGTTACAGTTTTCCGATGCTCCTCGGTTTCGTTAGCACATAAGATTCCAACATACATTCTGTGTTGACCAGTCTACTATTGATCAACAGCTGCAGTGTGTGATGAGCGAAAACTAACACTCCTTGCCTCCGCGCCTGACAAGTCTCTCATGCTTCCCTCTTCTATGCATTCCTTCTAACACTACAGCAGAGCCAAAGGTTGTCTCATATGTTCACCTGAAATATCATATACATCCCCTTCAGATATATTCATTTGAGAATATTTGACTGTTTCCTCACAGCCACAGACTGCAAAGAATAAAGTCCCAAGATCTGCGGTGGATACTGTAGAGCAGAGGTAACTGTTGTCAACAGTAGACTTCCAGTCTGTTCCTCGAATAAAGGAACGGCTTTCCGCGCTCCCCACTTCCCCGGTGATTTGGTGATTGCCTCCAGCCTCTTACTCAAGCTAGATGCTGATGCTAGTGCTCTCGCTCTCTAGAGACTTTTCAGAATATTTTTACTCTTCGTTTATATTGCGGACCATTGTTCTCCTTTCAGAGTGGGCAAACGAAGCACACGAGGGGCACCAGCTTTCGTTGACACAATACAGAGTGATTGTCGATTACTCTTACCTGAGAGAAACATGGATAAAGTCCTCTCCCTCGTTAGTGGTCAGCGATTGCTGTTCTAACTGGATTGCCGAGAATAACACCGATTAGCATAGAGGTACATGATTTCAATACTGAATCTGCCACTTACTATTTAAGCTCACTTAAACTAGCAGAATTTCTGGTCCCAATTATCTGATCCCAGGTGACGCCTTCTATGAGGAACGATTGGATCTAAGCATTGACACAATTTAATGACTCAGCTTTTACTATCGCAATCATCGACTCACATGAGTATGTTCTTCTGATCAGAGGTCCACAGAATAGATAAGTAGAACGATTGTGGAATTAGCACCGCGAGGAGTGATGATCCTGGTTATCCATCCCTCTTGAGTATCAAACAGTTTCTGTAGGCAGGTCGAGGTCTTTTGAGTGGTCGGACTTAATCTTCCATCTGCAGTAAAAACACAGCTCTAATCTAGATGTTTCTAGACTTGAAATCGACATGATAGCCAGAGAAACCATGGAAGGAAAGGATGTGAGGGCTGAGAAAGAGAGTCATAACACCAGTGCTGTAATATCTTCCTTTTTTTTCTGAGAGAGGTTGATGGACATGTGCGTGGACGTACAGAAACGTCGCCCTCGAGGCATTTGATAAGCGGATGTTTCTCGTTCTGCATTGATGAAAGCTGAGTCTAAATTCTGAAATGTCTCTGAGAATTGCGAGTTTTGACTTAGTACTGTCTGATCATTAGCTGGCACGCATGTCTCCTAGAATCCCGGCTTGAGGTTAGGAACTGGAGTATATGCACAGAAGTGAATGAGACCACACGACAATCATACAGAATATAACTTTGATGATGATGACCGTTATATATTTGCTCTTTGTGCGACAAATGTAAAATTAATAAGCCAAATCCCTTCATGCTGATTAAGAGGGTTACCGTAAGCTTCAATAAGTATTAAAATTAAAACGCCTGAGCGTCCACAGCGCGTCCTAAGGTGGGTTCTCCCTTTCCCGCGTTACTCTTTTGCTGAGAGTATGATGTGCATTGAGAACAAAATGGCTCTGGAACTCGGCCAAGGGTTCAACCCACATCGGGGTTACTTGGATGAAAAGAAACACCTCATACATATGTACCCAACTCGGTATGCAACAGAAACCCTATCTTTGGTCAACGAGGTCCAAGACAATGTTACGCGGAGACAACAGCTTTCTTTTCAATCCATGATTATAATTTGCTTCGAAGTCTTGATGTGCAGAAAATAAAATGTTCTGAAAGAGCTTTGTACGTGGTGAAGGCATTCAGCTTGCATGTGCCAAACAACTGATGAAACATTCGAAATTGTATTTTGAGCTCCAAGTTTCCAGCCTCATGAGATTTCTATGTAAATTGGTATATAGTGGAGGTGCATTTATTACTTGGAGGTTGATTACTCGTGGAGTTCACTGCCATTCATCACAAATGGCTTCAGACTTAAGCGTATGAAATGGTACCTAAAAGTGTGACGCTTCCAGGTTAAAGGTGGTATTATCTAGTAGTCTTGAGCTGTTAACTATGGGATTTGTGAACGATTTAGATGGTCTTTATGTGTACTGATCAATCAACTTTACCGTATTTATTCGACTGAAGTACCTTAAAGAGAAACCAAACAATAAAGAACTCCTAGTTGAGTCATTTGTGATCTTGGAATCTTGAAAGAAATTGAACGATGATTGACTTTCTAAATATATTCCCGCTGATTGAGTGAAAACCTAAGGTATTGCCAGTTTATAACTGCTTTCTAGGAGTACAGTTTATTCTTATTTATTCTTTCAGACTTAAGCGTATGAAATGGTACCTAAAAGTGTGACGCTTCCAGGTTAAAGGTGGTATTATCTAGTAGTCTTGAGCTGTTAACTATGGGATTTGTGAACGATTTAGATGGTCTTTATGTGTACTGATCAATCAACTTTACCGTATTTATTCGACTGAAGTACCTTAAAGAGAAACCAAACAATAAAGAACTCCTAGTTGAGTCATTTGTGATCTTGGAATCTTGAAAGAAATTGAACGATGATTGACTTTCTAAATATATTCCCGCTGATTGAGTGAAAACCTAAGGTATTGCCAGTTTATAACTGCTTTCTAGGAGTACAGTTTATTCTTATTTATTCTTTCAGACTTAAGCGTATGAAATGGTACCTAAAAGTGTGACGCTTCCAGGTTAAAGGTGGTATTATCTAGTAGTCTTGAGCTGTTAACTATGGATTTGTGAATGTGTTATGTTCCATGTAACATAAATTTGATAGTTAAGAGAAAAATATTTACATGTGAGAACGTTGGGTTACTCCAGCAAAGATGAACGAATTCCAAACTCAAACATACTCCCTGCTTTGCATCAGAATATTTCTAGAAGATATCCGACTCTCACAACTCAATATTCGATAAAATTCCAAGGTCACAAAGCTACGAGCAGTTGACTGAGAGGATATTCAACAAAGTCTCCAGTTTCATGCCAACTAAGGAAGTAAGTAACCGTTGCATATTAGAGATATTTTAAAATAGATGAAGCTAAATGAAATTTGGGTGTGGTGTTCTAGGTACATGCAGGTTTACCGAAGCATCCACACCAGCTACGGATGTAAGTACCTTACACAGTTGCCACAGCGTTTGCCTGGAAATTGTGATTTGACACTCGGCTACCACTTTTACCCAACATATCTCAAGTATAGACAACCCTTTTGAAGCGAAGCAAGAACAAAATGACTCAGATAGCGGAAGAAAAGCTGAATTTGCCCAAAGACAAACCTGTGAGTCCTGCCGTCCGTAAGAAGTACCCGTTCCAAACCCTTGCTTCAGATGGCGGAATGTCCACAGCTTAAGTTCAAGTTTTAAGTTCACCACGCACTACGCTTTTAGATTGTCGGCCGCGTCGAGCTCTGTTCATGCTGGATGTGAGGTACACCGGTAGCATCTAGTCTTGACGGTATCCTGTTCCAAACATGGTGACCATATTTTAGACAAAGTAATCAGGACTATCTCCGGTTCTCTGAAGTCTGTCAGATTTAGCTATCCTGTAAATGGGAATCCCACTTACTTCCGTTGATAGAAGATCCACTGGATTATCCACTTCAACTATCCGCACGTTAAAAATTTATGAAGATGGAGTGCTAGCTCTCCGTAAATCTTATCAGTCCGGGCTGTTCGACACAATAGATTCACGATCTGGGCTTCAAATTGAAAAGTTTCATAACACACCTCCACTTATCAGAGTTTGAGAGACGATTTACAGTATGTTGTATTTCGTCATCTCCTTTAATATGTGAAACGGAATCGGTCATGTCAAGTTCCTTGAGGAAGCCGCCTGGTGTGTCAGCCTTTAACTTCCGATACTGCTCGTATCGTAGAGGTCCTTCAACATTGCACACACAAGATCAAGATCAAGATCTCCTCTGTTCTTCTTGCTCCCCCAACATGAATAGTCGTCTGAATATGTAAAGCAGACCACAGAGTTTACACTGTAAATGAAGTCCTCCTCTCTCAATGAAACGAAAAGAATTACGTACGTGCACCTGCGGCAAAGTCCACTGCTCTTGATGAATTTCGGCAATGTGCACACCCGCATCTTCTGTACGAATAGTTGGGACTGACTCTGACCATATTCTTCTCAGCAGCCTAAAAGTCACGTGAAAACTTCGGGTGATGTGGAAAATGTACTGGCGAGGTCGTTGCGAAACGAGAATGATCTATTGCGTTTTCAGCTAAATGATATCATTTCTCGAGAAAAAAATCAGGTGCATATAATATCATACCTGAAAATGTTTTGTCTACATTGCGATACAAAGTTTATTGTAAACTTGAGTTTAAATTGGAAACCGGGTTCGTGGTCAGATCTTCTTTTCACAGTTTTCTCCGTCAAGCATGCTGCCATTGTATTTGTCTCTTATGTCACTAACTCGAAACAACTATGGTGGCAGCGTATAGAATTACAAAGGCTTAGATCCCATCGCGATGTGGAAGTGTCGCAACTTGTGAGCACGGCCACAACTCAGCTCAAGTCAGAAGTTGACCAATTGAAGGGACTACTGCAATCTACGTCATCACAGCTTCTGCAAGCCCTTAATGATAAAGAGAAACTTGTATCTGAGAAAGATCAATCTGTTCGAGTGCTTGAAGAAGTAAGGCATGGAGCAGCTGCGAGCGAAGCATCCTTACGCAATCGCTTGCAGCACTTTGAGGATATGGTTACCAAAGGCTTTGCAATGGCAACCACCTTAGCTGACTCAGTTGATGCCTTCCAGCGGCATGTTCTTCCTACTTTCAATCCATCCGCCACTGGCAAAGAGACGGGGGAATCAGGAGCAGCTAGATCCTTAACAGAAGAGGTAATGCTTGCTCAAGTCTTCTTTTGATGAATGGAGATGAAAACACTTTACCTTCTAACAGTGAAGTTTCTTCTCAGATAACTCGCAGAATGGAGAAATGTTCTCTTCGTTTCAACAGCGTGAATCTCTTACGTCTTGTCTGACTTGATTGCGCTGAACTGTGTGCGATGCAGTTATCACGGCTGGAGAACGGGTTAACTCTTTTAAGAGTACTTGTGGATGCTAAAAATGACACCCTTGTTTTGATCAGAGGAAAGGTACGGATCTCCGCTTGCTTATAAAGCTTGTGTTGTAAAGATAGAGAACCTCGAATTCTAGCAGATTAAAACTTCAGATCGTTTTGGGTTTGTGGTTCACATGCTTTGGCAAACGATATCCAAATCAGGCAACCTGCATGTGCAGAGCATAACAGAAGTCTTCCTGCTATCTTCAAGTTCTTCCTTTAGTATTTTATTTGTCATCGCCCGAACAGATAGTCTTCCGATGCAACAGTCAGTTCTACATCTATTGCAAGTCTTTTAAGCCCTTCTTTTCCACCAGAATGTTTTGAAAGTCTTCCACAACTGCTAAGAATTCTTTGGGAACAAATATTGACAGTTGAAGCAAGAGAATGAGGAGCTTAGAGCAGAACTCCAGGTTGCGCGAGAAAGGGATTCCAAGCAGACTCTTGCTGCGCAACAACCTGCTCAAACAAACACGGAAGATGTGGCTTTTGAGAAGAACATGCTCCGGCAAGAGTTACACTCTTTGCAGGTACAACTTTTGTACCTGAGTGAAGGAACAACAGTTACTTCAAAAGGGGTTTTTCTTAAATTCTCACTTTTTTGCATGAACTTCATTGGGATGCTTGTGCTGCAGACTCAATGCACCAACTAATATGATTTTCATTCTTATTGTTCTAAGTGCGAGCCATTATCATCCCTCTTTAGTGAGCAGCAACGGTTTTCTCTTGCCTATCACAATCTCGGTACTGATATCACTTTGTTTACTGTATTAATGAGTGAATGCAGAACCTTTTCAATGCGGAAGTCAAGCAGTTGAAGGCCAAGTTAAAAATGTATGAACTGGAAGATCAAGCTGGTCATGGGCGTTTTGAAGAGGTTCAAAAGGAGTTACTCAATCTACAGAACAAGCTTGTGGCACAAGAGGGATCCAGAGCACTTCTGGAGTCTCGCTTGAAAGAAGAAACTTCTGCACGCTCTCAGCTAGTTTCTCAGTTGGTTACGTTGAGAAAAGTATGCTGCACTTCTACTTTCGATTCTTACTTGCTTTTGTGGAAACCATTATTATTTCTGGTCCGTGTCCCAACATGGACCAGAATGCAGGAAATCCCATTTACACTTAAAAGAATCAGGAGGTGATACCGTTAGTCTTGTGTTGTTTGAATGGCTATATGAGAACTAAAATTTCCAACATATATGAGAACTATGTTGGAGATATTAGGCATAGTTCAACATCTGTGAGCAACATCTGTGAGCGGCTTATTTCCTACATTCGTGAACAGAAAAATAGCCTCTTCACTACCGCACACTAAGTCATGTCATCCGCGATACAGGAAAATGAAAAGTACAAAGCAGAATTGGAGACTTTGAAGCTCAATCAAAAGGTAAATTGACGTTGGCTCTTCAATTTAAGTACTTTCAAAGTTGATCCACAAACTTGCTGAGCACGAGCTACACATACGCTTACACACCTGCAGCAATATCTTGTAGAATCACTGAAGGCAAAGGGGAAAAACTTTTCTCAAAGCCGGACAGGACTTTAGTTTGAATAGGCCTTAGTACAAGTGCGTGTATCAACAACAACCAAATCTGATCGCCCACTCGGAAATTCTCTCTCTTGGTTTCCTCGCACAGTTTTTGCTCCGACAGCCGCGGAGTGGACGAATTCCAGTTGAAAAGATGGATTTGATGAACACCATGAACCAACTGTTGATGGAGATGAATAAGCTCAAGGGTGATAAGGTTGCTTTAGAGGAAGAGTTAAAAGTGCAGCGGAGGTCGCAGGTTCGAGAGCATGTGAAAAGAACGGTTACTGCTCGAGATGTAAACATGGCCGCGAGTAACAAGGTTAGGTCGCATCCTTTACAGATATCCAAAATCTCATCTTCATTCTTTCTTATAACTCAGTTGAATACCCACATACTGCTCAAGTCTCCAGGTCCCCGCTCCTGACTTTATTGCTCGTCAGTTCTTATGCTCACGTTTCTAACTGATTCTTGTTTAGAACATGAGTCCAAGTGCAGATGATCCTGCAACAAGATCTTCATTTATGTTATATTACACTATAAGTAACTTGTCGATAGATTTGATTACCCCAATGGATGCTATCGTAAAGTAGACATTTGCAAACCGCATTTCTAACAGCATTTATCGGATCAAAAGTACAGACTGAATTGAAACTTTTGATCCGACTGGCTTTCTTGCCTTGTCAGAAAAAGTATATATAGTTGACGTTACTCCTCAATCTGAGCCTATTTACTGGATAGGAAGCTCAAAATAGATTGCAAGAAACATATCATAACTCTGTGCACATTGCTCAGTAATTTTACCAGTCTTTATCCTCCTGCATGCTTTTGATCATGATTTCGGCTTGAGTCGAGCAGGTAGGTGATTTGGAATTGGCTTCCAAGCTAGCAACAGCTCGATTACAGCAGCTCGAGCAAGGGGCATCAAGGCTGTCCCCAAATTCAGCAGGAACACCGCTCTCATTAACGGATTGCAACAACGACGGTTCCAATGGCATTTCCAGTGGCATGTCCATGATTCACATGATTTGAGGTCCAAAACAAAAAGCATGCGGTCGAGAATGTTAGGCTGCTGGCACTCTGCCAGTCATGATCAACTTAATTTGATCTCTAAGAAAAGGCAAGCTGGATGAATCAGAGAGTCATGCACCTGTGGCATGGCAGTGATCACCATAATTTGATCTCTTAGAGAATTGCAGTGAGCAGGCAGGTCAAGAAACATGTATAATGGATTGGCACAGCCATGAGAACATGATTTGATCTCGGGGTTTCAGAAAAGAGGCCCGACTACAGGAATCATTTCCCCTTTTTGAAAAATTTGAAGCCAAGATTACGTCCAGTAGCCTATGCAGGAAACGCAAGTGTGAACTAGATTCTTCAGATATCGTTTCTTCTTCCTTCGAGAGGCCTGTCCCACATGCTGCCCTGTCCCGCTGCCGTAGTGCTTGAGCTGGTGGTACCCCGTCATTGTGACCTGGATGCTTGAAACACTTGCTGTTTCAAGCATCCAGGAAACACTTTGTTGATTGTACTGTTAGTAGTCTTTCAAAGGCTCATGCCTTGTCCTTTTAGCCAGATGCTTGTCTGCTGAGTAGACAGTTTGTTCTTAGGTGAACGTTTATCCTCTTCAAGAGTTCCTTTCAATTTCAATGTGGTTTATGCTCAAAATATTGGTGACTATGATGAAAGTTGGCTGAGCTGCTTAGGGTTTGGTGAGGCCAATATCAAGCGAACAAGAATCCCTCTTCCATTTGCGATAACCAGGAGTGTAAAAGTCATCGTCCCGTAACACTAGAGGTGTTTACTTCTGGTAAGTTGCAAACCTAAGCCTCATATGTCTTTGTTTGAACAGATTGGGAAAAATTCCAAGCTGGACTGGAAAGATTGAAATTTGAAATGATTGGTATCTAGTGGAAAAACTGCATGGAAGTTCTCCGGACATATTATGAAGGCGGATGATGAAGACTTTTGTCATGTAGGATGGATGTAGTTAATTGAAGAATGGATTGATTTGAATGTCGCAACAGTATGTCGAGAGATGTTTGGATTAGGTGTCTTGCAGAGTGTCAACTCGACATTGCTTTAAGAGTAGTGTACGCGAAAATGGAAGACTTCCTATGTTCCAAACAGATTGTATGCTCTAAGATTGCAGCTGCTATCTATGCTTAGACCTTCTTATAGTATGTACATCATTTTTGCTGTAGGAACTCGACATGGACAGCTGGAAGATTCTGCAGGAGAATAGCTTGACAAGCCAAGTGTTCCTAGGACGATGAGGAAGTATTTTAGCCTACCACTGGACTGAGTTCCGTCAGTTTTTACATGTAATAATCATGATGATTCATAAGCTCAACTAATTCAGCGATCCAAAAAGAATATTAATCCGGTCTGCTTAGGAAGAGTTTCGCCAGTTTCATCGTCCTAGCGGGGACCAAATGCTTCATCCAGGTGACTCCTTCAAAACATAACTGGTAGGTCTAAACATGGAAAGTCTGTTCAAAGGTTTTAGACCCAACCACCTACTTACGATATAACTGCATAAATGGCTCACCACCTCTCGGCCGCTGTCGAAGTCCGATTTTTACCTGTATCTTAGAGTTCCTTGCCATATATTTTTCATCTATCTGCTTCATCTATCTGTGTTCTGACGTTAGTACCTCTGCTGTTACCTAGTTCAGTCAGCTGAGATCATTTTAATACACACTGGGATCTGCTTATGAATGTGTTAGCTTCAAATAGCATCTTTTGGTTATCTTTTACTCTCTAATTTGGGTTCTGGCCAAGTAAGATTCCAGCATGTCGCTAATCCGTTTAATTGTTCGACATGTCCCCCAGATGATATATATATTCTTTATGGTTTCTGTACCTTCTATAAGAATCTTTACATGCAGAACACTCGATCCTCTCTCCCTATCCGATAACTTATAGCCATGGGCACAAATTAAATTTGGTAAATAGGATCTGTATAAGCATAAGAAAACAGTAAGTGGAAGTACTTTCCATTCATAAAGTTTCAAGTCTATGCGCTTACTATTAAAAAAAATTTTCAGAAATGGTCTAAAACATAAGTATTCTGATCTATGAAAGTTGATAAATTATCTAATTTCGAATAAATAAGCCGCTGACCACCCTGTCATGTTAGCTGTTAAATAGCTCCTTAAAATTCAATGACCGTATATATAATCTGATTTACACAAACAGATTATGTAAATCGTTTGCAAATATTTGTATGATGAGACTCATTTTCATAAGTATCACTCTTTCCAGCAATGGATTGCAACGCTCTTAGAAAATACATTTTTGACAAATTTCACATTGGCCATTCAATAATAAAATATCCGAATAACAAAATCAATTTTTCCTATCGTTGATAAGCATCCGTCTATATTCCGGATTTTTAAATTTTGGAAATTCATATGACTGTCTTTTTGTGAGTATTTCTTAGGAATGATATTTTTAACATCTACGGCACTATAACAATTAATTTGAAATTATGAATCTATGCATAATCATCATCATTATACTGGTGAAACATTCCATGTGTCTTAAAAAAAGTAAGATTGAAAGTAATCTGAATGAAACAGCTCTAAAGATAATCCATTTCTTATTTTCTGAAATCTTTCAAATAATATTTCAATTGAAAATACAGTGATAAAGGGGCGAATTTTAAAATATTTTTCAATAACCTCAGTATAAATAATGGTTTTAAAGATAGCTTAAAGCCAATATTCTTTTTTTTTCAATAACATAACATCAATTCCAGTATTATACACAATTTTTGTAGTTATGAAGCATAAATTTAATTCAGAAATAATTCTTTTGAAGACATGAACAACCAATATAGTGCTTCTTAAAACATTTTACAAAAAAAAAATCCGAATTAAAATATAATTAGATATTTCAATTCAATTTAGAAAAAAATTATTTCCATATAACCAGTAATGCCAAATGATTTATAGTTGATATTCATTTTTTTGATTTTTTTGTATGTATAAAAATCATTTATATATCAAATCAGAAAAAAATTTACATTCATAAACAAATGTATTTGTTTATGATGATTTTTCAAAAGAATTTGTACTTAAAACTATCAATATAAGAGCTAGTATGAAAATGAAATAGTTAAAAAATAAAATCATGATGTTTTACTTTACTTTGATTAAAGTATGAAAAAAGATAAAGGTGGTGTTGATGATTTGACTAAAAAATAATTGAAAAATAATTATAGTGATAAGTTGTGCCACTATGTTTAAAAAAGCTTTTAAAAGAATCACTTTGATACCATTACCTATGTTTTTATTGATTTTGTACTCAACTTTCTGCGTTTTAAGTGCTGATATTTGTCAACACATTTTTTGTCAAACCTTGATTGAAACAAATCACATATCTCTAGGTATGATTTTAGGTGATCGTATCCCGAAGCGCCTAAATTATCCAATGTGGCGCTCTCTTTGGCGCCTAAATTAACCGTAGCATGTAATTTGTAATTGGCTCAAAATTGAAGCGTGGTAGATTTCAGCCCCTCAACTCTGAATCAGCTTGTTATCATGTTAGTTTCATAGTTCACCAAGTTGTAATCCGAAGTTTATAGATTAAATTTTCTCTCGACCATAAGCCTGATTACAAGCCCCGTGACGGTGACTCTCTCTTCCTCTAACTCCCAACCCATTGCTCTCTCTCTAGTGCACTCAAAGCGATATTTAACACCAAAACGCCTAAATTAACTATCTTGAGGCGAGTAAATTAATCTAATTTAGGTAATCAAAGCAACCGACTTAGATAACCATGCATGCATATCTCTCATGTCAATATAAATATAAATTTTTCTATATAAATGAAATCAAGTCATGATTTTCATGTGAAAATTTGCAATTAATATTTTTTGAATAAAAATTTTATGATTGCAAAAAGTAAAATAAGTGAGAATTTTGCAATATGTAACAAATTTAAGTGAGAATCAATTAATGTTTTTAACTTGAATTTGAACATACATGTCAAAGAATAGTGGTTTATTTATAATGATTGAAGAGTGTATTGATCATTTCATAGTTTAAAATCTATATGTAATAGTTTTAATAACTCAAATTTAATGAATAATCATGACTTTTTGTATCTAAAATGTTGACATCACTCAAACATATTATTTTTGAATTTTTTTATCTCTTATTTAAATATATATAATTCTTCTAAAAATATTTCAAAAATAAAATACTTCATCAATAAAATATTCTTTTATACAAAGATATCTAAAAAATTTGCTATCTATTTATTTATAATATTTTGCTAATTATCATATTAAGTGATAAAACTATCATGTAAATTATATTCACTAAGATTAATCTTAGTATGTGTGTTTAAATTTTATAATGATAATTATATATCAACATGACATTAAAGATTCAGAATTTTTAAAAGTTTTTTTGTTTGTGTGCTGATGTGACAAATTACTATTGAAAATTTTAAAACTTCTATAATTTCAACTTGAAAAATATTCAAACCAAGTTTTAATCAAATCAAATCAAATATTTTATTTTTTCAAACATTTAAAAAAATATGATATCAATTTTTTATTTGGTTTAGAATGGATTCATACACTTTTGAATAAGTTACAATAAATTTGTTAGATACAAACATGATAGCTAAATTTAGTCTAAATTAGCTAAACCTAATCATGATTATCAACATCATAGTCAATTAATTGTTTAATTCTATCAATGTTACAATCATACATATGAAATTGCTACGTAAATAATGGATTAAGGATTCATTACATTTTTGGAGTAAACGATATGACTTCAATACAAAAAATTTAACATGTATTTGATTTGATCAAAACATCTTATACTTAGTTTTGATTACATAAATTAACATTTTTCATAATCTTTCAACTATAAAAGTATCAAAACATTTGAAAATGCTTTTTTTAATCTTCTTGTATCTCATTGTATAAAGAATCATTATCTAAGTATTTTTGTTGTATGATTTCAAATACTATATTGTAAGTAAAATGCCGTGATAATTTTGCATAATTGTTAAGCTTTATTCGCATAACTTTATGACTATAGCTTGATCTTTTTTCAATCATATCAGTTGTTGTCAACTAAATATGATGAGCTCTATTACATGTGTATTTTTCAACTTTTGTTGAATTGTCAATTTTTAAAATTTTTGAGTGCATCTCCTAGATCATTCAAAAACATGAATATTTGATAAATGTCTTTCAAGTCTTTTGATACTTTCACTAAATAGTAGATTGAACTTTATTTGGATTATGTTGACATTTTTTTCATGTTTGCATCTTTGAAACCATAATTTAAATTCTTTTTTTTTTAATATGTAATATTTTTTTCTTGTATCATATGTTATGAACGAGCTAAGACGGAAAAGCTCGACTGCAACCAACCTAGGCGAGAGACAAACACCAAATACAAGAAGTCATGAACAATACAACAAGACTAATAGAAAGTATAGGACTTGATTGGTTTATCAACTAGTGTGGATCTGTTGAATCACATGATAGTATCCCCTTCTCTTCATACTCCAAGTTGTTATACTAATATAGTATTTATGAGTTGAACCTACAATGCTAAGGTGTCAAGATAGGATTGCGCCGCCAAGATATCAAGATGTGGTCGCTAGGCTGACATGTTTGCACTGCTGAGTTGCCGAGACAAGTCTGCACCGAAGTCTTCTACTTAGCTATACAGATTTTGATGATGGATGCAGCCTTGACATTATCCCCTCCTCAAGGGACATATTCAAGATGTCTCAGTAAGGTTAAAAAAAATTGGTTGACCAAGTCTTGAATGTGAATTAAGTTTCCAATAGGCTCCCAAATGGCTTCTGACAGTGAATAGACTTGCCAAAAAACAAGATACTTAGGCTTGCCACGGAGTTTCTTTGTATTAAAGACTTGTTGAACTTCAAACTCGTTATGATATTCAATTTCAATTGGAGAGTGAGGTTCCTATTGGCATTTTGAGACTTTTGTCTCATGATAAGACTCAAGCAAGGAGACGTGAAAGATTTGGTGGATCTTGAACAGGGGAGAGAGCTCCAGCGGACAAGCCACAAGACCAACAAGTTGAGTCATTTTGAAAGGTCCTAGACGTTTCTAATCTAACTTCGCACATGGATGGATAATGGCCATATTTTTTCTAAGAAGCTAGATCTTATTTCCAAATATGAAGTCCGGATGATCCTTGCATAGACGATCTACTTGCTTCTTTTCTCATTCTTGAATTACTATGTGGTAGTGTAGTTTTTTTGTTTTTTTGGAAATAATGTAGTTTGAAAAGTAAAGACAAGTAAGTTTTAACTTTTAGAACAGTAGTACTGAGAAGAAGAGTAGAGAATAGGAAGGATTCCACTAGATAGAGCTCGTTTTGCTTGTTCCAACGAACTCAAAAATGTGAGGAATGGGCAAGGACAATCCGAGCTACGAAGGTATGAAGTGGAGATCTTGTTTCCCCGAAGTCATAGTATAGTCTTCGGGGAAAGGCCTTTGGTGTTAGAGTGTTCAAAGTTACCTAGGAAGGAGTTCGGGCGACAGAGCTGCACGGAAAAGAAATTCAAATGACGGCACCTACAATTCGCACGAGTTTGCACTACAGTTGCGGCGGCGAACTACACCAGGAGTAACGCCAGTTCGTGGCGCACATTTCACTATAGCACTATTGCGAATTGAAAAGCGATTGAGGTGCGGAAGTGTGAAATTGCAAAAACAGTCATGGGACGACCTGGAGGAATTTGATTGACTGCGTTGAAGGTGTTCGAA